TCTCTGTCCCAAAATAATAATCCATTTTTCTTTTTCAAACAATATATTTTACATATTTCTATATATGTTTTTTGAATTTAAAATTTCAAACTTGAATATTCAAAATTACTACTCTCCATAAACGATACTTAAATTGAGACAGAGGGAATAGGACAATAGGTCAACATTTTCTTATAAATACCCATACATGCATACATGAATATGCCACAAGAATATATCAAGCAACATACATATACTAATTCTCAGTATTAGTTCAATCAAATGGCCAAGCTCGTCAGTTTCTACCTTCTCCTTGCACTTGTCGCACTTGCTGGTATATATTTATTTCTTAGCAAGTTTTCTAATTAAAAGCTTATTCTTTCATGTTTACTTTCATTAAAAATTTATATTTTATTTTGTTAATTTGACTGCCATCAATTAAGAATGATAAAATTACTGGATTCGATGTTTAAATTATTATTCTTGTTTAATTGATGCAGTTGCGGCTACAATGGTGAAAGGAGATTGCGTTGATTGGGCAAAACAAAATTGTGATAATGACATTGCTTGTGACGACCCCTGCCGATACAAATATGGTGGGGGTGCTTTCGGAATTTGTCACCCACCCTATAACTGTGAATGCCATTACCCCTGCGGAAATGAAGTTCTACCATAATTTGCTCAATTGGATTCAATAAAGTATTAAATTAATATAAGTGCCAGTTTCCTTAATTTTCTTATACTCTCTCTCTCTCTATATATATATATACACACGTGTGTAGATCTGAATGATGATTTTTTTTTTTTTCCTGGCATCTCTGATCTGAATGATGAATGCTCTCGTCATTTGGATATATGTTTTGGTTTGGATGCAATTATTCCGTCATTTTGCATATTAAAAACCATTGTTGTTGATGATGAATATGATCAAAGAAAGTAACACAAAGGGATATAGGGCTAATAGAAAGTTTAAAAGCCTCTAATATCATATTTCGTAGTTTACTATTCATACCTCTTTTATTTATTACAGATTTAAAATAAATAATAATAACGAAACATGAAATAAAAAACATGAGGAGATTTTATTTCTTCCGCCTCAAAGTAATATTGATGAGATGTAATTCTTAAATTAAACAAAAAAAAGACTAAGTTCACTGAAATGTTCGCCAAACGGGTGGCAGGGATTAGCTAGGGATTAATTTGAGTTTTTTGTTGTGAACTTATTCTCTTTATTTCCATCCAAAAAAAAATGTCTTCCCTTTGGATATCTCATCAATTCCTTCTTCTCTTTCCTCCATATAATTTTTTTATTTGCTATTGAAAAGAGCATAAAAGTCCTAAATACGGTCATTTCCGGAGTAATCTAAATTGTTCAAATTTTCTTCACTTAAGTCATTTTTTGTATTTACGATTTCTCAATTGTTTGTGCATGAACATATTCCACTCCTTAGCATGATTTGTGATGGTAATGCGAGATAATTGAACATATTTTCACATAAAGGGAATTTTGAGGGAAAATAAAATAAAATAAGTTTTTCCTTCACATACTTCGTATATGATACTTTTATGCTATGTTTGGATTATCGAATCAGTATTTAGTTAAAATTTTGAATTAAATTTCTTCCAATTTTATATCCAAAACATCAATTCGATACTTCTAAACGTGACAATGCATGTTTGTTTTTTTCTTTTTATATTTCTTTTACGTAATTATTAGAGTTTAACATCAAATAGTTAGAGTTATCACATGGCCACTCTAACAATCAAGTATTTGGTGTGCTCGATGCATTGTGCATCGGGAACATCACAACCGTCCGTGTATAACACGCACGGTTACGGATGACTATGATAAGCCCGACGCACAATGTACCGTGCACATTGTATATATTATCCGCTCCAACACCCACATGAATTCCATCATAAAAGTTGCATGCATTTATTGGCATGTTACAATTCGACCAACTTCAATTCTAGGTAAAAAAATTCGAAAGGTATAATAAACAAAAATAAGGAGATAAGAACTTATTAAAATTTTGTTTTACATCACAAATTATCTCAATTCCTAACACCTACATTATCAAACAATATAGAAAACTATTCTTAAGTGATTAAATTTTTAAGAAGTTATTTATTTATTTTATGTGAAAATTAATCAGAGTAATTTTCATTATAAGAGGAATTAAAAATATATATATGGTTCAAAATTTGAACTTATTTTTCTTTAATTTTAATTTTAATTTCAACACATCAATTTCATGCTACAAATATGAGTTCTAATTCAACCGCTCGGAAAACACGGGACTTTTTTTTTTTTTTTTTTTGTGTGCATACGGACTTCAATGAACAATGTTACTTAAGCCCAAATCTTAAACCAAATACCGGATCCCACTCTCTGGATCACACCATGCGGTTTGGCCCAATTCCTCGGCTGAAGACTTGGACGTCTAAATTTCAATTCATGAAATTTCGGGCTTTGACGGGTTATTGGTGACCGATGCTGTTTAATCCTCTAATTTTAAAAACCTCCTGCACCAACAAGAAATTCTTACGCATATGTTTTCCTTTTTCGTTTTTTATTGTCTATATAATTAATTATGTACAACAAATATCAAAAGAAAATTACACTACAGAAGATACATATATGGAAAGAGATATATAGGAAGAAGATAATGAACAATTGACATGTATAATAACACAAGCCAATCGAAAAAATAAAATAAAACTAAAAATATGACTTCTAACAGTCAAAGATCAGAGATTTATAAAGGAAAATAAAGGTATTAACCTGTAATTTCATATTATACCCTTATATCATCAAAGATTTTATTTCCAAAATAAAATTAAAAAAAAAAAGATTAGAGAATTATAAATTGTTGGTCCCAGTGTTATTTTGAGGTTTAATCTTTTAATGTCAAAATTATTATCACATGTTCTTCTATGCTGGATATTTCAAGTTCTGGTCTGCATTTATCTTTTCTGGCATATACAGGGATAGTATGACATGTCCATTCCTTGATCAATTGAACTAGTAAATATCAGCAACGGATAGATGGAAAAAGTTGGGGTGGAATTTGAGTGACCCAATCCGAGCCCTAACCCATTTTTCGTAAGTTTGGATAATTATTTCTACGTTGGAATCCAGAGATCTCAACCAAAATTTAGTCGAGCAACTCAAACTTGGGATATATATATATATGTATGTATGTATATATATATATAGATATAATCGTGATCAATTTTGTATTTAAATATTGAATTTGTGTATATATCGGTACACACAAGTTAGGGGCGGCAAAATGGGTCATGACCCACCAACCCACTCATATTCGCATGTTTTAAAATGAACATGGGTGTATCATTTTAAAATATTAGTCAAAATAGATAATTCATATTCAACTCATTTTTATAGAGAGTTAAATGGGTTGAATATGATTCACCCATTTTGACCCATTTTTCACCTATTATATAAGAGAGATAGTTTCACATCATCTATTCAACTCAAATTCACATATTCTTCCTCTCTAAAATTCTCTCTAAGATTCTCTTTACATCATCCTCTTTTTCACTCTAAAATTCTTCGTAGTACTATAGTATTGCTCTGTTACATTCACAACACATATACAATGTATTCGTGTATATTATATATGCTCTGCTTTCCTGCCAACAATATCCGTTACTTATTTTTGATAATTCTTGCGACAATATCTAATGGTCCATTCCTTTCTCTCTCTACATTCCTTTCTCTCTCTCTCTATATATATATATATATATGTATATGTATATAGGATGTTGAAATTGAATATCGATGTTTCTTATCATGGATGGTCTAGAGAGGGAGGGGTGTAATGATCCTGAAGGATTTTATGGGAAGGTGTGTTAGAGTTGCATCAATCTTCTTTTTTGGTTTATCTATTGCAAAAATAACAAAGCATTTGTCTCGAGGGAATCATTTTATCTCTCAGCCCAATGGGTTTACAAATAGGTTGACATTGACCAGAACTGCAAGTCAATTTTGCAACTCAAGCAGTGGATTGTTCAACCATTATAATAGAGAACATTGTTAATCTATTGAAGTATCTTCTATATTATGGACTTCTCGTGTATGTAATATTACGGCTCGAAACAAACCTATATTTATATTTGTATTTCAAAATAGGAATACTGAATTTATTCATTTAATTATTTATTCTATAAAAAGCTTAATAGATGATTTCATATAATATATATATATATATATATATATATATATATATATATTTATCTTACTTTCATGCATGTCTTGTCATAAAATAAAATAATATAAATTTAAAGAAATTTCAAAATAAATTGATGGATTTACAATTATCGATACATATTTTTACAAACTTTTATTCATCTAGAAAAAAAAAAAAAACTATAATAACGAGATTATCTAAAATAATAATATTTCTATTTTCTAAAACGGGTTGGTGGATCATGACAGGTTAACCCGGCCCAATTTGATTTAACTTATATTTAATCCATTATAAACGGGTTGAATATAATTCACAATTCATATTTGACCCTGCCAAAATCCTATCCAACCCGCCCATTTACCCTAACACAAGCATAGAAGTTTACGATGTTCGCAAAAGAGCACAATGTTAGAAATAGTGTGAATTTGTTGGGTTTTAAAGATGTAGTTGTAGGTGGTGGAGTTTATTCCGACCGAGTGGAGTTGATTTAGTATGAGCTCAAACAAAACGAATCTTGGGAGGTTCCGCATTAAGACATTGAACTCACAGATCGATCATGGCATCAACATCAATGACAATTTTATTTTTTGGGGTGGGGGTTTCATTTCAATATAATTGCCCCAAATAATACTAATAGACAAGTGTAACATAAACGGTGTAAAATTATTTTTAAAATAATACAATTATTATATAACCGATGTAACTGCGGATGACGGCACAAAATGAAATGGGACCCGATCCGGGTTTTTCAATTTTTGGTTTTAAAGAAACAAGTGTTGTGTTGTTAAAGATCAACGGTACTGCATTTACAAGCTCACATGGTTGGTTAACATAAACAAACTTTGAGAGCAACATCCACGAGCAAGCTCCATTGTAGATGTTGAAATCAGTGACTCAATGCAGACACTTATCTTCAAGAACAACCATTACATACAATTATCATCTCAGGAAAAGAAGAAAATTGCTGAACTCAATTCACAAATCCAGATGGGAACAAACCCTAAATCAAGAAGCAGCCATGCGATACCTAAAACAACAATCAACAAAAACCTCACCAACCCATCTTCTCTCTGCTCTCATAGACTCCTTCAAAATCTTCAACTGCGACCCAACTCCCTCTGCCTACCACTTCCTCATCAAAACCCTAACCCAAACCTCTCAGTCCCACCAACTCACCCCACTTCTCAATCACCTCCAATACGTCGAAAATTTTCAGACACCCGAATACATTTTCGTCTATCTGATCGAATTTTATGGCCATAACAATATGATTCAACAAGCCATTGATCTTTTCTTCAGAATACCCAGTTTCAGGTGTACCCCTTCTGTGGTCTCCCTCAATTCTTTACTCTCTGTTCTTACAAAGAACAGAGAGGGTCTTCGAATTGTTCATCAAATCTTGTTGAAGAGTCAGCTGATGAGTATTCGGATTGAAGGATCGAGTTATTGTATATTAATCAGAGCTCTTTGTAGAATTAGGAAGGTTGGCTATGCAATTAAGTTGTTGAATTGTATGATTATTGATGGGTATAGTATTGAGGCCGTGAGTATGTGTTCTTTGACATTATCAGCGTTGTGTGAACAAAGAGATGTATATTCTGGTGTTGAGATCATGGGTTTCTTGGAAGAAACGAAAAAATTAGGGTTTTGCCCAAATGGGGCAGATTGGTGTAATGTGGTTAGGTTTTTGGTGAAGAAAGGGAAGGGTATGGATGCTTTGGATGCTTTGAATCGGATGAAAACGGATGGAATTAAGCCCGATATAGTATGCTATACTATGGTTTTGGATGGGGTTATTGAGGAAGGGAAATACACAGATGTGGATGAGCTGTTTGATGAAATGCTTGTGTTGGGTTTGGTTCCTGATATTTATACTTACAATGTGTATATAAGTGGTTTGTGTAAGCAGAACAAAGTGGAAGAGGGAATCAAGATGCTTGATTTTATGGAGGAGTTGGGGTGCAAGCCTAATATGATTACTTATAACATACTCTTGGAGGGGTTCTGTAAGGTTGGGGAGTTGGCAAAGGCAAAGAAGCTTGTGAGGGAAATGGAGCTGAAGGGTATGCAGCAGAATGCGTGGACGTGTGGGATTATGATTCGTGGGTTGGTTCGGATTGGTGAATTTGATGAAGCCTGTAGTTGGTTGAGGAAGATGTTAGAGGAGTGTTGCATTCCACATTCTTCGACAATCGATGAAATAGTATGTGGTTTGTGTCAAAGAGGATTGGTTTGTAATGCCATGGAACTGCTGGAAGAAATGGTTGGTAAGGATGTTGCTCCTGGGATTAGAGCATGGGAAGCATTAATTCTTGGATTTGGATATAATCCCAGTTTTGAGGAGACTGCTTTCATGGATTTAATGAGTCCCATTGGAACTGAATCAGTTGAATTGGTAGAACATAACTTCGATCATAGATTTCAGGCGAAGTTGTGAAAATCTTTGATGAATATTGGATTTCTAAGAGATTATACTGAGAACTCTCCCTCTTTTGGGACAGTTATGGTTTGTTTGTGAACATTGGATTGACTATAACATCTCCTGCAAGTTGCTGGTGAAGAATTGAATCACAAAATGCTGGATCATGGTAATTTTTTTGGGCACCATGTTCATGTCTTTTATGGAGTTCACTAACGTAAAACAAAAGAATGTATTGAGAGGTTTTATTCAATCTATTCTCTTGCAAATTTTCCGTTCTTCTGTAATATAACCTGTTATTCTTACCATAATCCATACAATTATACATGTCATGAATTGGTTTTCAATATACTTTTGTAGTAGATGACACTTTGTGGTCTTATATCCTGTTTGAGTTTTTCATCATAAATTCTCGTTTAACCTGTCCACTTAAGTTTAGTGTTGCTCTGATGGATAGTTTATTTAGATTAGTTGATTTTACCTCTGCCAATAGCGTTCTCAATTGTTTGAAGTTCCTCATGTTATTTCTTTATTTATTTACCATCTTCGTCGTCGTCATCTTCTTTTTTCCTATGAAAACTTGCATAATTGTTATTCTTGCATTATTCTTATTCTTTTTCGTGGTGCTCTGTCTAAGTTGCAATGAGTCTATACAGAATACTTGAAAAAACCACCCTTCCGTTGAGACTCAAGGAGGCTATGACAGGCGAATAAACCGGAATGAGATGACCTGACTTGAAATGAACTTGTTCGATTTTTTTACCCATATCTGTTGTTTATACTTGTCTGTGATTTAGAATTATTTGTAGCTGGACCAGATTCAATGTGCTTTATACTTGAATTTGTTCATCCATCATATATATGTGTGCAGAATTGATAAATGAAAGAGGGTAGAATTATTTATAAGAAAGGAACATACATTAGTTTCAATTTTCCTATTCTGAATTGATTGTCAATGTGTAAAAATAGTTACCATATTGGCTTGGAAATTGAGCCCGAACATCTCCCAACTTAGGAATATAAACTGCAAGAATACATGGTACCTACAAACGGATCAAAATCCTCTCCTGCGCAACAGTAGGACCGGTCACAGCTAGTGAGTTAAAATCGTAAAAGTTAAAAATTAAAAAAGCAAAACTTTTGTATAATACACACATACATACGAGACCTAATCAAAACCAGACCAACTTTTTGCTCTTTTTTTTCTTTCTCTACACAAACATTTCTCTAACCTACAACTTGTATATCACAACATTTTCCTAGCCTACATCCCAACTTTCTCCTTACCAACATCCTACTTATTGTATAAATACATAAATAAACATATCTTAATATAAATTGTATATCACAACATTTTCTTAACCTAAGCTACATTTCAACTTTTCCCTTACCAGCATCCTAACTTTTTCCTTACCAACATCACACGATTTATTGCTTTATCTTGTTTGGGATGTACGTTAGAAAAATGTTGGGATGCTAGTAAGGAGAAATTTGAAAAATATTGGGATGTTGTTAAGGAGAAAGATGGGATGTATAGACTTTGTATGTTTACACTAAAAACTGACTTACCTATTTCCCAAACTTTCCTCTTACAAACATCACAACTTTCTCCTTACCAACATCATACTATTCATTGCTTTGTCTTGTTTGGGATACACGTTAAAAAAATGTTGGGATGCTAGTAAGGAATCTTGTTTGGGATACACGTTAAAAAAATGTTGGGATGCTAGTAAGGAAAGAGTTGGGATTTACGTTAGAAAAGTATTGTGATGCAAGATCAACGTCCAAACATTTTTCCTAACAAGAGAAATAGATGAATAGTAGACCATATTCTAAGAAAATATTGGGGTGTACATTACGAAAATATTGGGATGTTGTTAAGGAGAAGTTGGGATGTATAGATTTTGTATATATGCACTAAAAACTGATTTACTCTCTTTTGTCTTTTTTGACTAAGTGACGTGGCAAACTTTGTATATATACATTAATATGTCTTCAGTAAAAATTGATTTACTTTCTTTTTTCTTCTTTAACTAACTGACGCGACAAAATGGTGTCTACATATCACTTATAGGCTGGGACATTTTTTCTGTTGCGCTGGAGAGGATTTTGATCCACCTACAAATCCAGTGATTAAGGCCCTGTTTGGTTTGTGTAGTGTAGTGTTCTATGTTGTTCCCTACAGTGCTACAGTACCCATTTTTAGACCACAATACGTTTGGGCCGGGCTGTGTTGGTCCGAATAGTTGCAGAACATTCTGTAAAAAAGGGCCAAATCTTGGAACACCAAATTGGCGTTCTCGCTTGTTCCGACTTTATTTCAGGGCCAACTTTCACTGTAGTGGGTGCAACAAATGCACCCACTTGTTCTCATTTCAGAACAACTATAAACTGAAAATTCAGACATGTTCTAGGGCTAAAAGCTTGCCTTGCAGCGTGCCGACTCCACTACAGCAAGGCGATTCATGGTCTGCTTTCTCTTCCGCCTCTCCCTTTCTCTAAAACTTTTTTAACTAAGATCACAGCAACCTATGTTTCATCGAGCCAATAACTCCAGATCAGAATCAAATGAGCCGCCTCTCTCTCTCTCTCTCTCTCTCTAAAACTCTAACGAATTCTCTATTCCTCCCTATTTATTAATCCAATTCGTGTAATCAAAATCGTTTCTACTCTTTCCCAAAATTTTCGAATTATAAGGTTTAGTTAGTGAAGCTTACCTGAAAATTGAAATTCTTTAATCAACAAATGCCAGATCTCGAACCCTAAAACCAAGAAATCAAATCTTTTTGAAGATAAACAGGTAGATCAACCCAAAAATTACCGAATATGATTTTTGCGTTGCTGAAAATGATCTTTATCTCACCTCTGCGTTTTCCGGCGAACCCAAAGCTTCGGCGCGTCGATCTATCACTCCGACGAGCTCTTGTGCGCTCTCGTCTGCCGATTCGGCGAACCCCACTTCTGCGTTTTTTTAACTGAATTTTTGTTTGATCCAAATTTTCAAATTTCTTGCAATTTCTTCACCTGCTATATATATATATATATATATATATATATATATATATATATATATATCAAAATAGTTTACACTATTATACTTGAATCTTCATTTTTTATATTTGTCCATCTAAAATTTAAAAAATAAAAAATAAAATGGAGAAAGAAAAGAACAAAGGAAACAAATTGTGACTTATTATTAGATAATATAATATATAATCAAATTTGTTTTTCTATTTTTAGTAAAAGGGTATTATGAAGAAGCAAATTTTCTATTTATAGATTTTTATTTGTAATTTTTTAACAAAAAAAACCCAACACTCGTATTAACTTCATGCAATGGAATTTATTGGTAATATTTACAGGTTTTTATTGGTAATTTTTTAACAAAGGAAACTCAATAATTTTTTTTGATAAATTATAGTTTTGGAATTTATCACTTAAAAAAAAAAGATATTTCATGATTTTTTTTATTGATTTTGGTTACACTTTTATCCTGTCAAACATGTTTTGTTCTCATATTTCTTGGAATGAAATACCTTGCTAAACATGTTTTACTTTATTTCTGTTCCAAAATTATAACTGTAAATTTTCGTCGTCAAACATATTTTGTTCTCCTTTTAAAACATCACATCTCAAAATAATTACATTACACCACACAACACTTTCCAAAGGCATAGGGCCTGTTTGTTAGGTGTTTTACTTTGGTGTTTTTGTTGCAGGGCTCCATTTCAGGCCCAAAAACATGTTTGGTAGCACTTGTTTTGTTTTAAAGAGTACAAAAATATTGTTTTAAACAGTACTCAATTTGGGCCCAAAAGTGAAATACCGAAATGGTGTTTTTTGTTGTTTCTAAACTGTAGCCCAATAAAAAGCACTGTAGCGGTTGAAGTAAGTTGGGTCTAACACTGTAGTGGAGGAAGTAACTTTAAACCGCGTTTGCAACATGTGGCCCGATCTTTTCTCTCTCCTCCGAAACCCTAGAGAAGGCGATTTGGGAGGCGACGAAGATTTGGGAGGCGACGAAAAGGAATCGGTAAGTACTCTCTCTTCTATTTCTCTCCTGTTTAAAGACCTTTCCTTTGTTGTTTCCTTTGATGTTGCTTTACTTCCAAATCTACAAGCACGAAGTCGTTAAAGCTCAGATTTGATTCTGGTTTGGTTTGTTCACGAGTGACTTAGCAAGTGGTGTGGAACACCTATTCCTTTAAGATCGTAACTGTTTTAACATTAGAAATGAGTGGGGGTATCATCAGTATGCATAATATTGTTGGATCATGCATTCAGTGTGCAAAGAAAACAGATCCTAGTAGCTCGTAATGAGTGGGGGTATCATTAGTTGGAGGGTTGACTTTAATGCTTACTCCATAGGATCTGTTTTCTTTGCACACTGAATGCATGGTCCGTTAAAAAAAATAAAATAAAATGCTAGGACGGATTTAATTGCATTTGAAGCATATTTTTTTTATAACCTATTTAAATAGGTCGCTTTTGGTTGAATTTTTGGCTATTTTGATTCGGGTGTGTGTATCTATATATAAATATAAATGGTTTGCGTGCAATCTATGTTTAGGCATTGTGAAGTATAATATTATTAGGGGTTTATTTATTTTGTTCAAAATTATGTTTACAATATTACTCTGACGAAATACAAGGGTGTGATTTAAGAAAAGTTTGTTCTTTTATTGCAGGGGATAATTGACTTTGCACTGAATCCAGTAACATACAAGATTGATACTGATCATTATCTTTCAATGCAGTTTCATTTGAATTTTCTACTGTAATTATCTAGATATCTATGCTTTCATGCTTTAATTGTCCTGTGACTATATTTTTATTTGCCTCTCATAATTCTTTTTATTTATTTATTTTTTGTTTCAGTGAAATTCTGTTTCCAGACATAATATCTTTTGATTTAGGTAATCTTTGCCATCCTTATATATTTGATATTGTTTCAGCTAATTGATTAATTGATGAGCTTCTGATTGTATGTTTATCTTGTTTGGAACCATTATTGAGTTTGACCTACACTTATATATCTCGTGTGTGTCCATGATAGTTTGCCACTATTGTTTCTGTTGTACTCGTGTGGAAATCAAACAACCTCTTAAGTTTCTTTTGGATTTCTTGTCTGGTTGCTGAGAATTTCACATCTCCTTAGTATTCCTCTTTTGTGGTGTCCTGGATCTGCACTTCTGTACACAAAATATATGTTTCCATTTTGACTTGCCTATCAATTGATCGATCGATCGTTCCATCTGATATTATCAAAGAAGAGCAAGCAACGTGTATTGTAAGTAAGGGCGTCCTCTTCTCTCCTCAGATCTACAGCCCCTGTTCTCCTAGCCTCAGGAGTCTCTTCACTCTTGCCGTTTGACGGAACAAACAAGGTTGTTTTCCCTCTGAGTGTTTGATAACAAAAAAATTCAATCCAACTTCTATTTTTTATTTATTTTTTATATAATTTGTTTTTCTGATCATGTCAAGCTGCATATATATATATATATATATATATTGTTGATTTTGGTTTTTGATTATTTGTTATTGTAAGAGATGGATCTTTGACTTTCTAAGTACCTTTATGATTTTTTATTGGAATTAATTTGATTGTTGATATATAGTAGCTTTCTTTGGTTTCATTTGATTTCGGATAAAATTATAGCTGTAATGAATTTGATCTCCATTTTTTAATTTGATTGGCGATGTGTAGTTGCTTTATTTGGTTTCATTTGATTGCGAGAAAATTATAGTTGAAGCTTGTAATAAATTTGATCTCCACTTTCCTAAAATTACCTTGCTATTGATTTTAGAGATTTTCTCCAGATTTCTGTTTTTAGCATTTATCAGAATAATATCTATAGCAAATGCTATAGACTATGCACTCATTGTGTGTGTGAAAAACAAGAAAAAATCCTCTGGCATTAATCCGGATTGAAAAATAAGAAAAAATCCTCTGGCATTAATCTGTGTGTGCAATGTTTGTGGAATATGAACTTAAACCACTTCCACATGTATGAGTGAGTGAGTGAATATTGTAGAGATGTTACTGAACTTATTGGCATATGAACTTAAAGCAACACTTGCTATCATATTAACTGAATTTCAATCACAAGGAACCAAATTATTCAAGAGCTACTTAGCATAATACCAATAATATAAAAATTTACAAAGTCACTTAGCACGCCTTTGTGTTCCAACTCAATTCAACTCAACCATCTCAACAAAGAAATGAACTTTGACATGAGAGAAGAATATACTGAGGCACCTCAACACTGCACCAAGCAAAGTTCCAATTCATTTCTTTTTTTTCCCGAACAATAAAAGAATTCAGTTGTTAAACAGAAAGTGATTACAACTATAGAAATATATGTTTGTGTGTTCAAATTTCATAAGAACACAGTAAAAAGATGGAACTCTATATGTCAAATTTTATATATATATATATATATATATATATATATATGTTTGTGTGTTCAAATTTCAATATATTTATTAAAAATATATAGACTATTTATATAGAAATAAATTTATAAATATATTTAAAATTTATAAAAATAAATTAAAAATAATGATAACCAAACATGTTTTTTGTTTCTGTTTTATTTTTTTTTTACAACAGTTGAAGTTACCAAACATATTTTGTTTTTAAAATTCTTGAAACGCATGGCTTACCAAACATGTTTTTCATGTTTCTGCTTCCGACATTTTTACAACAAAATATCTTTTCCAAACGTATTTCTGATTTTTGCCAAAACACTCCAATAGTAAAAACACTGTTTCCATTTTAGACAAAAATAAAATGCCTAAAGTAAAACGGCATGCCAAACGGGTCCACAATGAACGTACATGATTGTTGTCATTGTTTTCTTCGATGTTGTGTGTATTACGGAGTACTTTGCTTATAAATCCCGTGATTAAATGGCACACACATTGAGTGAAATGTCACAGAGTCTGAGGTCCCGGAGTGATTTCAAAATTTCATGTAATTTCCAACTATATAATAATTATACCGTTTTGATTGCACCAATGAGTAAAGCACAGTCAGTGTTCTTTATCCAATTAGCTTTTGCCACGTGTTTCATTTTTGTAGCAAGTAAGGAAAACATGGTCGCGTGGTCTTTGAACTGCAAAACGTTTTTTCGGCTGTCATTAGTATTGTGAAGTGGACCATATGCATGAGTCTTTTCATGTGGAAGCATTGGGATGTTGTGTTGGATTGAATTACATTTTCTGTGATTTAAGGTGTCTCTTGATTGGTCCATAATTGACCACCTTAATTGAGTGCCCTATGGGACAAGAGACCCCTGATTGATAGGCAGGTCTCAATTCCATCTCATTCCGATTGCAATTGATGATGAATTATTAAATGATTTCCATCAATCACAATGTACATGTGTCACGTAAGTATTAAAAATAAGATAAAAGAAATAAATATTTTGATATAGTGGTCATAGACACGAACTACAATAAGTTTAGCGGGGACATCGATCCTTACTAAAAATTTTAATTATTGTATTTTATATTTTTAAATTTATATATATATTTTTAATATTTACACTCATAAAATTTTAAAATTATCTATGCTGAAATTATAAAAAAAAAAAAAATCCTTTATATAAAATTATTCTCCTCATATAAATTTTTAAATACATCCCTAACCGTCACAATATATAATTAATTGAGATCATGTCGTGTAAAAATTTCTAATCTCAAAATTGATCAAGTGTTAAATCATGTCTCTCACTTAGTTATCTAATCTCACAATTGATCAGTTGTTAAATCAAGCCTCTCACTTAGTTATCTAATCTCACAATTGATCAGTTGTTAAATCAAGCCTCTCACTTAATTATCTTAATGTAATGTATTTGAGTTTTCTTATTTGCAAAGCGGTGTGATTATTTGAGTTTTCTTATTTGTAAAGTGGTGTGAGTTGAGTTTTCTTATTTGTAAAGTGGTGTGAGTCTAGTCATATGATAGGTCCACAAATGTCTTATGAGTAATCCATATATCTATTGTGTGATGAAATGAATTTTTCTATTGTATACATATTATGGAATGAATTTTTTGATTGTATAAATATTATTTTCCAATTAATTTACAATGTTTGGATTGAAATTAATAATGGCAATTTGCGTCCTAACTACTTGTAGAAGAGCCTCTCACTAGCATATGCCAAAAACAACCAAACATCCATTCACGCGTACAAAATTTGATCACATGTCAATTGGCCAAATGCTTGATTTAGATTTTAACATATTCTTAACATTATTTTGCCATAAAAAAAAAAAAAAAAAAAAAAGACACGTTATTATAGACTGAAACTCAAACCTCATTCTTACCAATTTATTTTCTTTAATTTTTGTACCCAAAAAAATGATTCCTAATTACCAGGCCCATGCTGGCCCAATACTATTTTTATGTTTTTTATACCTCTAGTTCAATAATTTATACAAAATGCTCTCCCGAATTTTTCCTTTTTCAAAGCTGCCCTCTGTGTCATGCTAGCCTATTAAATTCTTTTATATTTTATGCATATAATTTATTAAATTATACAAAATGATCCACTAATTTATGTTTTTTTTTTTTTTTTTTTTTAAATCCTTCTAATTTATTTATTTCAAAGTTTCCCATATATTATTTCCCAGCCTACTTAATCATGATACAATGTCCCTCACATGGTCAATGCATACATGGACAAACAGATTGGTGGAACAGCTCTCTTGATGGGTCAAATGCCATTTTGTGGTGAACCTAGGATTGTAAACGAACCGAACTGAGCCGAACTTTAGGCTGTTCGAACTCGGGTTCGTGATGAGCTCGAAAACTCGACTTGGCTTGGGCTCGTCATGGTATTAAAGAGCACTGGTCCGGCTCAGCTCGTTTAAGAAATTAAATTGAACTCACATTTAAAATTTGCTTACTCGTTTGCAAGCTTGCCAAGCTCGTTTAGTAAATCATTATATTTTTATTTTATACTTCCGAAAATTAAACAATTCCAACAAAAAGTAAAAAACATACGTAAACGATCCCTTAACAAGCCGATTGTTCACGAACATATACAAGCCTTATATGAGCATATGTTCACAACATAAACGAGTTTACACAAGCCGAGCCTAACACTGATCAGGCTCGCTCATTTAGTAAACGAGCTTAGAAATTGAGCTCGAACTTGGCTCTTTTGCTTTACGAACGAGCCTGAACCCAAACAACTCAGTTCATTTGCAACTCTGGGTGGACCCCACCAAGGACTGTGATAATGTATGATTTATATTTTTATTTAATTAATTCTTTCATTTTATACCATAAGAGGCTAAAGTGGATCCAATAGATAGTGAAAATAAAAGCTTAATCGATCTTTTACCATAAAATTTTATTGTTGTGAGCCGGAAAAGCAATGATAGGGTCCATGCATTAGAATGTGATCACTAGTGATGTTTCAACCTAATTAGAAGCTAAACCGCAAATAAAGGATTGGATATGTTTTGCAAAGTCTCATCACTCATTCTAGGACCGTTAGGTGTAACGTAACACCTTTTTTTTAAAGATATAAAGCAATATGTCGTGATATACTAGCTGTGATGAATTAGACCACCACCCACCACCTCGCGTTCGTCGACTTGGTGCACAATTGTTGTTGATTGGCAATTCTTACAAATTGTACATATATTAGACATGAGATTACGGGTGGTAATAGATTTTTCAATCTTTTCATTAAGAAAAAATTTCTAAACCATACGACACCTAATAATCGAACTAAACTTGACAATATGTAACAATTTGAGTAATGATCTTCGCTCATTTCTTTCACCGGAGAGGATTTGAGTCCCATTGACTTTAAAAACGAACATTTAATAACAAATATTGATTGATTAAAACCAAATCCAAGGCCCCACCTAGCTAGTCAAAAAGGTGGACGTGGTATATATGAGTTCTTTCTCCATCATTTTCTTTGAACGTGACTTCAACGGGTTACTCTAAAACTTCAACCAAACAAAAACAGTGACAATTTAAAACTTATATTACAGTTTATACCATTACTCCATTAGTAGTCCACGTGAAAAACACGTGCATATATATATAATTATATATACTATATTATTGATGGATTGAATTCCCTAACTCCACTCAAGGTGGGGAAGGAAAAAATCAGTCTGATGCACCTCAATGGGACCAGGATCTCTTACGTTCATATTGTGGTAATTACATTGACATTTTTGGCCCTCTATTCTAGTGACAAAATTATTTTCATTGTGATATATAAGACTATAAGAGAAGTATCGTGCCTTTTTTGCTCCTATGTTTAGGTTAGAGATCGAATTAGTGTACCATAATTCTAAACAACCATTATTATACAATTTTTTTTTCCCTAGATGTTTGTTACATGCACTTAGGTCCGTCCATTACATACAACGTTCCAAGCTTACAGTTGCTTACAGTTACATATATATATATATATATATATATATATTCCACAATTAATCAAATAGCAAGCACAAGACCAGGCAAGGAACGGTTCACCAGGTCTCGAGGCTGGCTCTGCCACAGGGTGGGGATCTGGACCCCAAACACCAGACCCATTGGCCTTAGCTTGCTCACCGTGAGCCATGTGTTGAAGTACTCTCTAAACTGCGTGATCAAACCATCTTTCAGAGTCCACACATGCACCCAATACACCTGTGTCCCTTCCCAGCCCTCCGCGATCACCCGGTCGTCGATGGCCGTGATGCTCCGAGGCTCGAACTTGAACTGGGTGGGCCCCGATTCACCGGTGAGCACCCTCATCATGTGCTGGCAGTTTTGAGGCCCGTGGAACCACCATTCTAGGTCACTCGCCAAAATTCCGGCCACCCTCTCCGCCTCGCCTCTCCCCAGTGCCTCGTAGAGCGATTTCACCGTCGCCTTGTTCTCCATTTCCGGTTCCGATACCGGAGTTTCCACATTTTTGGCATCCATTTTTATTCGATTAATAATGAGGCAAGAAGTGAGGCACTTAGTAGAGAATACTAGGAATGTGTGTTAGAAGAATATGAAAATGCATGGTGTGGTTCTAACTACTGGAACTCTTTTATAGCAAAATTTTGAGAGAGAGAGAGAGAGGACTTGATTATTGTTTAATGCTGACGTGGACAATCCAATGGCCTAGATTGGCTGGTGAGGCAGATGTATCCAATGTCTCCCCTAAATAATATTCTAACCAAATTCCTTCACACACACAAAACACCGAAAAAAGTAATAATAAAATAAATAATAAATAAAACTCCAAACTCAATGCTTTTTCTGGGGACAAACGATGAGATTCAAACTGTACCAGATAATACAAATCATGTTCTATTATTATATGACAATATTATATAGAAAGCTTAGAAAAGTTCGTAATGTCTCACTTTGTATATGTCATATCAAGAACACCATTTTATTTTCTCTAGCTTTATTATTAGTTCAACAGTAACGCCAAGCCCAAGGATCGAATAATTCCTTTTTGGTTTAATTTATTCTTTTTCCTAACTCATTCTTAGTTCTTCTCCTATTATTAATACTTTCAGTTTTGGTAGTAGAATATGCTAGAAATTGACCTCTATTTTGATCATTTTTTTTTTTTTTTTTTTTTTTTTTTTTTTTTTTTTTTTTTTATCGTTTTTGAACCCCTCTCGACAAGGACAAAATATCATACCTTCTTAGTAAAAATATTATATTATTAATTTATTTTCATTATGAGAGTAATATATATCGTCTAATTCTGGATATACAAATTGAATATTATATTGAATTTTAAATGACACTAACACACATCTCATCGAAAACTTAAAAATTGAAAATATATACTCATTCATTTTCTCTTATTTTACAATTACCAAATAAATTTGAGGTATTTAATTTTGAGATTTATCAATCAAAAAGCACCATCTGACACTTAAAAGAAGGAATTGAGAAGATTTATGAATTGCAAATATTAATATACCTTCAAAAGTTGCATGGGTTAAAATAATTCTAAATTTCTAACAATTAATAAATTCATCCTTCCAAAGGAAGTGGAGACACATGTTTGACAGTGAAATGATGTTCCTTTTCTTAATTATATTTTCTAATATTTTCTCATGTTTTTTAGTTAACCTAAAAGCTCCAAATATTTCTGTTTCATGGGCAAATATTATATATGCAAAATTGAAGCTTTTTAGTCATTTTCACAGGTCTGTCGTCTACACTGGCGATTCATTCATGCCAGCCTGCCTCGTCGTTTATTGTTTGACTCAGAGACATCGCTTTTAGGGTGGTGCCGTTTTTCTCGCCGATGCCAGCCGATAGAGACATGCATGGGTCACGTGGAGCCTCACACCAATCATGTTTATGGTGGCTTATGGCTATGGTTCATGATTCGCGATCGCGGTGTAATGGATTCGGATAAAATTAGTATAAATTGATCGATATAGATTACGTATTGAATTTAAAAAAGGATTACTTATTGATCGATATGTTACATATCAGACGATACGGTGAGCTATGCTATGATTATAAATGAACCTAGCCAAGTTGAACCTGCTCAAATTCAGCTCATTCGTTTGTGAATTTAGCTTATACTATACTTAAATATATATTGTGAGTAGTTTGAAAAGTTAAAGTTAAACTAGACATGTTTAATAACAAAAATTATTTGGGCTAGCTCAATTTGAGCTCTTGAATAAAAGGTAGTTTTTGTCTGTTTAATAACTTTTATAAATTTATACGAGTGTATGTTTATAAACATATATATGTAAGTCGGCTAAGATTAAAAAATTTATACAAATGCTTATGAACGTGTTCATGATTGTATGTGAACTTATGTCTATGAATATATTTAAGTTTACATGAGATCGATTATGTACTTTCATGAGTCTAGACAAGCCGACCCCAATATTGCTCATAATCAATTCATTTGTTTAGCAAATGAGCCTAAATATGTTTGGTTTCGTTTTTCAAAACAAAGTTTTTTTTTTTTTTTTTTTTTTTTTTTTTTTTTTTTTTTTTTTGAGAAAAAGAAAATTTTGCATGGTTGAAATTTTTTTTAAAAAGAAATAAAAAACAAAATTTCATTAAAAGTAAAGAGTCTCTTATAAATAATGATAAGCAGTTCGAAAAGTCGAATATATGCGATTGTTTTATGTGAGTGAGAAATGATATTATCATGATGTCATTAAATTTTTTTAAAAAAAATTGCACTGACCTCCCTTGAAATTTGGACAAATTACGCACCGGTAAAATGTTTAACCTTTATTAATTTGATATCTCTAGCTTAATATTTAGCGCGTGTCGTTAAAAAAAATATATATGACTATATTGTCATTTCCTTGCGTTAGAAGATTTCAATAACCTTATATTTTAACCTAAAATGACAAAAATAATATGAAATGTCATTGAAATGCAAAATATCAATTTTTATATCAATTTCATATTATTAAATTTTACAAAAAAAAATATTATATTTTATTTTTGTTAATGACATTTAATTAGGTTTCTTGTTAGGGTTTGATTAAGGTTTCTATTTTTAAATAAATAAATAAATAATACGTAGAGCAATATTGTGTTTACAAAAAAAAAAAAGTGTGTAATGGAGTCTCTTTTGATTTGACAATTTTTTTAATTAAACTAGTACTCCGTACAATATTACATTAAATAGAGGTATGAAAGACATTTCACATTTTAAAGAATGTCAAAGTAATATTACCTCCGTCCCAAATTAAATATCCTCTTTGGGGAACCATGATTGTGAGTCATGATTCCCCAAACAGGACATCTTTTTTAAAACAGAGGGAGTAAAAGTAAAGTGTTTTATGTATGTATAATTTGTCCAAATTTTAAAGAAGATTAATAATATCATTCTTTACTTGCATAAATTTAACCGTGTCCGATTATTCTTCAATAATTGAACCAAACGGGTTAAAAGTTTGCATATTTTGAAAGTACATTTGTGTAACAGTGATACAATTAGGATGATGGTTTGGTGTGCTGTTAAAATTCAAGCATCTTCAAAACCTGAGAATAGTTACTTTGTAATAATAATAATACCACACTAGCTAGGTTAACGATTCCTGTAGTACCTTTTATGTGCAAAGCGGTGACATAAAAAGATTCTTAAGAAATAAGCAAAATATGCTTTGTACATTGGCCGGCTTGTTCCATGGCCAAATTAATCATTGACAAATACGTATATATATATATATATATTAAAATCTTAGTTTGGTAGTTCTAAGCAAAATATGGCTTGCTATTAAAATCTTAGCTTAGTTCCAAGTGAAAATATGCTTTGTGCCCCCTCTGCGCACTTACACTGGTCGGCTTCTTATATATAAACATAATAAATAAATAAATAAATTTCTCCTTATTTGATTATGTACCTAGTAAACCTAGCTAGCTAGGACATGTACAAATGCACTAAATAATATATATATATATATATATATATATATATATATATATATATATTATGTAAAGCAAAAACTCATGTTGTTTCAACTGGTAACTTATGTAATTTTTTTTAGGACAAGATTAAATAAACACTCAAGAGCGAGACGAGACAGAAAAATTGGAGCTGGAAATATTAACTTCAATCACACTCATGTCTCTACTGAAGTACGCTCAACCTCTCCTTTAGAGAGGACTTGCTTTAGCCAAGTTATTATTCATTTAATTTAATTTGTGTGAAGTTATACCACTTAGATCAATGGTTAGATTGTCCAGCTAGAAAAAAAAATAATAATAATTTCATATACCTCTACTGTTATTTTAAATATATAAATTTCTTAGTGATTTGTAATGGATAGATTGTCCTGCTAGAAAGGAAAGGAAAAAAATTCGTACACATCTACTGTTATTTTAAATATATAAATTTCTTAGTGATTTGTAATGACCAATAATGGACCTTTATAAAATGGATATTTTAGTAAATAATATTTGGGAAAATGGAAAGGTTGTTGCCGACAGAAAAGTTCAAAATATAGCGTGACCCAATTAATAAATCCCGCGAATGACCCACTTTGAGTGGATCCCTTACTAGGCTGTGCAAATCCTCTCGATCTTCTGCAAGCCTAACATAATAATACTATATGTAAATACAGACATAGACATATAGAGAGAGACAGTACAAGTACAAACATATGATATTGATGCATTTAATGATACCAGTTGGATCCAACCAGGTATCGATGCCTCGTGTGCACGGAGTTAATTTGGACATTCTCAGTCAGCCAGTCAGTCAGAGACTAAAAGCTCACACGACGGAAATTATTTGAGCTGTACAATGTACTGATCATCGAAACTCGTATGGATAGGAACCAAGTATGGTCATCTCCGCTACCCATCATTTGTTCGATTTCTCAGTCTTCCTGTCCCAAACAATATTTGGAGGTCCCCTTCAATTAAATCACGACATATATGCATTAATTGCTACTCCGTAAACATATATATATATATATATATACACACACACACACATATACCTTATATGATTGACACTTATCATCTTTGTTTCTCTGTTTCATTCCTCATCCACTCAATATAGATGACCTCTATTTTGTTTTTTAAGTTCAAAGACAACGATACAATACACAAGAAAAAAAAACCTTTTTATCTTCATAAAGATAGGATTCGATAATAATATTACATTATCTTTGGAGTACCGAATTAACGTCTTGAATTTGGAATTGAAACACAATTTTAAGATTGTATTCAATTGCATGAAATTGGAGTTTTATAATTGAAATTTGTGGAATTGAAGAAAAATAACTCACAAAATTAAACCAATTTTTTTCTCTAATTCCATCCATGCAGTCGAATACAGCTTAAATTTTAACTAAATTTCTTTCGATTCTTAAACCAAGACGTCGATTCGATACTTCAAAACATAATGTCCTGTAACTTTCATGCATTATAATTTCCTCCTAAAGCTATAATCCTTATAAACATTTTTTATTATGATTATAAACATTGAATCATCTTTTCATTGGAATGACAATGTATGTGTAAGATTTACCTACGACGAGAGAGAAGAAAAGGAAAAAGAAAGCAAGGGGAAGAAAGTGGCACTAATATAGATTAATAGTTTTTTATTTTTTTTATTTTAACAAACTTTAATTAAAGGAGAGAGAACAAAAGTAGGATAAAAAATAATTGCAGACGTTGGCTTGATTTAATTTGATTTTCGCCTCCAAGTGTGACTGCCAATTAATTAAATACTGGCTTGTTATACGCATGCATTATGTGCCATAGAATAATAATATATGCAGTGTTGGGCAGGCAAAAAATACCAAAAATGAAATAGGAATGACTTTATTTTAGAACATTGGCGGGGCCTTTGTAGACAAAGATTCTTAGTAAAGAAATGGGTCCAAAAGATCAAGCGTTAGGTGATGAGTTGCCACTTCATGATCTAATCATTACAAACCTATGGCTTCAATTGGGTCCATTTCCCCTCACCCATGGGTCTAAATCAAACGGGTCGCAGTCTTCACGTGCATGCCCTCATAATGCAGACTGCGATGGCTCATCCATGGCTCTCATTCAACTCATAATGGCTGGAGATGCCCAGTAATGATCTGTACATGATTTTTCTTAATTGGCAAGAGGCACATGCATCCAATTTTTTCAACCAAGACTAGAATCTCACCATTCCCTTTAAGAGGTAGAGGATTTTTACAGCTTCAACAAATTACAACCGTTAAATAGTGTTTCAACACCATTACTTTCGCCTTGAAATAATGTAATTAAACATGATTTACTTGCATTAAAAACGTAATGCATGCTACAGAAGAGGATCTGGATGAAAGAGCGTCGTCTCTTAAACACGATCACAAGAACCAGAAACGGTGAGTGAACAAAAAGATTGAAAAAGAATAAGAGAGGATCATTTGATCCTGGAAGAGGAGGAAAAACCACTGCAAGGGCTCTCATTCTTATTGTTTTTACCTCTATTGCAGTCGTCTATATTAGTATTTTTTTTTTTTCTTTCTATAAGAGGATTGAGGTTGGGAGAGCTGTATTTTACTAGCCCTCTCTCAGCAATAAGAGGATTAAGTCCACCTTGTCCTGCTCATTATCAGATTCTTCAGGAGAGCTGTATTTTATTCTACTAACAAAATTATCCGCGGAAAAGCGTTGCCGGCAAACACTCTAGATTTTAAGGCATTTAGAAGATTCTGTTTCATACTCTCTCTCAACGAACAATTTCAATGACAATCCTCTATTCCCCTTCTTTAGCAGGAGCTGAACTAATAGTTTGGTCAGGTTGCTGAGCAAAGCCAGGACAATTCTAAGAGATCAGGCAAAACCAAAATGAGAAAGTTTTACCATTTCCAGATTCCAAGTTCCATCTTCCTTCGGTTTGGAGTTATCAACCATAACATGTATGCTCCCATCGACTCTACTTCCTGTGTAACTAAGAAAATGAAGATTAACTATACACAACGCTGTACAGTGACAAAAAAACGACATGCTTATGGAATAATATCACCAGAAAACTCATACATTAGGTGCATGACAATTTATACTACATTGTACTCTCCTTACCATTGCACCAGATCTTCAGAAATAATCAAAAGTTTATTGCATCATAGTACAAAATAATAATAATAAATAAGAGGCCAGACCACCTTGAAGAGCGAGTCAGTAACTTCACTGTGTGTATACAGCCTTAACAATGTGAAAATTGTGTGGTTTACAGTTTACATTACACTTATGATGTAAGTCCTTTGGGTGATCATGCAAAATTTTCTTAGATAGGAACTTTCTCAAGCACTAACCGAACTCTAGTCCTGTTTCCAAACAAGAGACGAACTTGAATACAAAACCAGTTATCTGTTGGGGTACATCAATTATATGTATAAAACACTACTTCGTAGCCTACACACTACAAAGTAGGATGTGAATTTAGACACTTGAATGTAGTCTTTACATGTATATCATGCGTATATATTTAAACAACTAGTTCTATTTTAGGTGGAAACCAGTTCCCACCATAAAAAAAATGTTTAATATGCATAGCATAATAAAGAACGGTGATATAAAAAATGGAAATTTCAACCAAATTTATGCAAACTAAAATAGGACAAAATTTTATTTCAGTCTTACCTATTCAATCCGAGACCGACTCCATTCCATTACTTTCCTCTACTGCACATAGTTCAAACTTCTAGAATAATTTATTCCAGTCTCAACTTAGTTCATATCTGTTGCAGTACTGAATCTCTTTCATCTATATTTCCTTCAATCCGAGACCAAATCCATTCCATTACTTTCCTCAACTGCAAATAGTTCAAACTTCTAGAAAAAAATTATTTCACAAAATGATATACTCAAGTTGATAGCACAGGGAAAAGGTATACGGTTTTTCTTTAAATAGCACCAGCAGCAGTGGGACAATTTCAAGGTTATGAAAGCTTTGATCAGCCGATTCCCATTCATCTTTCCATATTCTAAAGCTGAATAGAGCTAATGTACTTGATAACATGCGAAGGCAGGCCTTGGTACAACGATAAGGTTGCTTCATCGTGACTGGAGGTTGCAAGTTTGAAACGGGAAGCAACCTCTCCACATGCGGAGGTACAGCTGCGTATATCTGACCCTCCCTAGACCCCGCAATGATGGGGGTCTCGTGCACTGGGCTAGCCCTTTTATTTCACTTGATAACATGTGTTTTCTCCTCTTCAATCCAAGGAAATATGCCGAGGTCATTCATCTTCAATCATTTGTGAAGGCATAATTGTCTCAGGAAGATTCACCACTCTCATATCATTTACAAATGCAATAAAACATAAATAAATAAATAAATAAAAACATTGAGAGAGAGAGAGAAACCTGGCAAGTCATATTTGCTTTCCCCAAAATGGTAGCTACTTTTATGTTGGTTTTAGGAACCTAAATGCTGGTTAATCAGATGGCTGCATCTTCAAGTTGGACTGCTGGAACCAAGGTCTGAGTTGCTATGAAGTCATCACTCCATACAGTAGTTGCATTTGAAGTTGATATGATGTAATATTGATTTATAATTGCTATCAATCCATTCTATTGCAAATCTCATTCATCTAGGCCAAACTCGTTCAGTTACCTTCTGTAACTGCATAATGTTTGAACTGCTACAAATATGCAATTTTACGGACAATGTGTACTATTCAAGGAAAAGGGCAGAAAGGACGTAACGCAAAACCATTGATTCCTTGCTTTTATCATGAGCAGAAAAAGCATTTATAGGAGCATTTCGAAGTCTGAAGTTTCATCTGCCCAACTCCTGTTCAACTTTCCCTCTTTATTAGCCTCGAAGTAGAGCTGATATATTCCATAAAGCGTGTTGTTTCTCCCTCTGAAGTCAGGAAAACACGCCACTGCAGCTCACCTTCCATTGTTGGCAGTATAAAAATGTGTTGGGAGGCATCACCAATATCCCCTCTGAATTTATTGAAAATGCCAAAGTTTCTCATTCTCAAAAATTAGATCCCATTGCTTACGGATGCAAGGTATTAGGAGTATTATAAAATATATAAATAAATATATTTTTAGAGTAAATTCATTTTGAGTTGGTATCTATGCAACGACAGGGAATCTGACTCAACAATACAAGACAGCAAAAATACATATACAGACTCTCACTCCAACACAATGTTCTAGAAACCAAATATGCTTAGATGATTTTGAAAGAAGTTAATGATTATATTTTTCAAAAGCTCAACAAGAAGAACTAAAGCTCTATTAACTACGAATAGACATAAGGGTATATGGAACATGACACAATTATCTTTCACAAGTACTGTCACGCACTATAATTATAACCACACTCTTACACTCCACTTTCTACAGATATTTGTAATCAGTTCCTTTATTAAAGAAATCGAGTGAAGTGCAAGAGTACAAAAGTGGAGTACAGATATTACATGCCTATATTTTGTATAAAAAATTTAGTTGATTTTATTTTCTTGCAATTATAACTTTTCATGTTAAAAGAAAGCCATGCCTAATTCCCATTGCTCATTGGTCAAATACTGTCAAATGTGCAAAAAGTGTAGGCCACAATCCAAAATGAAGAGATCAATTGATGAATAAGGATTTTGAAGATGTTTCAGGCCTGACCAAAGAGTGGCAAAAGGAATAATATCAATATCAACAATTATTTATATATATGTTGCCTCTTTAAAGCTAGTAGGGAGAGGGAGAAGGGGGGAGAGAGAGAGAGAGACCAAGGTTTTTAAACGTACGTGACACATTGTTTGAAAAATAAATTTGAATGTTTGATAGGGTCAATATAGCCCTTACCTCACCAATAATCTTTACACGAACATGATCCATCAATGAAACAATGGAAACGGTTAGTGTCCCTGACAATTATCTCTCTACCTGTAATCTTGGATATGAGCTTGATGGCCATGTGACAATCACCACACACACGAAGGTTCTTCACTATTCGTATCACATCACTTGATGCTGTACTGATTAGACCAAATGCAACAGCGAGCTTCTCACTGTGACAACCAAGGAAATGCTCCTTCTCCTCCTCTTCTATGTCAAAAAGCACAAACTCTGTTGTCGGAACATAACCAGCTGCTTTCAATTCCCTTTTCAATTCACCAAGCTTTGCATATATCTTATCCGATGAGGGATGGAACTTGTCTCCCACAAGGAACTCATGAACAATGCCATCTACTTCAATCCAACTGCATCCAGGTGTTTTTTGAATACTTCTCTCACTCATGCTTGACCTAATCTTTGCAGCAGCATCCCATTTATGATTCGCGGAGTAAATATTTGACAAGAGCACATAGTTACCAGAGTTCCAAGGTTCCAACTCAATCAACCGTTCCAACACATGTTCAGCCAATTGGGTATCACGATGAACCCTACATCCACCCAACAAAGCTCCCCAAATGATGGCATTAGCCTCCATTGGCATATCTTTTATCAGCTGATGGGCCTCGTCTAGTAACCCAGCACGGCCAAGAATATCGACCATACATCCATAATGCTCAACAGTAGGAGTCAAGGAGAAAACACGATTCATGCTACTAAAAAATCGACGACCCTCATCAACAAGACCAGCATGAGAGCACCCGCAAAGCAGACCGATGAAGGTGTTCCCATCAGGTTGCACCCCAAATTTCTCCATCTGACCAAAGAGACCAAATGCAGCTTTGACATGACCATTCATGGAAAGCGCAGATATTACAGCATTCCAGACCACAACATCCCTCTCCTTCATCCCTTTGAAGACTCTCCAAGCAGAAGCCATCTTCCCACATTTTGCATACATGTCAATTAGTGCTGTACCCAAAACAGGGTTAGTCAAAAACTCATTTTTATCAATTAAGCTACAAGCCCAATCCCCTAATTCAAGCGCCCCTAACCTGGCGCAAGCGGATAGAACTCCAACCATGGTATAGCAATCGGGTTTCAAATTTTCTCTTTGCATACGGTAGAAAAGCTCTAGGGCTTCTTTGGGGAGTCCATTTGATGCATAACCCTGAATCAGTACACTCCATGAAACTATATCCTTCTCTGACATCCCATCAAAGGCACCACGAGCTTTCTCCATGCTTCCACACTTGGCATACATATCCACTAAAGAGGTACCTATGAAGACATTCTTTCCCATGCCAATGTCTACTACATATCTGTGTATCCACTCTCCGCTATTTAAATCCCCTAACCGAGTACAAGCAGACAAAACAAGAACAAGTGTGAAACTATCAGGCCTCATATCTATCTCCAACAGCTTCCAAAACATGTCAATAGCTTCCCTGAATTTGCAAACTCCTACATAACCACTAATGATGGCAGTCCAAGAAACAACGTTTTTCGCAGGTATATCATCAAATACCTTATGGGCGTTTCCCAAATACCCACACCTGGCGTACAAGCAGACCAAACCCGTCTTAACAAACACATCGTAGTCGAAACCCGCTTTCACGACAAGGGTGTGAAGCTTCAGACCCAACTGAAAATTCAAAAGCCTGGTGCATGCTTTTAGAACGAAAGGGAAAGTGAAATTGTTGGGTAAAAAGCCCTCTCTCCGCATTGAATTGTAGAATTCAATACCTTGGTCGAAGCAATCGCTGGAAACAAAGCCTCGAATCATGGTGTTCCATAGAAAGATATTGGGTTCGTGAGTTTGATCGAAAACGAGTCGACTGTAATTGGTGTTGCCCGAGTTGAAGCTAGATTTCAAGACCATGTTGAGGATATAGTTGTCTTGATCGAGGCCGAGACGAAGAAGTCGGGCGTGGATATGCTTGAGCTGCTTGAAGGAACTGATGCCTTGAAGGATATGGTTCTTGATCTCCAATGCCCTTGAAAAAGAGGGACTAGTTGGTTTTGTGAAGATTGTCATCAATCGTGACCTTTCCCGCTAGAAATTTAAAGTAGTTTAAAATGGGTTTGTCAATGGTCCTTTTTTTGGTGATTGGCGCATAAAAACACTAGCCGAGCACTGCAACGAATTCAGTCACGCGACTGTGATTCGAGAACTTGGATCCATCAAAGGCGTAGATTGTATCTTAAGATGATGAGATTAGACTATTTGAATGTTTACATCTATGGTACTACAATCACCAATTTAAGTGGAATAATAATTTCACAAGTTCTTGTGCTTTTAAATAGAAATGTTACCAAACAAGTCCTTCCATTGTATTAGCTTACATCTGGAAAATGTAGGGATCAAAATCCCTTTGTTACACTCTTTATTCGAATTGGGTATGATTCTTACTTACCCGTCCTTGATTGGCCTATCAAGAGAATTTAGAATACTCTGCTATGCAAATCGAATGGTGCAAAAAGCAACTCATTTTTCATTTTTCAAATGATATTGTATTGTATTTCGAATTTCACTATTATAATTATGATATTTCTATTGTAGTTTTTTTTAATTTTAAAGTAAATATGATTAAAAAAAATTTACAATGGAGTAGGAAATACTGTTGGACAGTGGCTAGAATATTCTTCGGACGGTGTTTGGTAGAAAAATTAAGGTGAAAATTACCATTCTCTTAGAATGATACTTCATTTCAAGGAATAAAAATTTATTTCACATCTAAATCTACTGAATGGTCATTTCATTCTCAAGTAAATTTTATTTAAAAATAAATAAAATCAAATTTCTAAAAAAATATCATATTTCAAGACTAAAAACCAACATCGGTTCGCCACCACCACCATTGCGGCCGCCGTAACCGCCTTTTACCACCACCACCACCACCACCACCACATCCAGGGACAGACTCAAATTATGTGAGAGGTCAATAATGAAATTTTTTAATAATTTTAGGAGAATAATAGTAATATTTTATTAGTAAATAATTGATAAAAAAAAAGAAGAAGTTAACTAAAGTATATTACGCGCGCGGGGGGCCTCTAGTTGTAGGTGTGTGCCTAACCACCGCTACCGCAGGGGGGTGGGGGGGGTGCCTGACCACCACCGCCTCCTTCCGCTACTACTGCTGCCACCTCCTTCTATCGTCGCCACTACCTTCTACTATCATCATCGTCTTCCTCCTGCCACCGCCTTCCACCATCACCACCGCCGCCTCCACCACCGCCGCCTCATGAAAATAGTGATTATCATTTCATTCTTATATCATTTCATGTCTACAATTTAACAATAAAATAAAGGGTTAATTTCACTGACACCTCCTCAGATTTGGTTAAACATCATTTTCAAACATCTTTTGAAAATAACTATCACTCACATTACAAACTTTTGCTCATTTTTTCATTCACACCCCAACCGTTACTTGTACAGTTATGCTACAATCTAAAATGACTTAAATACTATTTGATTTTATCAAAACTTAAAGAATCAAATAAAAAAGACTAAAATATCCCTAAAACTATACACACACACACACACACACACATTATATATATACTTACCCATTTGTTTGATATATAAATTTATAGATGCCCATTTTGTTTGAACCTATAATAAATTTATACTATATATATACACACACATATATATAATTAGTTTTAAATATGGACATACACATAATTAGTTTTAGAATATCCATTGTGTTTAAACTTCATACTATATAATTAGTTTCTTGTTTTAATTTGAATTTGGTCATGTATAAATTAATTTGGAACTTTTATTAAATTTGTTTTAATTCTAAGCCATCTGTAATTTATTTTTAATTGTAATTAATTGAATTTGTATTTAATTATTTTTAATTGTTATTATAAAACCCCAAATCCAATTAAGTCTCATATCGCTGGTGACAGTGACCTTTACCACGGTTCTTCGCCTCTTGATCAGCAAAAGGAACCCCCACTTGTGGCCAATTTGTATTTAATTGTGGCCTACACCTGTCTCATTCCTGTTGTAAGTCTCCACTGTCGCCATCGCCTGCTCTATCTTCCTTGAAAGGATTCGCCTTTGCCATTTCTTTCACATTGAACAATTTCTCTGACTACAATTCTCCTCCAAGATTGAGGATTTCGCAGCTACAGTACGACCTTTACCCTTTTCTTCCACGGGATCGTGAATATCCACCACCATCCCATCACCGTCATCACAACCGACCAACGCCGTCCGGCAATACGCCGTCATCGCCTCTGTACGCGGGTTGCGATTGTTACATGCATATATATTCTTGCTATTGTTTTATAATATCTGAGTGGTATGAGTGGTACAATGGTTATTTAAGAAATTTGATATTTTTAAATAAATAAGATTAAAATTTTAATGGAGATTTTAACGAAAAAGCAGAAATGAACTTGAGTGATATTTACTAAAGTTATATTTATTTTTAAAAAATGTTTGTGAGTGGTATTTGATTAAATTTAAAAAAATGTTAGTGAAATTAATTTTAAAATAAGAATAAGCATTATATTTCATTCAAGTTTACGAAATTAAATTAGACCTGAACTTTCTTATTATTTAGGTTTGAGTCATGGAGTATTGATTATTAATCCTCCCTGTCATAGAATTTGATAATAGTGTCATGACATTAATATCTACTTTAAAACCAAAATTGCTTTTAGAAAGTTTTAAAATGTTACTTGATACATAAAGGACATTTTTTATATTAAAAATAATAAAAATATAACGAGTATAATAATAATTTAAGATTTTTTAGTCTACAATTTACAAAGAAGGTAGATGTAATTATCCCATAATATCTTGTACAAACGTTGACTCTTTTCTTATAGAATCGCTCATGGGTCAAGTCCCTGTATTCGCAAATTCTCACTTTCGCGAAATCCCTAAAATCCTCAAATACATACTTTTATGTTTCTGTAACTATACATATATATATATACACACTGTTACACACACGTATTACTGAACTATATAACGTCGGCAACAGCTAATACGCTAGAAAAGCTCACTCAAACCACTGCATAGCTTATGAAATCTTCCGTACGCACAAAACGCCTAACGCGGACCCAAGTGAATTCGCCGGAAACGGTCGAGGTCGCCGGCGAATCGAAGCGGCGTAAGAAGATGGAGAAGAAGAAAAGTAGCGACAACGGAGAGCAGCAGAACCGCCGTGCGCCGCTGGCGAAGGTGGTTTCCGATTGCCTGTCGCGGTGGTTCCAAGACACTCTCAAGGAGGCCAAAGCTGGGGATGTATCCATGCAGGTATTGGTGGGTCAGATGTATTTAAGCGGTTATGGCGTTCCCAGAGATACCCAAAAGGTCAATTTTCTTGGATTCCTTTTGATTATATTTATTTAACAACCTTTTGGGATTATATTCTTTTACATCTGGTACTTATTTATTTTTCTTTTTCTTTTTAATTGATATGGGATGTTAGACTGTTGAATTGTTCATAGAATTAGGAAAAAGCAAACAAGATTAATTTTTGAATGACAAATTTTATGTTGTTTCGGTTTCTTAGAAAGAAAAAGAATCTTATCCAGTCAATTAATTTGCTAAGCTGCATTTATTTGCTAAGAAATTTGGGAAAAGGAAAGAAAGTTTTATATTTTGAATTGTGTTTAATGTTTGTTTTATTTTATCCGAAACTAAAAAATAAAAAATAATAATAATGATAGAAACAAAGAAAACAAATAAAACAACTTGCAGACCTGGTGATTGTATTAGGTTTAGTTGGGTGGAGGCTTTGATTGATTGGATTCCAAATTATTAAAATCGTGCATTCAAAGTTTTTAATTTTTAAAATTATTATTATTATTATTATTATTAATTTTTAAATTTCCTACCTTTTCTCAGCAAGAGAAGGGGCACTTGGGTTTCAGTTTGTGGTATCTGTTCATTTTCCTTCCATTTTGTTCTCTAATTACCCTTGTGTTCATCTTGCATCGTTTGTTCATATTACATTTGATTTTGAATTATCCTGCCCAGGTGGGCCAGCATTGGGTAATATATATTGATTTCATATGTTGCAATTTTAGGGAAGACTTTGGGTGACGAGAGCTGCAAGAGTTCGATCCTCAGTTTGGAGTGTTAGCAATAAACGTCCAGGTGAGCTCTCAGTGTGCGTGTTAGTAGGGATATATTAGTTGTGATCAGAAGTGATATTTTTCTGTTTGACCTTTGTCAGGTTACAATGCAAGTGATTCCGATTCCGAAGAGTTGGAGGGTGACTCTTGATTAGACCAACTGTAAAAGTGAGTTGAATTCTTTAATGTTTTCTTTATTCTTGGTCTATTTTCACTAATTTATTGGTTGTGTTACATTCACTTTAGATTGTGTGAAACTGAGCTTATGAATCCTATCCATTTGTTTTTTCTTGTCATTTTATTTATTTATTTTGTAGCTGTCTGTTGATTATGCAATGCGATGCATATATTTTTCTATAGAGGGACCTTTCCGCATCATATCCGTGTATTAGATTTAGATACTAATTGGATACTTGTTAATATGTGTCAGAAACTTCCCAATTGTAACTATAATTTGAAAACAGTTTTTTTTTTTTTTGGTTTCTGAACATGTATCTAATACTTCTCGTACACTCCAACCACGTATCCGATGATTGAACATTAAAAAAAATCCCAAGTATGATATTATGGTACTATAATTTTTAGGAAGAGCATAAAATGGGTTCTAATTTCTAAATACTTTGACTTTCTTTAATAAAAAAATAAAAAAAAAGGAAGAAAGGAAAAACTCCGTTTATACATATCTAGATAGGTACAATCGAACTGTATACTTCATAGAGTATATACTTTTCTTATTGAGCAATCACAGTGCATTGACTACCCTCTGTACCACAGATTGGTGATTTTGCCTCTTACATGATCTTGCTCTTGCAACTGATAAGATGTAATGGCTTTCTGTTTGGCATATTTTTGTTTAAAGAACTTGCTTCTTCCTCTTTCGGTCATCTGAGTGGGAAAAAATGGGTGAACCTCTCTCTGTCTCTCTCTCTATATGTGTGTGTGTGTATATATATATATATATATATATTAATCCATCCCTCTTTTTCTCCCCATAGTTGAAATATCTGGTCCTGCTGTCACTGTCAGGAACACCAAAATATGTCAAAGGCCAGCTGCTGCATGATACTTCTATAGGACTAAACAAAAAAGACTAAAAAAAAGATACCTAAGACTTTCACCTCTACTAAAGTTTCTTCTGTTATAGTTGAAGTTTATGTTTACTGGTTGGAAGACAATTGGAAATACCATAGAGTTTTTTTGGGACCTTCTCATTGAATTATGACAGCCATAAAAATTTATTTTAATGCTAAATATGTTCTGGAAGCATTGCGAGATTACCCATAATTTATATTCAAAATGTTTGTATTAGGTGCTGGACTGTACTCAGTAGCCGTAATACACATGTTCCTAAAACATAATATGTTCGTCGGTTATTATGGGTGGTGTAAAACATTTTTGGGTTGAGTTTGAAATTTTGCTTCTTATATGGTAAACTAGAGGCCCTATATTAATACTAGATTTGCATGGGTCTAGTGGTGTTTCTGAAGATCACAATTCCCCTGTTTCAATATCACGGTTGGCAACAAGAAGCTATGGGTGAGACAAGTTGATACTAATAAAAGAAAGAACTTGTGAATGAATACGTAAAATTTTGAAATTATAATTGGAAGAACCCTACTCATAAGCAATAGCTTAAATGAAACAATGGCTTAATGCACATGACATTATGAATAATAAAACTACAAAAAAAAATGTTTGACACCTCAGCAGATTTGCATTTTTGGAATGTGCTTCCAACCATGGAACACTTTTATTCTATAAAACTAAATTTAGAGATCTAGAAATTAGCTTCGATTTCTTCCACTGCTTTTCTCTTTTCAAGGATAAAAATCAAGAATAAAGAATTGTTGGGTATAGCAGTTAAAGTGCCAAGGGTGAAAACATGAATTCAGGTTTGACTCTATGCAAATAATGTGGAACTTAGGTCCACCAAGTCTACAGTACCCTTACCAACATCTCCGATTATCAGGGATGATTATCATTTATAATGAAATGCAGATAAAATTCTTTTAGAACATAAAAAATGTGTTTTTAGGAAAATGAAATGGAAAGGACAGTCATACATCTAGAGCTTAAAGTATCCTTAATGCGATTATTCTGTTCCATGCTTTTACATGATCAATTTTTATACGAGTTTCTAAGGTGGATGGATAACAATGCATTTTAATAATGTTAACCTTCATTAATTATATATTAGCTTCATTTAAAACGAAACCACTCCGGCAATTTGAACTACCTCACCCAATGTCAACTATGTGGCTATATAAGCCTACACCTAGAATACCAAGTTTCCGATTATAGTTTATGTGGCTTATATTTTTGCATTCCACACTGGAATGATCTGAGATCCTAGTAATCTTGGTGCAAAATGTCACTGTTGGCTTACCTAACTGGAATAACCATTAATAAAGAATTGGGTTCGAATATTTTTGAGCGTTCAAGGATCATTAATATAACAACCTAGGAGGCAGGTCTCTGTTATATATCCGTGTAAGATTCAAAGCTTCCGTTCAGCTGTTGGTTATTGGTGGATTGCCGTGTCTTCAACTGTATTTTGATGTTCTCATGTGGAATGGCATATACTCCGTAGTTTTTTTTTCTTTATAAACAAAATACAAAACTAAGAACTTTTGGATTATTCAATCTTTTGTCTGCCTTGTTTTTGTTTGCTGGTTTGTTTGTTTCGTTGCTGTTTTGGATTCGGCCTACTGCTTTGCGGGTTTGCCTTTGTTTTGTTTGATGGTTTCGTTGGTTTTGTTGTTGGTTTCAGCTGTAACTCCTTGTATATCCTTTCCTTAATACATTCAATTTACTGAAAAAAATAAAATAAAATAAAATAAATCTTATGTCTGCCTTCATAATTTGCAGGTCCCTGGCTTTGTGACTGTTCACTCACAATGAATGTTCCTGTGGCAATCTCATACTTTTTGAAGTTAAATTTCTTGATTTTATCCAGATTTATGATGTCCAGGAGCTCATCATTGTACAATTATTTATTATCGTAGGATATTATTTCATTTGCACTTTATATGCTACAATTTTTTGTGGTATTCATAGGATATTATTTTTTTTGCAATGGATTAAGAACCTGAGGTATTTTTAGAATAGGGAAGAAATCCGGATGTAATTGTTTAGGGAGCTGATTATTTGGCTATTCACTTTCATTCTCTCTCTAAATGAAATTACAAATTAACCCTTACACCACACTAGTTTGATTATTACCATTTTTAATACCATAATTATTAAAGTTGCACACTTCTTATTCTTTTTAATTTTTTTTTCAATTCATTCACATTTTTATCTCACTCACTTTAAAACCCCATCATATAAGGTACGTTGATATTTAGAAAACCTATCACATAAAGTATGTTATTTATTTATTTTTTTATTTGAAACTCTTTTTTTAGCATATTATTATTAATTAATTTTATTTTTTTATTTTTTTATTTTTAACTTTCTTAGCATTATAACTCATGAACGTTTTTCTCATACGCTAGCAAAATCAAGCTTGAAATTTTCACTTTGATGTAGCATCAACAACAAAACACTTAAACCTTTTTTCTTTTTTTTTTCTTTTTTTTCCCACGTTTTTTTCTTTTCATTTCTTAATTTCTATATGTTCTCTTCTAAAATCAAATAAGCTTTACAGCAAACTTTCTGTTTGAGTAAAATTAAAATTTCCTCTATATTAAATTCAATTAAATGTTTTTCTATAATTAGAGAGGATCTATTTATTGATATATAGTTGACTTATAATTCAAATATGTTTCATCTAATCACACGTCTTTTATTATCCTAATCATAATCCTTAAATTTTAGGATAACCCTTCCTCATATGCAAATTGTGTGTATAATTCTCTATCCCAATGAATCAAATTTATTCTAGAATAAATATGGATAGATTCATCAAAGAAAAGTATTTTCAAAATCAACTAAAAAATATATATTCTAAATAAAAAAAAAGTAGAACAAAAGAATTAAAAATTACCATTATCACCTTCATTAGAAGGGTGGACTGATTCATAAATTTTTGAGATTTCTTCAATATTAGTTGACTTAATAAGTTTAATAACTTCTTTTAACTCAAAAACTGTATCATTAGTGAGATTTTCACCCAAGAATTCTAAAATTAAACCCTAAAGATAAGGGCAATTATAAAATTACAATTATAAAAAATAAACAATAAACCTAGTGTGATGTGAGGATGTGAGGATTACATTATAATTTCAGTTTAGGGTAGAGAGAAAGAGGAACGCCAGCTCTCAATGTTTGAATTTTATATATATATATATATAAAAATAAAAGTGGTTTCCTTGAAAGGGTTTGTCGTTTTGAAAGTTTTTTTTTGCTTGTAGTTTTGAAAGATAAAAAAAAATTATATATATATAGATATATATCTAGTGTTTCTTATTTGTTTGTATCATGAAAAATGTTTAGAAATGGAAAAAGATCTTTTATTTCCATTAGCCTACTAGCAACAAACATATAACATTGAAACCGTATATTTATTTTTATTTTTTTCTTTCTTATTGATACGAAATTCAGACACTAATCATTTATCTTACTGAAGTTTTGAACCCTCACCATTCCAACCGTCGCCACCCCTTTTGAGAGGTGGATTAGAGAGTCTTGAAACCATTTGGTGTAACTATTTAACAGCAAAACTTATTTTTGCTAATAACCACTCTCTTTGGTAATTGCAGTAACAAAAACCTAAAGATAGTAGTTATTTACCAAATCAGAAAAGAGAAGGATAAATATAAGGGTTGTCAGAGTAAGGGCAAATGAGTAAATTGGGTCACGAATTTATCTTTGGACTTTAATGGATTGAGATAAGCACGAGAGAGGATCATAGATTTTAAAGAGACAAAACATTCCAAAAGAGGTACAAACGAGGACAATGCCGTTATCCATTCTTAAAAATCACAGACCATATTCATGACAATCCTCAGAAGACACGATCAATGATTGGGTTCTAGCTAGCTAATTTGTTCTTGTCTTAACAATTGATGTTTTTCCAATTCTATAAATCAAATCCCTCTCATTGAATTCTACCCTCCTCAGCCCCCTCAATGCATCTAACCTGTTTGGGTCCCAAGAAAATTCCGTTTCTCTTCAGGTTCCCGCTCCATTCTCCGGGAAAATCACTGGGTCTGGACTGAAAATTTGTGGGTTCCCTCCCATTGGTTGTTTGAAACAACTTTTTTTTTTTTTCAAGGATTGTGAAAATGGGTGCGTGTTGTAGCAAGGGTGATCGAACGTTTGATGGGTTCATATTGAATGGTGAGGATGATTTCAAGGAGAGTGATGTTGGGAATGAGGATCGTATACCAAATGGAGATTTTGACGCACGTGTGAGGTTGCAAGGATCATGTAAAGATCTTTCAATGTTCACCCAACAAGGCAGAAAAGGGATCAATCAAGATGCTATGACTGTTTGGGAGGTAAATTTCTAATTTAACAATCATTTTCTTTTCCAATCATTATTTTCCTTTTGTATGTGCTTCAATTGTGAGAGTAATGGTGAATCTATTGACAAAGCGATTCTCATTACAATGTTGATCCGTGTGATCTCATGTTTTTTTTTGGAAAAATATATTCACAATTGAAATTATTGGCTTCACCCTCTTTTCTCTTGATGTTGATTAACCATTTTCACCTTCTCTTTTTCTTTTTTCTTTTTTCTTTTTTTTAAGAACAATGTGAATATGTGATCCTTGTGAAATCTTGGTAATTTTTTAGCAATTTATACGTGTTGACAAGTTTAATGAAATATCATTTTTCTTGGTTAATACGGAAACTAATGAATTGATGATGAAATGCATATGGCTAAAATTTCAATTACTACTGGCATCCAGAATTTTACTGGTGAGAAAGATATGTTCTTCTGTGGTGTGTTCGATGGACATGGTCCCTCGGGGCACAAAGTGGCACGCCAAGTACGTGACATCTTACCGTCGAAGCTGTCACATGCATTTAAAAAGTCGAAAACCAGCGGAAACTATGGTAGTGGTGATGTTGATGAAGCACACAACAATGATGGCAATGGTGATTTTGATAACAAAGATGGTCACGACGAAAACACTGGTCACAATTCATTCTTTTCTTTGTGGAAGACCAATTTGATAAAATCTTTCAAAGAGATTGACGATGAACTTTGTGCCGATGCGAGTATTGATAGCTATTGCAGTGGTACAACAGCAGTAACTATAATTAAACAGGTATCATTGGATGCTCAATTTTGCTTTAGAGATATTAGTTCACAAGGAGATGACCGTTCTCATTTTTTCCCCCCTCATTTTGTTTGTTCAATGTTTAGGGTAATCACTTGGTAATTGCAAACTTGGGGGATTCTCGAGCAGTCCTCTGCACTAGAGGCAACAAAAATCAACCCGTTTCCGTCCAACTCACAGTTGACATGAAACCGAATCTTCCATGTGAGTGTTTTCTCTTGAGCTATCTTCAAAGAAATACTGGAATGTTCAGTGTAATGAACCTTTTCTTACTTTCTGTGTTGGTTAATCAGGTGAAGCGGAAAGAATTAGGGACTGCAAAGGCAGAGTTTTCGCGATGGATGAAGAACCAGAGGTGTTTAGAGTATGGATGCCTGATGATAATTGTCCCGGTCTTGCAATGGCAAGGGCTTTCGGAGATTTTTGCTTGAAAGATTTTGGCCTAATTTCAATCCCGGAAGTCTCTTATAGAAAGCTTACAGACACAGATGAATTTGTGGTTCTAGCAACTGATGGGGTAAGAAAACATAAAGAGTTCTTTTTATGAGTGTGACTGTCTGACAGACATTTCTTCCATATGATAATTCTGGCAAACTTTTAGTTGAATAAATCTTTTCTTTCTCTTAGCTTTAGGCAGTCAATTGTTTAAGTGTGAACATAAGCACTATCTTGGCTAGTTTTTTATGTGGCAATATATAAATTTATTGTTATTTATAGCTCTTGGACCATCCATAAAGTTTTCAACATCAACACTAATCATTTCATATATATGAAAATCTTAAAATACCCCAATTCACCTTCCAATAAATCTTAAAGTGATATCGATATATCAAGAAGTATCGCTTTACACACACATATATATATTTTCTGCTAAGCATGGCGAAATTTGAACCTTCACTTTGAACTCTTACAGCAGTGGTCAAATGGGATTGAAAATTATGATATTTGAGAACATTTCTTAAGGTCGCAAAAGAAGGCACTTTATCCACTCTTCAGTGAGCAAATTTTTCCGACTACGAGATTGCAAGAGCAAAATCATGATCTTTTTGTTGTATAGAATTGCTTTTTGTGGTGGTGGTGATTTGGATTCTTGGCTCTGTAACTTGTTTAGTAGCTCAATAGCATTCTCGAACACTTTTCTTTCTCATTTTTTTTAGGTATGGGATGTGCTAACAAACAACGAGGTGGTTGAGATAGTTGCTTCAGCAAAAAAGCGACACAATGCGGCTAGAGTGCTGGTGGATCGCGCTGTACGAGCCTGGAGATGCAAATATCCATGTTCCAAGATCGATGACTGTGCAGTCATATGCTTGTTTCTGAAACCTCGACTTTTGTTAACCAAATCCACGTCGGAAAGGAGCCATCAAATACCGGGTTACCCATTTCGCGGGCTTACTTGTTACTCCAGAAGCATGAGCACGGAAGACAGACTCACTGTTATAAATGATGAAATTACAACAGATTCGAAGGACTGCATTGCTCTAAGCAATGTGGCTCGAGTGGATTCTATAGTGAAGGTGCCTCGACTCGAGACTGGTCTCAACCACAGGAGAAAATGTAAATGATGTTGAAGATGATAAGAAGATAATGTGATCTCCTTAGACTCATTGATGCCTACAATTTTTATAAATTAATCAAGAATATGCTTGAAGAAGCCCAAATTCTGCAGATAGAGAAAAGCAGTAGTGGTGGTAGTTCTTAGAAGCTAGGAAAATGAGTGCTGCAAAGTATGGACCCATGTCTGATGGGTGAAGTAACACTTTCTCGAGAAAAAAAGGGCAAGAAAGAAAAGACATCAAACAACATTAGTACGTACATCAGCTCTTGTGTTACATTGTTCAGGATTTTTGGTCTTTGTTTTTGTTTTTTATAGTAATTGACAGGAAGACTCATTGAAAATTGTTTGGGAGGTTATGTCAATATTTTGTATCGATATTACCAACTTGTAAATTGTTGATTGAATGTTTGGAAGGCCTGCTTGTACCACACTTTTTGTCTTGCCTGACCACTCCATACCTTATATGCAACCCTGTTTTGCAGTCGTAACTAAGATGATGGATTTTTTAATTTTTTTTAACTATATCTGCAAACCCATCACGATACTACATTGCACCAATAGAAATAAATGGGTATGGATTGATCTTAATTGGACTCAAATCGTAAGCTGGTCAATACGATTAATTTAATTAATTAATTGTCCCGTACTAAGGTTGAGAGGTTCAATTCATTTATATTCTTAACAAAATATACATTAGCTCTTTAACTGTCATTTTTTTTTTAGAATTTGATTCATGCTAAACTTTAAGATTTTCAAGTGATTAGAGTTACTTGAACATTTATATTTTGGCTACTTGGTTGCAAGGTGTTTGAAGCTTTTCTTCTTACTTTAAGTATTTTAAACTAGAAATTATTTAGTAATTTGGTTGATTGAGACTTACATTCCAAACACGATTATAATCTTCGAACATAAATTGCCACCCTTATAAAAAGATGCATTAACATATGTTCTTTGCAGTAATGATTACGATCGCAATGTAACAGACTCGGAATCGAACTTCAAAAAGGATCACGAACCATGCACCCACCCAATAGACAAATATGGGTGGGTATCACTTGCAACTTGTAAGTAACCATGTATTGTAACTTGTAAATAATTTTATACTTGTATACTCGCGATTCCCAGACTCAATGGACATCAATCACCTAGAAACCTAGTTGGTGGAGCCTACTACTCCTCGACATGAGAAAATTTTTATTGCACCTGTTGCACTGTTCGAGTCCACCTCTCCTAATTTGCTATATATATATAGTAATAAATAAAAGGAAAAAAGATTATTATACTAATTTGTTGCAGTGAATTGCTAAAACTATTTCTTTTAATTAGTAGCAAATAACTTTTATTGTGTATAAATAATTAAGAGTAGTGATACTCACACCGAACACTTGCCTAACCCAATAATTTTTAATTGGTTATTTTATACCAAATACAATTAAGTAGAACTCTCTACTTCTTTATTTTATTGTATAATTGAATAATTAAAAAAATAAATCTAATAATTTACTATAACTATTCCGTTCAAGAATCATTTTCTAATAGGGCAAATTATAATGACCTCCCTCGAGGTTTCGTCAAGTTACAATAGCCTTTCTTCTTGTTTGCCAAATAACCTCCTTCGAGGCTTGTATACGTAAAACAATGACTTTCCTTCCATTAACAGAAAATACTATTAAAATAATGATGTCATCAATTTTTTATTTTTAAATTCCTATTCTACCCCTCAAAGAAATGTAAATTAATTAATTAAAATATCCAAAATACCCCCATAATTATTTATCCTCTCTCCTCTCAAATCCTCTCTCCAATATCTTTTTCTCTCCTCTCCTCTTTCTTTCCTCCATCAAAACCAAAACATAAAGCGTAAAGCGCCATATCAATTCTGTCCCTGTTCGCCGGAAATGGTTCCGTTGCCGATACAAACTCCTTGATGTCCCGTGCACGCCGTTGTTCATCACTGGTTCATTTCCAAGCTGCTTGCTTGCCGGGAAAGAAAGACCCATTTCCTTGCCGGCAAGTTCCTTGCTCCACTGCTGATCCGTCCGCTTCACTGCCAGACATCTCTGTCTACGCCGAACTGAATAACCAAACCAGTCATCAGCATATAACCAAGCTTTTAACGCCGTTCAGTCAAGCCGCCGGCATCCTTGCTTGTCGCCACTGTACCTCCTTTTACTGCCGTTGTCGAACATCCCCGTGCCGTTCTTCTTGCTCGCGCGAGCAGTCCAAATGCACCAGCACCGGGCCGATTGCTTTGAGGAATACTGGTATAAAAAATGTGGTGGCTAATACCAATGCGAAGCAAGAAGGAAGAGAAATACAAAGTGCTAATGACCATCTTAATAAATTATTCTCATATATTTCGAATATTCCCAATATCTCAAATTGGGAGCTTTTCTTAGCAGTCCGATGACGAAAAACTCCATTAAGTGCAGCACTCAACCAGTGATTGTTCAAAACTCAAACCAGACACAAAATCGTCTAGTGTGGTTCCATGGTCTGTGGAGTGCAAAAATTTTGTTCTTGTGCCGAGAGTGTGAATTTGTGCTAATCATGAGCAAGGATGAACAACGGGTAGAAAGGATTTGTTTATGATCTGTTTCGGTTCATCAAAATCCAAAAAACTAAGCTCCGGCATCAGATCGGTAGCGGTAGAGCTTGCCAAAAACGTGGAGGGAGATCTTGAGTCCGGCGGGTTTCGACATCTCACGCTTTGTGCAATTACGCTTTGTCCAACGGCGAGGGGCAATTACGGAATATGAAAGGATGTCGCGATTCCGGTAGAATACAACGAGCTTTGTGCTCGACGATGGCTGCTGTTTGACGGGCTGGCGATGGGGAAGATGATGGCATGGGTTACGACGGCGACGGATGGAGCATGGATTCACAAGTATTTGAGATTTTTGGGCATTTTTGTCTTTTCAAATTACATTATGTTTTTTAATAAATACAATATAAATATAAAAAGGGTAGAAAAATAATTTCATTAAAACTGTTAAACCGTCAATTTAAAGTTTGAGATCATTCTTATTTGACAAACAAAAGAGAAGGTCACGTAGGTTGACGAAATCTCCCTTAAAAGAAATGCCATTCTTATTTAACAAATAAGAAGAAAAGTCATGTAAGCTGACGAAACCTGAAGAGATTAGAGTAATTTGCCCTTTCCAATAATTTATCAGCAATGTTCGGTTAGGACTACTCTAAATACAAAACTAGGTCTCCACATTCTGCTCAAGATTATTATTTTTTTTTTCAAAAGTTTTGTGTCAATGGGTGACCTTTTGATTATTAATACATACCCTTGCGAGAAAAAATCATTGTATTGTAAAAATTGAAAATTGCAAATCTCTCTGCAAGGGATGAAGACAGAGAATGATTTACCGTCGTAATAGTGGCGGTGATCATCGGCACGTCATCGGAACTCTCATTCACAAACGGAACTCCAGCTCCGGCGATGTTCCTTTGTCTCCGACGACCCCTTCCGCGTCTATCAAGTTGGTGTGTAACGTGACCCAGTACCCAGATTCTTGCTTCACGAACATTTCAGCTCTCGAGGCTTTCAACACCACCACCACCGACCCATAAGAGATCTTCAACCTGTCTCTGCACATCATGTGGCTTTGAACGACCTCGTGAAGTTGTCTTCGGTGCCGGAGAGGATGATGTCGATTGAGCCGAGCAAGCGTTGATTGCTTCTCAGAGTGTGTTTGAAGACGCTGTGGATAGACTCAACGATTCAATATCGTCAATGCCTGCTCGGCTCGCCTAAGATTTTGTGATTCTTTCCAATTTCAACATTGCGATTATTCATCGGAGGCTTTTGGGTTTCTCTGAGTCAGGAGGATATCATTTCCCAGGTGGGTTAGCTCTGGTGATCCGAGGCTACTTCAGATGGGGAATCCCACGCCGGATGTCACGGTGGCGGCAGTAAGGCAGCGCATACGTCAGGACGATCAGAGAGGCGGTGCCAAAGTATCTATGGAATGTGATGATTTAGGCGTCGGCGTCTGCAAGATGAAGACCATCATCTCCGGCAACTTCAACTTTGTCGATGGGATTCCGACCTCTCTACCGCTTACCTTTTGTAATTTCTCACCTTTTTTTTTTTTTTTTTTTTTTGGTAATCACTTCAGCAACTTTATTTAGATTTAGTGGCTAAAATAAAATTACACTAAGGAGACATAAAATTAATGCATTGTCTATTTTTAAAATTATCAAATTATTTTTTTTAATTTAAATATATATAGTTACAAAGTTTAAAATATTTTAAAAAGATAAAGAACAAAAAACTTTGACTTTTTAAAGAGGATAACTAATTTGGAACATGTAAAAAGAGAAAAATGGACTACTAATAAGGGAAGGAGGAAGTATTAACTAGGAAAAAAAATTTATTTTAATGATTGTTTATAAAGCTTTATTATGGAAAAGCATTAATGGCATATGGATGAATTAGTGCTTTCGCCATTTCTTTTTTCCCATGGACCTTATATAATCCGACCACTACTAACCCCAACCTTACTATGACAAAAAAAACAGGGAGTGTCAGGACAATTTGATTTTTTTTTCTCTCTTGATCAATAGTTGAGGAGTAAAAAGAATTTACTAAGATTGATATATAATTTAATTCTTGTTCTTCATTAGTAGTATAATAATCTCAGTATTATAAAGTTTTATTGAACATTAATTATTTTTCCTTCCTTCTATTTCCTCCCTGTTTTGGGAGGATACAAATTTACTAGTACTATTTAGAGGGTTAAGTAATTACACCTCCCAATCCTTGCTTTTCCTTCTTTTTATTTCAATGAAATTTAAAGCAAACACGAAATAGAGTATCTCTCCATTTTCTTCCTTTCCCTCGATCCAAACAGTGCTCATCTTGGGAACACAGAACCAAAGTGAACTTGATTCTAGAATTCTAATAGTATTTCATTATTTACTCCAAATTTAACTAAGGAATGAGAGCCCAGCTGCAAAGTTGTTATTCTATTTTTGGACCAAGTCCAAAATTAGAAGCAATCATACTTGTATGTGTTTTAGGTTCATGACTCAATTCATCTAACCACTTGTTTTGTTTTGTTTTTTTATTTTTTTGTTTCTTCCGGATAGATTTGTTGAAAAGTAACGGTTTTCAAATCAAAGGTATTGTCATCTTATTTCATAACCATGCAATACAGAACACAAACAGAAGTTGTGCCCAGTACAGTTATATTTGCAGGATGATTAAATTACTGAAGCAATTCTCATGTAGCACTATGTAAGGTCAATAACCAGCTAAATGAAATTTGCCCACCAAACAATTTCTTCCTTCCTTTTCTTTTTCCAGAATCAGAAATTCAAATTAATTTGTATTTGATCATATATCTCACATATTCCCTCCGGATTCAATTTCTGTCGGTTTCTCTACTGCGGTTGGTAATGATGGAGACACCATCTGCACCAGCACCAAAGTCACCATTCATTACCACCATAAAAGGCGTGTCATTCTACTGCGATCAATTTGGGTCAGTCAGCTCTAGGGGTATTTGGTATGGAAATCCCTTGCCGTTTGTTTTACCACATCTCATGTTACATCTTGGTTTAGCAATTCTCTTCTCGGGAACTTGGCGTCACCTTCTTGGGGGGTCTTTGAAGCAACCTAGATTTGTCACAGACTTGATGGTATGATCCATATCCTGTCCGCCTATTTCATTTCAATTTCAATTAATTTTTTCCTTCATTAATTCTCTATCAAATGATAAAGTTCAGGTTTTGCATCTATAAATCTTTAATGATTAACTACTATTTTCATGGATGAATTTACCAACAAAGTGATTGGGTACAGAAAAATGCTAGTGGAAGAGGCCTTAGCCAGCAAAGAAATTAACAACAATAACAACAACAATGTTCTCTAATAATAGAAGTCCTTTTTTGGTATTGTTCTCAATCTCAAAATACTTTTCAATAAAGTAGTTTCTTGCAACAAAATCTGTTTTGTCACTATTAAGGCTTTTGTTGCAGATGGCCCAGTGTGTTGTAGTGGCATAATTGATCAAATCCACAAACTAAGCATAGAACATTAATTTGATTGCCAAGCTGTATAACAGTACTGCTACTTTTTCTCACTTTCATCTGCGCTGACTGTTTTTTTCTTTTTCTAAAAAATTGACATTGATCACTAGGGTGGTATCATCTTAGGACCCTCAGCTATTGGGTTCATGAGCAAAATTTATGACTCCCTATACCCGCCTAAGAGTATGATTTTGATCGATGTCCTAGAAATGCTTGCCTTCATGTTCTTGGCTTTCATTGTTGGAGTGAGGACAGACTTCGGCATCTTAAAGAAAGCAGGAAGATTAGGAATTATTATCGGCATTGGTGTTTTCCTGGTACCATTGGTAATGACCCTAATTGTGGCTACATTTCTCGCTAGTAAAGTGGAAACAAACCTTAAGGACATCCTCCCTGTGATGGCTCCCCTGGTGAGTGGGTCATCATTTCATGTAATATCTCTCCTCTTGGAAGACCTCAAGCTTCTTAATTCAGAACTAGGCCGTCTTGCTCTATCTTCCTCTATGATCAGTGGCATTTTAAGCTTCTTTACAAGTATAATTTTTATGTCTACACGGAGTATAACAGCCAGTGGTTTTAGAAGTCCAGTATTGCCAGCGGAGCTCGGCAGAATTTTTATGGTAATAATCATCATTTTTGGCATTCGTCGATTGGTGCTTTGGATGATGAGGAAAATCCCAGAAGGAGAGCCTTTGAAGGAATCTTATTTAATTGGCACAACTGTTATGATTTTGATAGTAGCTTTTGTAAGTGAATGCACAGGTTCACAAGCCATGTTTGGTACGGCAGTCTTGGGACTGGCTGTGCCGGCAGGTCCACCGTTGGGTTCAGGGATTCAGCACAAGCTTGATTACTTTGTCGCAGCAATGTTGTTGCCAGCTTATATTGTAAATGTGGGTATTCACATCGATGTTTTTGTTGTAAAGCCAAGCACTTTTGGGTATGTTGAGCTGATCATCTTGGTTGCTACATTGGGGAAAATTGTTGCGTCTGTCATCCCTGCACTCTACTACAAGTACCCTTTTAAGGATGCTCTGTCACTCGGCCTCATCTTGAGCTCCCAAGGCTTATTTGATGTGCTTTTCTTCTCACGTTTGTTGAAGTTTAAGGTATGCACCTATATATTAATTCTTCAGCTTTTCATGCATTTTCAAAACAGCAGTCATATCGTCATACACATGATTAATTACTGAATTATTAACACCCTTTTTTTTTTTCTTTTTTTTTCAATGTTTGAAATTGAGTACTTTATCTTAATGCATGAGTAGAGAATATTTTAATTTTAGGATATATTTCCTAGCTCACATGCACTGGCTAAATTAAATTAAATTAAATTCTTGAAGTAGAGCCACTAAAAGTACTACTACTAGACTTCTTTCTATGTTGTGAAAATTGATATACACAATGGGGTCTACATAAACCCCTACATAAAATTCTGCAATATATAACTAGTAATCTTTTTTCTCACTAGGCATTGATCCAGTGGTTTTTATCTTTTGACAACTATGAGCAGATAATAGATCCTGAATGTCACACCATTATGACTTTGATGGCAGCGGTGCACTCGGCTATTTTTACACCCTTAGTGAGTTACCTCTATGACCCTTCAAAAAGATACATAAACTACAGAAGGCGAACCATCCAACACTCCAGACCCAACTCAGAATTCCGAATCCTCGCATGCATTCATGAGGAAGATGACCTTCACCATATAATGGATGTCCTCGAAGTCTCCAATCCCACCAGAGAAAGCCCCTTAGGTATTTTTGTCTTAGACTTAGTGGAGCTTGTTGCACGCGCCGACACACTCATCATCAACCACAATCTCCATGAAAAACACTCCTCGCGGTCCACCAGAACCCAACGGATCATCAATGCCTTTCGCCGTTATGAACATCGGTTTGACGGACTTGCAAAAGTCAATTGTTTCACCGCGATGACCCCTTATGTTTCCATGCACGACGACATATGCTCACTAGCCCTTGAGAAGAGTACGTCCTTGTTGATAGTCCCATATCATAAATTCGATAAGCTTGCAATTAGGGCAGTGAACAAAAATGTGCTGAACAAAGCCCCATGCTCAGTAGGCCTCCTAGTGGACAAAGGGATAGCTTCTATTTGGAGGTCCAGGGCCGAAAAACATGTCATGTTTCATGTGTGTGTCGTCTTCTTGGGAGGACCAGACTACCGTGAGGCATTGGCATATGCTATGAGAATGGTCGAAAACCCTAGCATAAAACTTACAGTGGTTAGATTAGTTGCATCTGTCAATTATGTCACCGACTTGACAGAGGCAAGGCTTGATGTAAAAGCCATTAGTAAGTTAAGGATGTTTGGAAGAGAGAACCATGAGCGAATCCGGTACATGGAGCACAGTGTTCAAGATGGTGTTGAGACATCTCAGGTGCTTCTATCGCTCAACGATGATTACCATCTGATAATGGTAGGAAGAAGACATGATAATGAGTCCCCTCTGTTGACGGGGCTCACGGATTGGACTGATTCGGAGGAATTGGGAGCCATTGGAGACATGCTTGCTTCTTCGGATATGAAGAGCAATGCAGCAGTGTTGGTGTTGCAACAACAAGCTTCAGTAGAAGCGAATAACTTCTGCAATAATGGAAATTATATAACATCAATCAAATATGATCATATGACGAGTCATGGACACATTGACAGAAAAAGCTCTCGCGTTCATGATCAATTGGCAATCTCTTCTGTATAGAATAAAACAGTGAATGCTGTAATATGTACCTTAATTTAGTTCCTTCTAGTCTGTTGCATAGAGCAAACATGCTAGCTAGTGTGCCTTTGTAAAATTTTCATTAGTGCTTACAGAATATTAAAAGATGTGTGTATTTTTTTTTTTTTTTTTGTCCTTTAATTTTTTTAAAGTTAAGGTTTGGTAGGATGAACTTTTTCTTTTTGAAATTAGAATTGACATTTGTTGAAATTCTGAACTAGTAATACTATTTCAATTTCAATTTCTAGTTATCAATTTCATGCCACCAAACATAGCAATAATGTGTTTTTCTACACATTTACAGTTTGGTGTATATTATAGTTATATTTATTTTTAACCCATGTACTTAGAGTTTGTTATGAATGATCATCACATTTATAATGTTGGTGTATAAAATATTCCTTCTTAATATGCAAATCTTATTAATCACATGGATTTCATATGAAGTTATGAATGATCATCACATTTATAATGTTGGTGTATAAAATATTCCTTCTTAATATGCAAATCTTATTAATCACATGGATTTCATATGAAGTTATTATGGCCAACTACGAGGTCGATCTCTTGATATTTGTTGTGATCTTAAATTAGCACATTTTGAGCGAATAATAATAATGTAGAGATTACATCTAATTAATATTAAAGTGATTTCTCTATTTTAAAAAAATAAAAATAAAATCAGCTCAAAATATAATTGAATCTGAACTTGGTCCAATCCTACCTTAAAAACAATGCGGATTGAAGCCTGATAACCGGTCCAAATTAAGAGGCTGTTTGTAGGCCCAACTTCGAGGGGTCGAGCCTCGGGTGCACGTTTTTTTTATGTTTTTCTACTCTCATGGGCGCGTTGACTTGTAACGCACTCCAGTCTAGCTAACGGAAAACATGGTGGACTTCGCTTGTTGTCGTGGCCCAATTTGGTAAATTCTCAAGTCTAAAACATGTGAGCATTCATTCATGTGCCTAATCCTTGGTGATATTTGTTTAGAATTTAAATATATATATATATATATATATATATATATATATATTTTATCAACACATGTAGAACATATGACTAAGACATCTGGTACTTTTCATCTTCTATAAAATAAGTAAATAACCGTCTTCGAAATATCAAAATGAATATATATCAAAGTGTCAGATCTCTTTTCTTAAAATAGAAAATAAAAATACACTAAACACATAACACACTATATAATAAAAAAACATAATTATAATCATAATGTGGGAGAATTAACATATATAATATAATATTATTTAAAGTTATATAATTGTCTTAATTGATCAATATATACATAAAAATTTATATTTATATTTATATTATCAGTATATATATGCTCTACTTTTTAAAAATTTGTTTTATATGTCATATTTGTATCCATATTTCTTACATGTCCTCACTATTTCTTAGCTCGTAGTAATTGTTAAGAATCTTCGTCTTTTGTTTATGTAAGTGCAAGTAAAGATTTGTGTTCTTGTTATTGAATACAAATAAAATAAATATTTGTGTTTTTTTTTGCTTATCTTTTTATCTTTTAAAATGTAAACTCGTAAAATTTTAAAAATTCTCTTTTAACTAAAAAAAAAAAAAAAATCAAAAGCGCTTTGGATTGGAAGCTTCAAATTTTATTCTTTGGAATGATGAGAGAGAGACGTGTGGGATAAAGGGTATGAATATTCTATGACAAAAACAGGGGAATGGAACGGTTTGTTGTATTCACATTTATGATAGCTCTATAAATAAGCATCAAAACCATACTCTAAACATGTTTAATTTGTGCAAATTATAACTTAATTAACTACCATTCTACACGTACGTCATTGTCCCCCACTTTATTAGCTCCTCCAAACATCATCTCCTCCCTCCCCTTTCTCTCTCTCACTTGTCTTGAAACTTGAGATTAAGGCTCGTTTGTTTAGATGTAAAAATTTTTTTAAATTTTTTTTTTATTTTTTATATTTGGTTGTCGTAAAACATTTACAAAAAAAAAAAATATATTAAAATTTTACAAAAATAATTTATTCATCAATTTTTTTGTAAATTATTTTATATGTCATGCCCAAAGGACTTGACCTTAATTTCGACCTAAACCTTTGTCAAATATCGAAAAGTACAAATAAAAAATATATTTTAATTAAAAAATGAAAAATATATATATTTTATGTACGGAGCCTAAGACTTTGTTTATTTCAACATAAAATATTATTTATTTATATATTTAGCTGTTTGGTAAAATTTTAGATCGAGTTTATCGAATGAAACGTGTAAAATAAGTTACTGAAAATAGAAGGATAAATTATTTTTGTTAAATTTATAAAAAAAAAAAAAAATTCATAAATATTTTATAACAACCAAACACTATATATATATATATATATATATATATATATATATTAAAAATGAGTTTACATTCAAACAAAATGAGCATTACACTAAAGTCAAAGTAGGACAACTAGAAGACGCTAATGAAAAATGACTAATTGGCATAATTATTTGAGTCAGACATGGTATCATCCCATTAACATTGTGGTGTTGATTTATTAGAAATGGAAAATGATTGTAGGTATGAATCCAGACGAAGCAGACACTTAGAATTTGGGGGATGGTGTGAAACACAGTCTCCTTGGAAAATATAATTTGTTTACTGAAGCTGAATTCGTATCCAAACAAGAGAGGTAGAGCCCAGAGGGGGCAGAAGACGCGGTTGAGAAGAAATTGTTCCCCAGACTAAGTGTTGTCAAATTTGGGTAGTCGGTCCATCTTTCGCCATTGAAGGTGGTGGTCTTAAAAGGTACATCAATCAGATCCGTGCTACACGGTATTGTATCGTTCAATCTAACTTAAATTATTAGTATTAATTAATACTACTACTTGTCAACCAACTAATATATTGGATAACACAATCTTATCTTTTTCTTTACCATTTGTTTGTCTGTCATGGTCCCACCTCTATTCTCTCTCTCTCTCTAGCTGTTCATATATATATATATGGACGATGGTAATGTTAGATTCTTAAAGTATTCCATATTTTATTATCTAAAAAAATTTCTTGATTTGAAGGCTCGACTTTCAAGACGTGAGAAATAATAGTCATTAGGTTACCAGGGGTGATTTGCATCACATTGGATCACGAGAAATCACATTGGATCATGAGAAATAAAATAAGTATGAGTAGATATATATGCAACACCGTTTAATAATTTAAATTTTTGAGTAAATGGATAAGTGTCTATCCATTGTAGTTCGTATCAATGCCAGACTTAATCCTTGATGCGTTGCAATGCTAAGCGTCCGAGTAAGCCACCCAAATAAGTGTGGTGGCCAGATCATAACGAAGGTGTTGTAAATTCGGATAAAAAAAATGTTACAAGAAGGGACTTGTCCTATATCGAATCTGAATAAAGAGTGAAATAAGTATAAATAAGTTGGTATACAGTGCTACACAATCGTTTAAGTTTTTTAGTAAATGCATAAGTATGAAAATGATAATGAAAACCGTGAAAGCAGGTTACAGGTAAACAATAACAAGCTGGTTGACTACAAACTTCCAAACATAGGATGGAAGCCAACTACTGTAATAAAAAAGCAACTACCCCTGCTTTATCTATTTATAAAGTTCCATCTCCAACTTGTTCTCCTACACACACACACAAACACACAGAAAGAGAAAGAGAGAGATGCCTTGCCTTGACATCTCAACTAACGTGAACTTGGATGGAGTAGACATCGAATCCATCTTCACCGAAGTAACAAAAGCTCTGTCTGCCATCATCGGCAGACCGGAAACTGTAATGTTTTCTTCACTATACCTATATCTATATATATATATATATATATATAGTTAATATTATTTGATCTATCATTCATCCATCATTTTGTCAAGTACATTAACTTCCCTTCATTTGCTCTAAATTATTGTTAAGAGGTATATTTTATCTCTTTAGAAAGATTCAAACTCTATTAGAAACTCTAAACCAATCTTCATTCACCCAAATCTCTGTGAATTATATCATTAAATAAGGTTGAACACTTCGATCCAAATTCACCAACGATTGAACGAATTTATTAGTTCTTCACTACTGTTGACTTAAATACTGCCACATCTAACATAACAACTGCTCTCGTGAGTACTAAAATCAACTTCTTTAATTTATACACACACACACACACAAATATATATATGGTGTTCATGTCTGATTTTTTTTTTTTAGAAGTTGTTGTGTTCGATCGTATCCTATCTCATGTATTCATCCTAAATTCCTAACATTAAAATGAATGCAAACATCTGAGTCTCATGTCCCTCTTCTCCCCTATGATGAAGTTTTTTTTTCCTTCAATTTTTGTGGGATTTTCTTATTCCTCTCCTCCTTTTGAACAATATATTTAAATTTCATTAGAGTTTTCAACTTTTCATAAGTACTACTATTCACGTTTATTTAAAATTTTAAACATAACAGTCACCTCTCTCCTGACGTTTATATATATATATATATATATTGATAATATATTACTTCTTTCATTAACAGTTACTACTAGTCCAGCTAATCGATAATTTAAAATACTAGCTAGTTTCATCCCCCCAACAAGTTGACTTGCAAAGTAATTAAAATAATATATTTACAAAGTTGAGGGCGAGTTGTTTTATATATATCCTTAATCACTTATTGCATATTTAATGTTTCAATGTTCAATTCAACAAGGGAGCCCAATCATTTCCCATTCATTAGATGGTGTGTATCGTGTTGGGATCCCGCGTCACGTACCAATTATTAGTGTAGCACATTTACATCGTAAAACAGCATATATCTACATAAAATAAAATAAATTGCATTAGAGAATTCAATCATGGTTTTCATATGGCGACATCACGTCGGTGAAAACTTTAAATGTTAATTATTTTTACCTACACTGTATCTATTTTGAGACGAAGTAAATATTTATAAACATAAAATACAGAAAAGTCCAGTGTGATTATAAATTTACTCTCTCGTGAATTAATTGGCCTTCTTATTTTTATTTTTATTTTTATTATAATATTTTTGTTGTGGATCGCTCTTATGCGTAGTCGTTTTCATGGCTTCAAAAACTACAGGAAATGAGCACTGGATATTATTATTTCCTACTTGTCGTTGTTAGGTTGATGTCCCTCTCACTATGGCCAGATACAAATTCCCCACCACAAATATGACACCCAATTGTATCGCTTCTAGCACCCTCCAAAAACCTGTACTTTAATAATGCAACATATAATACATATTACATCAGATATAAACACTTTAATTTTTTTTTTTTTAAATTGAGAATATATTGTTTTTATATTGGTATTACATTCTTGATTTAATGTATTAAAAATATATATAAAATTGTACCTGATTGGAAAGAAAAACACTAGAATCAAACAAATAACTAAATAATGCACCATTCGGATCATGTACTATAGCAAGGCCCTTTCAATAAATGCTATTAAATGTGTTCTGTATATGTCAGCAATTGTATACCAAAAAAAAAAAAAAAAACGTGTAGATCCACAAATGCTTTTAATTGTCTATATTGGTTTCGCGGGATGTACTTTGCATTTATTCATATGAGTTGTAAGTACACAATAACTGTTTTTTCATACATAACAAATACGATTTGAATGAGTCCAATATTCGATGCGATGGCCAACCCTTTCTCTTACTTTTTAATTAAATGAACACCAGTGTTAAATAATTGTCACGATCAACATTCATATAATGCATACTATGATATGTGTATTCTACAAATTGCTTAGTTGCTGGAGGGTGTGCTTCTTTTTGTTTCTATTCTTTTTTTAAAAAAAAAAAAAAAAAAAAATTTAAACTACTCCCAATCTACAATTTGACAGATTCTTATTTTTTATTTTTATTTTTTTTAACATATGCAAAAACTTTGTTATCACGCTGAATAATTATGTTATGCATGACTAATAATTGAACGACATTATTATTATTATTTTTTAATTGAACGACATTATTATTTACTCACTCCATTAATTAGAATAATCAATACATTTTTATAATATTTTTTCATGTGATAACGAGCATAAAAGATCCCATTTAGTTGGGGCGTCACAGGGTTGTGGCCCCCACAACGCACCTATATAAGGGTGCAGCTACTGGAAGGTTGAGACCCATGAAATTATGCTTCTTTTGAAAGTTGAAACTCTCCTCAATTTTATTGTAGAAATTGGTACTGCGTGTAATTAACGACTGGCCCACCCATAATTAATGATTGACGTACAAGAAGATATATATATATATATATATATATTTTGTGTATATCAAATATTGATATTTTATACTTAAACTACAGCATGTGATGGTGCTAGTGAAGGGATCGGTGGCCATATCATTCGGAGGGAGCAAAGCACCAGCTGCATTCGCAGAGATAGTATCAATGGGGGGAATCAATTCTCAAGTAAAGAGAGAGCTCATCTCCACCATCGGTTCAATTCTACACAAGACGCTCTCTGTCCCCACCTCCCGGTTCGTCCTCAAAGTCCATGATACAACTGCAGGACGAATCAATCACTCCAGAATGTGATCATTTGTTTTGTTTGGAGTACCGAATTGACATTTTAGAATTGAAATAAATTTAAACTATTTCTTTTTTTTTTTTAATTTTAAATTTAATGTGTGAATTCGTGTTCCCAAATATCGACAATTAAAGAAATTAAAATAATACACTCCTAAATGAAAAAAATGTCTCTCATGTTTAATCATCATGCATTCCATTCCTGTAAGTAAAGAAACGATTCGAGATGAGACAGACCTTAATAATTTTTTTGTCATTCTTGCTTGAAATGAATGATCCAGTAACATATCTGGCTGTAATACTTAAAAATTAAAAAAATAAATAACTAATGATAATGAAAAAAAAAAATACCAAATTTGAGTTTTAGGCCAGAGAATGCTGAGACCAAAACATCTGCAACAATGAAGTCTTATTAACTCGGAAGTATCAAACAAATGAAAAAACTAGTCAAATTGGAATAACTTCTGTTGAAGTGCAGCTGTCAAAAACAATAAAGTGTGAATTTATCGTCTTATGAAAAAAAAAATTGTAATACACGCACGAACATGTGTTTTACAAGGACGATTTAAACAGTGCAACGGGTGTAAGGAAATTTTTCTCACGAATTTTTCTCCTACGCGAGGCCTTACACTTACTAGTAAACATACAAATGATTGATTTATCATAAGATCCAATGATACTGTGAATTAGATTTATCAGGAGACCCAAAGTTATTGGGAATTTGATTTATCGCAAGTTTCAAATATATTGTGAAATTTATTCAAAAGGTAAAAATTGCTTCATTTAGCTGTAAATGTTCTTTTGCAAAATATCACACAAATGTAGTTTTTATAAAGAATTTTCATTCACACAGGCATATGTATGTTTTCATTGGTAAGAAACATATTGAGGCACCAAGTTGGAGGCTTGAACTCTTAATTTTCTATTTTAAAAGGTACAAAAATACTACTAAGTATTCATTTATATTTAATCACGGTTACTTTGATTTCATTTTAAATTGAAATAGACATGATGATCCTTTTATTTAAAAGTGATATGTTTCAAATGAGGCACATCATTCTCTTAAATATATCTATATATATATATATGATGAAATTAATTCTATTTCTCTTTCTTAATTTTTATACAGGTTTAAATTGAAAATTCAAGACATATTTGAAATTGTGTTTAGCCCATTTTATGCAATGGTAAACAAACACCTTAAAATGATTAAAAGGTTCATTTGAATGAGAAATTTTATTTTGGAAAAAATTTTATTGAAATTATTTGAAGTAATTGTAGGTCAATTTGCAAGGTTTTGACCCATTAAAAAAACAAAAAGGATATAAAATTCAACCCGTTTCAAAATTTCATAGTTTTCATTCAATATAATAGAAAAAGGGAAACTGAAACGAAAGGAATGAAAAATGAAATGACATGGAAGAGGAGGCTCTTGATTTTCTTGAAACACAATGGAGCAGAACATTTTTTTAAAAAAACAGTAGGTAGTTGTTTTAAGAACCCTTATCATAAAAGGGCATTTTCGGTAATTAATTGTGGGGACATTTTCGACATTTAAGAAGAAAGCAAACGCATTACTAGAAGAGAATTGAGAACTGCGAGTGAGAGTGAGAGTGAGAGTGAGAGAGAGACACAGCAAAAAATTAGGGTTTTTGTTGCAGACCTAGCCGACTACAAAAATGCCTTGCCTGAACCTGTCGACTAACGTGAGCCTGGAGGGCGTTGATACCTCCTTCATACTCTCTGAAGCCACTTCTTCTGTCGCCAAGCTCATCGGTAAACCTGAGAATGTATATTCTCTCTCTATATATATACATATACATATATATATTTATATCATATATTTTCTTCTATGTTTATGAATATACATATCATACTTGTTTTTAGATTAATTATTATCAGTGAATTTGAAGTTTCCGTTGTTATTATGCCCTTGCAATTTCTCAAATGTGAGCATAGTTTGTAGGTAGCAAAACCCATTATGGGTGTTGTGCAACCAACTATTAATTCAAGAAAAAATCCATTTCAGGGTTCAATTTATAAACCATAGCGATTAGGAATTATTAGATTTTGACGTTGAGGTGTGTTTTTTTTTTTTTTTTTTCATTTGATTTTAATTTTGAAATGGGGATAATTTTCTGTATGCTAATTTGTCTGCTGTCTCATTTGTGGTTAAAAAATACATGACCTTTAGCTTTCAATGACCATTTTTTTGCTGAAATGATTGGTTGTTGAAGGCAATACAACTTCTCATTTGAGTTTGTATTAATTATTATTTATCTGTTTGGTATTGTGAGCCTGATAAATGCATTCGATTTCTTGATTATTTAGGCATACATTTCATTTTGCTACTAAAATTTGATGGATTCTATTTCTTTGTGAACTTTGACTGACATGGTTGAATAAATTATGGCTTGGATGATGAGAATTGCTTGGCTCATGTAAGTTATTTAGCTCCTCCTCTGAACCCATGTGGAAGTTGCTATCCCGAATACAACAATGGTGGATATTTAAATGAGGGTTCCTTTTGGCATAATATTTAAACAATAAAGAGTAATTGTGTATACCAGTCTAACTGGTATTTCGTTTTGCCCCTTATATATTTTATATCCAGTGTAATTATATATTACTATTCTATCTCTTCAATGCAATGAATAGAATTTTCAGGCTAAAAGATGCCTTTCGTTGATGTCTCTTACTTTAGCGTTCTGTTCTGTTCTCTGTGAGGCCATCTAGTTCTTTTTTTGGTTGTGTGCATGTGCATGGAGGTTCTCTTGGTTCCCCCGTTTCTCATCCCCTACCCGAGAGCCTACTAGTGAAAGAAAAAGCAAAAGGGTGTGAATAACCCATATTAAATATAATCCATAATTTCATAAGGATCTCAAAGTTCGCAAATTCATGTTAAAAGTGTAAAAAAGGCATGCTCTGCAAGTGTGGAATGCTGTTCCCATCTTTATAATTTGAAGCAGCCTAATTCTTTCAGTGAATATTAGTTCACAGGCATAGAAGATCTTTGGTCATACATTATAAACTATGATTTCGTTTAAAGAAAATAAATAGGTTTGAATTTTGATTAAGTTGCTTTAGTTCTTCCATCACTTTCTCCTGTTAATAAGCCATTAGCAACTTTGTGTTTGTTTTTATACAGTATGTGATGATTGTGTTGAAAGGATCGGTACCAATATCGTTTGGTGGGAATGAGGAGCCAGCAGCTTATGGTGAGTTGGTGTCCATTGGGGGTCTTAACGCTGATGTAAACAAGAAGCTGAGTGCCGCGATTGCTACTATACTTGAAACCAAGTTGTCTGTTCCCAAGTCACGATTCTTCCTGAAATTCTATGATACTAAGGCAAGCCATCTCAACTTCATAAGTTGTCGCTAAATGGGTCATTGCCAAGCATTTGCGTTGCTCATTGCATTCTTCCTGTTTGTTTAGGCCCATCAAACTCAAGAATATGCACAATGTCTGCATGCTTTACACCAGTACTAGATCATGTAAACAAACCTTTATTATCTGAAATCATGAATGACGCTTTTACCAGTTTTTTTATTTCTTAAAATATCGTTTTAAATACAATATATTTGCTTGTTCTTTTCATATTCCACATATTTATTTGGAGTCATTTCATGTGATATACTGACTCTTGATGGCACTGATAATTTCATTAATTTTTGCAGGGCTCCAACTTCGGATGGAATGGGTCTACCTTTTAGATTCTGCTTATACATCTGGTGTGCTGTCTTGACATTGTCATGAACTCAATGCTATTCGTGGAAGAAACTTTATCTGTATGATAATTTGAGGTCATAACAACTATGGTAATACTGTGAAGGATTTTATTTAATTTTTATGTCTGTGATGTGCTGAACTTACGAGGTTCTACTTTCTAGACTATGTGGATCATCATTAATGCTCAGTTTGATAGGAGGAATGGAAAAATGGATGGAAGGGAGAGGGGGATGGATGGATGACCCATACCTATGGGGAAGGGATGGTGTCTCGGGATTAATAATGGAAAGGACAGACAATGTGACACCTTATTTTTGTTTGGTTAGATGGAAAAGAATGAGAGTTTTTATAATTTTGTAAATAATTGAAGCTAAAAAATGGCATTTATATTTATATATTAGTTTTTCTATCTCTCCCTCTTCTCTTCTATCCAATTTCGGACAGATGAAAAAACGTGTTTGGCGGGATGCTTCATCTCTCCTTACTTCATCCATTCTGCTCCTTCCAAGGAAACAAGAGAAGCTTCTTTTATTACTCCTCTCTTCCATCCTTTCTCAATCCTTCCAATCAATCAATCATAGTGTAGTAATGGTTGATCTTTCAGGATCTCTTTTACTAATGATGTGTAGAAACACTCTCCAAGCTGAGCTACATTATACATGCATAGAGTATTCGCTAGAGGCATCCATTTACCCACGGGTCTTGGATCAAAATAACCCATATGTTAACTATTTATCAGCAGTTAAGATTGGTCCAGAAAGACAATTCTTTGTTCTTTTAAGTGGACCTCACCTGTTTTTGTATTTTTTGTTCTCCTTCCTTCCTTCCTGGCGTAAAGGAAAAACAGAGCAGCAACTACCACTGTTGTATGTTTGTCAATGTTGCATGGTTGTCTTCTTTTACTATTTTCTTTTGTGTCAACTTATTTTGTAGTGAAGATGTCTTTTTCTTTTGCTAAGAAAGACATAAAACTGTTTGCAACATATCTCTCATTTCTTGCCTCTCCTCTCTCCTACCATCTTTATCAATTTGATTGAGAATGGATTGAGAATTTACTGGGTTTGTTAGTCAAATCTTCATGGAATGAAGCTTGTCTCAAAGAATGTGTGTGTTGCAACATAAACACACCATTTTGGATTTAATAACTCTTATATATAAGCTAAATTAGTCGTAGATTGAATTTGGATTCTCCAAGTAAGATAAAATTAATTCTTTTTACAAAGTGTTCAAGTCTCTCCACGAAAACTGAGAGCTATCTGCCAAATAAAAAAAAATTAAATTCACATGTGAATTCCTAGTATGTGGGCAACCAAGATAATTAACTGGGCCTAACCCATATAACAGCAATCTAAAATCACGAGTCCACAATCGTAGACGTTTTAAATTCAACGGCCCAAGGATTTTTTAGAAGAAAGTTTTTCCTGCGAGAGCTTGAAGCAAACCATGTAAATTAATTATTATTATTATTATTATTTTTTACAGAATTAATTTCCTAATTGGCAACAGCGGTTTTTTTTGTTAATTTTTGCCACCTTTAATTTTATATATAATAATAATTTTCTTTACAATGAAAACAACAATGTTTACTTGGTAACTTGTATTCATGGGTAAATTGAGAAAAATACTGTGTTTCTTGCCCACTTGGCTTCTTCCAGACAAAACAAACAAAGCAAGAAGATAAACAAATTAACAAAACAAACAAAGCACATCAAAGCACATCAATGTGTGTGTGTGCACATATATATATATAGATGGCATAAAAAAATTGATCGGTGGTTCATGCGATGTGTGTGAGCTAATTGTGTGAATTGTATGATCTAACTGAATCCCGGCCATACTGAAATGATGGATTCTCATATATTCAACTCACCATAATATTTGGGCTTGGGTTATTTTTTGGGCCTAATGCCTGGCCAGCTAACTAAGACCATGTGTTAGGCTTTTGTTCTTGCTTATGGGTCCCACTATAAATTTATAAATTTAATCAAGCTAAGATTTGGATTTTTTACAAGTAAATGAAAAGTTTTTTTTTTTTTGAAAAATATGTATGAAAGTGATTCACACTGTATCGCTAAACCAACACCTTTTTAACAGGTATACCTAACCAAAAAAAAATGAAAAGAAAAGAAAAAAGTGATTGTTAAATATGGTGTAGTCCATTGATTTATAAATAAGTGTTTGTTAATCTTGAGATTGCTCACAGTATAAATAACTCAAGCTTAAGAGTAGCCACTCGCTTGAAAAATACATTGAGACTGTTACCCTGTTGCTGGCTACTCTAAAGATTACAAGTTCACAAGCAAAACCCTGTGCATCAATTTAGTTTGTTTCTGTTAAACTTGGATAATGGTGGGACCATGGATGATGAAGGGCATTCAAGCACTGCAGAGGTAGAGCAAGCGCTTACAAAACCCCTCAACAGTGATTGCTAGAGCTTTAGCCTTCAGCTACCAAAATGGTCGTCTGAATTCTGATATTCAGTTGCTTTTTTTCCTCGTATGGAGTGATGAGATCAACATTGGATCCCATTCACTGGATAGACGTGACAAGATATCAACGTGTGTGTGTGTATTCCAAAAGTTTAAGCAATACTGAATATAGAATAAAGTATATACATTATTAGTAGGCCTTAGAGCGAAGGGGCAAGCCAAAACAATCTCAAAGGAGAAATATTTTGGAGTAAGAACAATACAAGATCGAAGTGAAAAAAAAAAAACCAATCAGAGTGCCCAACCCACCAAGCCGAAACAAATAACCACTCGATTGAAAATTACATTGAGACTGTTACCCTGTTGCTCGCTATTAAGGCTCAGTTTATTTCAACGTAAAATATTTTTCTGAATGGAATCCAATGTTGAAATATTTTCTTTTTTCAAGTAATTTTTTTTTTTTTTAATGTTTGGTAAATATTTACGTCGAGGTTGAAATCTAATCCATCAAGCGGACATATAAAATAACTTCTTGAAAATTGATGGATAAGTTATTTTTGTTAAATTTTAATATTTTTTTTCTTTGTAAATATTTTACGACAACCAAACATCAGAAAATAAAATAAATATTTTTTAAAAAATATTTTACATCCAAACAAACGGAGCCTAAAGATAATAAGTTTTACACAAGCAAAAACATTTTACTATAAGGCCTAATGCAAACCCTGTGCATCATTTTAAAAGGCCTGAGCAAATGTCCAACACAAATGGTTTGATCAGAAGTGAAGGTGTTTAAAAAATATTTTACATCTAAACAAACGGAGTCTAAGGATAATAAGTTTTACACAAGCAAAAGCATTTTACTATAAGGCCTAACGCAAACCCTGTGCATCATTTTAGAAGGCCTGAGTAAATGTCCAACACAAATGGTTGGGAAAAAAAAAAAAAAAAAAACCCTATAAGTTTGCATGCATCATCATCCAATCACCAATTTTAAACTCAATTAAACAAATTGAGTTTGGATAGCAAAATTGGAATATTAGAACCTTTTTCCTTCTCAGCTCTATCGAATCCTAACCATCAGATTTGGCTAAGCCTACAACTATAGAAAACAACATCAACAACAACAAAACTTTTTTTTCATTAGTCATTGGATTCATATTGGTTGCTGCCTAACACAGCCCTTCTCCTTTATTTAGACTTGCCTCCTCCTTTATTTAGACTTGGGATCGGTTGTGTAATGAAAACGGAGGGTATATCACATTTAACTTAATCAAGCTAAGATTTGGATCTTTTTTACAAGTAAATGAAAAGTCTTTTTGTGAAAAATATATTAGTATAAAAGTGATTCACACTGTATCGGTAAACCAACACCTTTTTAACAGCTATACCTAACCAAAAAAAATGAAAAGAAAATAAAAAAGTGATTGTTAAATATGGTGTAGTCCATTGATTTATAAATAAGTGTTTGTTAAACTTGAGATTGCTCACAGTATAAATGATTCAAGCTTAAGAATTACGCACATACACACGCAATATATTGTTATGACAGAAAACACAAAAATTTTGATTCCCCCACTTGTCAAGTCTTCAAATCTTGTTTCCTATCTGTAATTTTTTTTCTCTTCCATCTTTTTGTAGAATCCAATTGCCAAAAGACACGATTATGAAATAACAGAATAAAAATAAAAAATAAAATACATATATCATGCACTATACATATACGATTCAACATATTATATGAGCAATACTACGCATTTGAATTTGTTGTTAAAAAATATATTAAGTATTTGCACATTTTTATTTTTATTTTTTTGTAGCCAGTCTTTGCTCAACCGTGAGATTGTGTTTGACACTTTCATTTTAAGTCTCAAAATTATGTGATATTGTGAAAATTAAGAGCTTACTTGTTTTGTCATTCAAAAAATAATTTTAAAAATAAAAAATTGTTTTCAAAAATTAAAAAAGATGATTCTCCAAAAACATGCAATTTTTTAACTTTAGTTTTCATAATAAAATTCTTGGAATCTACATACAATTTTTTTATTTTGAATTTTCCAAAAACAAAAAAAAAAATGTTTTAAAAAAACAGAAACCAGCAAACTAAGTTCACTTTCATATTCAGAAAAAAGGCTTCCAAATTATTTGTTAATAATGATCTGTTGTCAATATACTGCGCATTTTTGCGATTCACCAAAATTATTAGCCACAGTTAGCAACTTAGAAAGGAAAATGAGCATTTGAAGGATAATAATGAAATAATATTTTATAAGCTTGTGAGTTTGTTTCTGTTTAAACTTGATGATGATAAGGATAACGGTGGGACCATGGATGATGAAGGGCATGCAAGGAATTGGAATTGGTTTGGGGAAATTTTTGTATCACTAGGGTAGGGAATAATAATTACTTGGTCGATTTCAATTTTTTATCAATTTCTACTTGAAACTCACCCATTTACACAAACTTTTTTTTGGGTAAATTATTATTATTATTATTTTCTTCCCGAAATATAAGCTAACCCATCCACTTTCCACGATCTTCAATTTTAAAAGATGAAAAAGTACTAACTATTGATGGCATACCTCAAAAAATTTATGATATTTCTTCTAGTCAAAATCCTAGAACTATAAAATTGAAGTTATTAAGATAAAAATAAATAAATAAATAAAAATAAAATTCTCACACGAGATGAAATCTACCGTAAAGATACATGTCATATAAAAAATTTAAAGAAAAATTCTTAACAAAAAAGACTTAATGCTATATTTAGTTACATGAAAAAGTCATAGAATTTCTTAACAAAAAAGACTTAATGCTATGTTTAGTTACATGAAAAAGTGATAGAATTTGTACCTTTATCTCGTTCAATCTTAAATTTAAAACACCGTTTCAATGCTACCAAATACAACTATTGAAAGTTCATATTCCATTTTTTTTTTGTACACTTTGTTATAGATTTTCTGTAAAGAACCCTTCTTCTTGAATTATTATTTTTGAGAAGAAGAAAAATGTAAAAATATTTTCTAAGATTATGATCCATAATTCTTTAAATGTATAATTTTCTCTTACAAAAGTTATAACAAGACACATTTAACTGATTCAAAATATTTAAACCTGATGCTAGGAGAAATGCCGATTCAGTCCTTGGATATCAACTACTCTGCAAGAGTTTTCACCATGTCTGTGTCAGATTCAATTCATCACTTACAAAACCCCTCAACAGTGATTGCTAGAGCTTCAGCTACCAAAATGGTCGTCTGAATTCTGATATTCTGTTGTTTTTTTTCCTCGTATGGAGTGATGAGATCAACATTGGATCCCATTCACTGGATAGACGTGTGTGTTATATATATATATATATATATATATATTCCAAAAGTTTAAGCAATACTGAATATAGAATAAAGTATGTACATTATTAGTACTTACCAAAAAAAGAAAAAAGAAAAAAAAGTATGTACATTATTAGTAGGCCTTAGAGCGAAGGGGCAAGCCCAAACAATCTCAAAGGAGAAATATTTTGGAGCAAGCCCAATACAAGCTCGAAGTAAAAAAAAAAAAAAACAGAGTGCCCAACCCACCAAGCCGAAACAAATAGCCACTCGCTTGAAAGATAAATTGAGTCTGTTACCCATTTTACTATAAGGCCTAACGCAGCAAATGTCCAACACAAATGGTTTAATCAGAAGAAAAGGTGTTAAAAAAAAAAAAAAAAAACATATAAGTCTGCATGCATCATCATCCAATCACCAATTTTAAACTCAATTAAACAAATTGAGTTTGGATAGCAAAATTGGAATATTATAAAATTTTTCCTTCTCATGTCTATTGAATTTTGACCATTAGATTTGGCTGAACCTACAACTACAGAAAACAACATCAACAACAACAACAAAGCCTTTTTCCCACTAGTCATACGATTCATGTTCATATTAGTCATAACTCATGACAAAGTTTTACTTTAACTGTTATGCTGCCTAACACAACCCTCCTCCTTTATCTAGACTTGGGACCGGTTGTGTAATGAAACACCGGGTATATCACATTTTCCTAATATTCTACTTGATTAAAACCCCATTTTTCCAATCAGATATAAACCATTTACAACACATTTCCAGCAAAAATAATTTTTTTTACTTCCCCTCAAAACAATAGCACAGAATAAGATAAATCTTTTAAGACACTACCCATAAAAAAAATGCAGTTCCAATTGATAAAAGACACTTTCAATTTTCACCAAAAGTAACACTGCACAAACACTTAACAGAGTGACATATATCTATTGACATTTAGATGAAACATAAAAACATGAGTTTAATATACACAGAATGAACAATAAAACTAACATAAACATATATCATTGCACTTATAGCAGTACCTATAAATTCTCCACTTAGGTACTAAGAGAAATAAACCTTCAATAACTACAATTCTCAATTCCACTCAGAGAAATGTTACCCTGATAAGTCAAAAGTATCTTATTATTTCCTTCAAAGATGTCCAAGTACCAACAATTGCCGTGAAGATACCCATTAAGATGATGGCACCTAAAGCTCCAACAAGTGACATGAGAGATCCAAAAAGGGGAACAGTCACAGCTACAACAATCGTGCTGATTACCAAGCAGGTCTTGAACAATAGGCTAAGTAGTCTCCTATTGTTAGAATGGTGAAATAGACCTTCAATCAAGTGCACTATCGGTGTAACCATCAATGAATATTTTGAGATCGGATTGATCAAGGTAATATAGATGGTCACTTTTGAACTAATCTTTTCAGTAGGAAGGCTTAAGCTTATCTGCAGGGAGGCACCCAGAAAATGGGTATCATCTTAATAGGTATCTTCACATCAATTGTTGGTACTTGGACATCTTTGAAGGAAATAATAGGATACTTTTGACTTGTCAGGTTAGATTTCTCTGAGTGGAAATGAGAATTATAGTTATTGAAGGTTTATTTCTCTTAGTACCTAAGTGGAGAATTTATGGGTACTGCTATAAGTGCAATGTCATCGAACTAATTAAGGTTCTTTCTTCACAAGTGACTGGTGGTCTAATGTTCCCCTTCAATGATCAAGAGCCCAGTTGCAACCAAAAACAGCTCTATGTTCATCAAAAACAATATGAGCCATCACCCAACTCCTGAGAAACAAACAAAAATAGAAGGAAAAAAAAAAAATTAGTTTCCATCTAGCCTACATTTCAAGAAACAAACAGAAATGGGAAAATTTTCATTTCCATTTAGCCCTACATTTCAAAATATAGTTGTGTGAAGCTGGAATCTTAGATTTAATTAAGTTGGAAATTCTAATTCGTATATAATATCGAATTACATCACAAAAATATCAACAGTAAAAAAGAGATCTTAGTTTCCTTAATCTAAATTTAAGTTTAATGAACATAGTTTCAGGGAACAGTACATGTTGGCATTATATGGTATATATATGATTCAAAGTCAAGAGCAAGACGAAAAATAATACTAGCTGTATGGTAAAAGCAAGTAAAAAAAATAACAAAAAAAAAATTACATATAAATCTAGCTAACACTACCCTTTGATACCACAGGATGAGTAGGAAAAAGAGAGTGGCATACCATACTAAATTTTCAACAGCGTAGTTACAAAATAAAATAAATAAATGGGAAACTGCAAACCTTTTCAAGCAAATACCAATATGTTATATATAACTTCTAAAGCATGTCACTTGAATATGCATTCATAGCTAGAACTTTAAACTTGAAAAGCATATTGTATAATACAATTCTCAAGGGAAGCTAAGAAAAAAAAAAACTATAAATCAACAAGTATGTTATTCGCAGCAATTGTTGCCATCTAACTAATTTGCCATGATTAGTGAGAAATGGTTCTCTATTTAAAATGTGTGTATTTGTTGAGTAGTGCTATTCCACCGGACTAGAAAAAAACCGACTTAATACCAACTACTCTGCGTGATTATCCAAGTGTCATGTGACTAGCGGAGTCCATTCTAAAACTAAAATATACAACTCACAACTCCTCTCCATTATAAGGGTCTGTTCCTCTGCCTCTTAGGTTTGAAGAACCATGGCTTCGACAAAACAAATGTAAGAATTCTCGGACTCAGAGAGCCAATTTGAGGTCATTGGAGTAGTGAGATAGAATTCTCGGACTCAGAGAGCCAATTTGAGGTCATTGGAGTAGTGAGATTCCAAGAGCAAGCTAGTGGCAATGGAGTTTGGGATCTACAATTGGGTCATGGCAAAGGCGAAAGAGGTTGAGAAGGAGAAGGCAGAGCCACAGGTGTAGTTCTTGAACTGAAGTAGTAAGGGATAGAAGGTACGTGATGTAGTACATGAATGGGCAGACATGAATAGTGCGTGAACATTACTCGGGAATGGTGTTTTCTATTTTCTGTTTTAGGAAAGTTTTCCATTGTTCTAATTTCCTAATAGTTTGGTGTCTGTTTTAGGAAAGTTATTTAATTTCCTATATGGTTTAAGATTTGCTTAGGCCTATAAATACATGTTATTGTAATAGTTTAGGGATCAATTATCTCTTTTATTAATATAAAAAAACTGAGAGTTTTTCTCAATCTCTTTTCGTGGATTCGAGTGTTTAAAGAATACGTTGCTATTCTTAATTATTTTGCTTGCTTTCATTGATCGGTTGCGTCAAGTTGGTATCAGAGCCATTCTACATGGACGGTAATTTGGGAGAATGTGCGGTGACCGTGGAAGAATTCACAAAGCACATCAATGTATATATATATAGGTGGCATAAAAAATTTGATAAGTGGTTCATGCGATGTGTGTGAGCCAATTGTGTGAATTGTATGATCAAACTGAATCCTAGCCATACTGAAATAATGATCCTCAGAGATTCAACTCACCATAATTTTTGGGCTTCGGTTATTTTTTTGGGCCTGGTGAAGTTTCAATCATCTGGAATATGGAAAATGTACCAAAACAATAACTTTTAAGATTCTGGAGCTTCCAATGAGTTTAATTTGCTTACAACCATTAAAAAGGTTCTTGGTATACTTGTTCTCTCTTGTCCAAATTGTTTATTTTCATTTTATTTAAATTATTATTTTATATTAATTTTGAAAGAAAATAAAATAAAATCTTGTAACAGTGTTGAGTTATAATTATTAAATTAATGTATCAATTACTATAAAAAAAATTTTTTGATAAAATTGACGACATGTTTTACGGACTGACTGATATATACATATACACTACTACAGCAGTCTCTTCCCTTTTGAACCTCTGTAAAAAAGGACCCCTCTTTTTCTCTCTATTCTTTTCTTTATCTCAGTCTTCAACAAACCAATTCAAATTTTATCCTCAAAACTCATCTATTTCCAATTCATCCCTCAAAAGTTAAACCAATTCTGAAACATTAAACCAATTGAATATCCTTAGAACTCCTCTGTTTCCAACAAATTCCCCATTAACCAAACACATCTTCCTTAGGACCTGTTTGAAATGTGTTATGATATTACTGGTCTTTAACTTTGGGCACATATCATGTTTGGAACAACTGATATTGGTTTGGAATAGTTCGTAACACGTTAAATTTTTTAACTCAAACCCGTGTCACTAAATTGATGATATTGTGTGTGTTGGTACTATAGCGGAGGAACTAAAGCAAAATTTTCAATTTTCCAAAATAATTTTTCATTATCAAACATCATTCCGATTCCTACTCAAAATACTCCTACAACAAAACAGTTATTTTAGTATTAATAAAAAACATAACGCCTAAAACATGTTACATGTCAAACGTCCTTTGAATCATATATATTGTTAGGGATGGCAACGGGGGCAGGTTTGGGCGGGTGTACCCTCCCCCGCCCCCGCAACCGGTTAAAAACCCTGCTCTTGTCCCTGCCCAAAATCGCAAAAATGAGAGGACTTTTCACCCCATTCCCGCAACCGTTTAACATTTTTACCCCCGCGGGTACACGCCCCGCCCCTTTTAAGACCATAATTTACTTATTGTTGAAATAGATTTGCTATTTTTTTTTTTTCCCCTCATCTTCAGTTCTTCACCATTGCAACTTTCCTTTTAAACAAATTCAGGTACTTAATATATATACTAGGAAATATATATATACTAATGAAATAGGGGTACTTAAGTAATTTGTCTATCTAAAAAAAGGCGGGGCGACCTCACCTGCTCCCACACCAAACCCGCGCGAATTTTTATTACATCAAAACATCTCCGCCCAAATAAGCTAAATGGTCTCCCAAAACCGCCAAAAAATGGGCTGGGCGGGGCGGGTAACCGCGGGGCAGGTCAAATTGCCATCCCTATATATTGTTGTTATGTTTTTATCATTTTCCCACCGTGGTGAACATCAATATAATTTAAAGGAAGCAATAAAATTAATTTGTTAAAAAGGAACTAGACTGCCTTTGTGATAGATGGATACATAATAGAGAGAGTGTGTCGTTATAAATTACTACATAATAGTTCAGTCATAGACTCATAAATTACTGTGTGAGTCAATTATGTGAATTGTATGATCTAACTGAATCCCAACCATATTGAAATGATGGATCCACAGAGATTCAACTCACCATAATTTTTGGATTTCGGTTATTTTTTGGGCCTAAATGCCCTGCCAGCTAACTAATACCATATGTTATGATTTTGTTCTTGGCTGCCACTGTAAATTTATACATTTAATCAAGCTAAGATTTGGATCTTTTTACAAGTAAATGAAAAGTCTTTTTGTGAAAAATATATAATTATAAAAGTGATTCACACTGTATCGGTAAACCAACACCTTTTTAACAGCTATACCTAATAAAAATATATATATATTTAAAATGAAAAGAAAAGATAAAGTGATTGTTAAATATGGTGTAGTCCATTGATTTATAAAAAGTGTTTGTTAAACTTGAGATTGCTTATAGTATAAATGACTCAAACTTAAGAATTACGCACATACACACACAATATATATTGCTATGACACACAGCACAAAAATTTCGATTCCCCCACTTGCCAAGTCCTCAAATCTTGTTTCCTACCAGTAAAATTTTTTCTCTTCCATCTTTTCGTAGAATCCAATTGTCCAAAGACACAATTATAAATATATTAAGTATTTGCACATTTTGTGCATAGCAAAATTCTGAAATTCTGATTTCAGAATCTCAAAAAATCAAAAACTTAATTCTTATTTCAAAAAATAAAAAAATTCTGAAATTCTGATTTCAAAAAAATAAATAAAAAATAAAAGCAATTACTGAAAGAAGTTTCAAACCATTTTCTGCTTTCTATGAACAATAAATTATTCTTGCAAATACTAAACCCAGTATAGAGTTTAATATATGGAAGTGGATGGTTATTGATTTGGGTGCTCAAATTTTATTTTATTTTATTTTTTTCTGTAGCCAGTCTTTGCTCAACCATGAGATTGTGTTTGACACTTCCATTTCAAGTCCCAAAATTATGTGATATCGTGAAAATTAAGAGCTTGCTTGTTTTGTTACTCAGAAAATAGTTTTTAAAAAATTTTAAAATAAAAAAACTGCTTTCAAAAACTATAAAAGATGATTCTCCAAAAACATTCAATTTTTTAACTTTAATTTTCATAATACAATTCTTAGAATCTATCTACAATTTTTTGATTTTCAATTTTCAAAAAAAAAAAAAAAAAAAAAAGTTCTAGAAAAACAGATACAAGCAAACCAAGTTGACTTTCATATTCAGAAAAAAGACTTCCAAATTATTTGTTAATGATGATCTGTTGTTAATATACTGCGCATTTTGCTGATTTATTACAAAAGATTGAAATAAAGTTAGCTTAAAATAAGAATATCTTTCACCAAAATTATTAGCCACAGGTAGCAGCTTAGAAAGGAAAATGAGCATTTGAAGGATAATAGTGAAATAATATTTTATAAGCTTGTTAGTTTGTTTCTGTTTAAACTTTATGATGATAAGCAAGGGCGGATCCATGATTTCTCAATGGGGTGGGCTAAATCAAAATATACCTAAGTCTAAGTATAAAGTTACAAACACAGACACACACATATATATATGTATATATGTATGATATACGTCTCATATTAGATTAGTAAGGTAAGTTATACATATATAATATTAATTATTGTCTCTATCTGTAACTTTGAGTGCATCAGAGCTTTCCATTTCATTGTTGGACACTTCCTAGATCCGATGCATGATACAAGCCAAAAGCTCACAACCCTATCGTTGGTTCACAGTTCTCATAAACTTTTGTGCCCCCAACCATATATATCTCTCTCTACAAGTCCATATCTATAGAAGTCTCCCATGCCAATATTAGTTAAGAAGCTCAGAGAGCTTGTTTTGTCCTACGTTGGGTAATTCTTATTGGTGGACTCTCTCTTCTTTGCTGTTTCAGTTCCAACATTTCAGAAACTCTGTCAATGCTCAAGTTGATAAAGTTAAATTAAAATTGCATAGAGTTTTTTTGTTCTTTTTCACCGATAAAATTAGGGTCTAGAGAGATGAAAAAAGAGAGAGCCCAAGTAGATAAACCATATTACACACCATTGTTTCAGAATTTCAGGAACTGAAAAATCGTGTGTGAAGTGACCAAAGATTCTTGCAACTAAAAGAATTAGATACTATGCTCAATAGTATGTCTTCAATTCTAAGTGTTTTGACTTAATTTGAGTGCATCAACACATTATCAACATCATCAGTCGTCATCACTAAAGTTAACGTTGACATCAACATCCTCATAACGTTGATATTAACATTTTTTTTTTTTTTTTGGGAAGGTAACGTTGATATTAACATTCTCATCTAGAATTGTCATCTAGAATCACATAATCCTCTTGCATAGATATACATTTGATTAAGATAAACCGAAAAGAGACTTCCTATCATAATTGTTCATTTTAAAACCAACATCACTGCTAAAACGGCAAGGAGATTTATATAATTCAATTAGCTAGGCAAAAAAAACATACCTTTTCTTTTTCCCTACTCAACCCATTCCAATCAATTCTCTTCTTTCTAGAAAAGAGACCTATATTATTAGGACAAAAGAGGAAAAGTTTTAAAAGTATTAAAAAACTTGTAAAATATATATTCTGAAATTGAAAACTAAACTTCCACGTCTTTAGTTCCCATTAATAAATTGTTCAAGCATCACATCATAACAATATTATATATATATATATATATATATATATATATATATATATATATACACACACGTAGAAACAAAAACAAAAACAAAAAATCAGTATGTAAAACAAGAATAAAGAAATGTAACCAATAGCTAAAAATGTCAATTAAAATTTTAAAAAAAGTAAGAGTTTGTTACCTGATGACTGAGGAGGCATGTTTCTTGAACCTTGTTCTTGCTAAATGTTAAGGCCCGATGCTAACCCTAAAAATTAGAAAACACTCAAGTTGTAAGGAAGAGGTTTCACAATCTCACTCGTAACAATTAAAACACCACCATCTAAGTAATATCTGTATCATGTATCAACCCAACCCAACTATGCTTTCAGTCAAAATGTTGGACACCTATCCGTAGAAAGAGGTGTAATTACGGATAGGTATGATTAGCACATATTATACTAAGCTCTTATGTTAAATTAATCCAATAACAAAATACAATGCATCAGCTTAGGAATAATCTTCAAAATTAACAAATCAATATCCTGATATTCTGCATTCTAATAATAAAAGAAAATCAAAAACAAAAATTTGAAAATAAAAATATGGCAGAAAGATTGAATATATCCTTTGTGCATTAAACAGATTGTATTTATATGTGAAACAAAACATTATTAGTAGGGCGGATCCAGGATTTCTCAATGTGGTGGGCTAAATCGAAATATATCAACCAAAATCAACATTCAGTTTTAGTTAACTAACAATGTTTGTGTAGACAATTCACTGATTAAGGCATAGAAAATCCGATTTGGGTAATTAATAAAAAAAATTACCAATTTATTTCTGAACAATTCACCACTCAGTACCCTATCTCTTCTTTTAACCAATTTACTAATCCTATTTGAGAATCTACAAGTGGAATTCACTCAAAAGCATGCTTTTTGTAAGTATTTTAATTTTCAAGAAGTAAATTTAGAGATTTACCCTATATTAAGTACTTTTGCTAGTCAAAGTTCTTGTTATGATTTTTTTTTTTTAGTTCTGAAAAGATTTCCATCTTCAAAAATTTTGGCATGTTGATAAAAATTGTTTCAGATTCAATCTCTGCAGATTTCTAATCCAATTCAGATTCTTTTTTTTTTTTCCTCTTTCTTTTCATGCCCAGATTCAAATTTTCTTGTAGACATAATTGACAAAAAAAAAAAAAAAAATATTAAGTTATAGAAATAAAAAAATATATATATTTGTTTTGCTGAAATAAAATGTAGATTACGGTGATTACCTTAACATGCAATGCAATGATTACCACAAAATGAAATACGGTGATTACCTGAACATGCAATGCAATGATTACCTCAAAATGAAATGCAAATTTAGTTTGCAAAACAAGGATTACAGAGCTTGATTAGTTGATTTAGAAGAAAAAAATAAAACAAAACCCATACATACAAGTTAGCAGTTGCAGAGAGAGAGGGGAGCAAGCTTGAGAGTTGAGAGACGGCGGGACAGCCGCTGGAGCTTGCGAACAGCGAATCCGAACTGGAACAGCGGGCGATCGAAACTGAAAGATCTGGGTTTTGATTTTTTGAACAATCTGAAATGATATGCCGATATGGGTTTTGATATAGGTAATAGGCTTTGAACTTTTGATTCTTGCAGACAGATAGATAAACTGAAATATATGGGTTTTGAACTTGTGATTCTTGTAGATTTTGTAGTTTGCGGTTGCACAGAGAGAGAGAGAGAGAGAGAGAGAGAGGGAGGGAAGTTCAGAGTTGAAAACGAGAATAGACATGGAGGCGATTGGCGAGGCTGAAATGATTTGCCCTAGAAATCCATTTTGTTTTTTCTGGTGGCCCATCCATATAGGCCTATAAATTTTTAGCCCCATAAATTTTCTTGGGCCTTTATTTTAGTACGGCGTCTGTGTTGACTTGGGCTTGATTGAAACAAACGAGGCCTTAGGTCCTTTCTGATAGAGGATTCTCCATTCTCTAGAATGCATTGCTTTCTCCACCTCGTGGTTCACTAAGCATTTGCACTCACTCTGTGCAGAAGTAATCTCTCCCATCTCAGAAATAAATCTACACTTGTGTCTTAGATAAAATATTGCATGGAGTAGAATGGAATAAGGCAGCTATTCATGTGAAGTGGAATGTTACATACAGTATTAAAGAGAAAAAAAGAAAAGAACAACACGTATGTAAAAAACCCCCCAAAAACCGGTTTCTGGAGTTTATTTCCGTCCAAACAGGCCTTTGCATGGCTAATTGGGCTTTTGGGCCACAAATTAAAAAAAAAAAAAAACGGATCTAACCGTAGCAGGGCGCGATCGACATACCCCGATCTAATAAACATGACCCACAAATGACAACCCACATTAGAGTATTTGGGTCGCCATTTATGGGGGCCCAAATCGCCGAATTTAAAGACGCTGGAGTCGTTCTTATTATTAATCTGGTAAGCCATGTGAAATTGGCCTTTTTTTATTATTTAATTGTAGTAATTTAATTGCTATTTAGGCCTCCTTTCTTTTTCGTTCTGATATTTTTAGTGATTCTTTCTGGGTCATTTATTTGTAGTTTCATGGACTTAAGGCTGAATCAGTATTTATTAATAATTTGATTAAATTATTAACTTTTTGAAATAAAATGATCCCATGTGAATTTGGTTTTTTGTTATTTAATTCATTAATTGTAGTGCTTTAATTACTATTTAGCTCCTATCTTTTTTATTCATTACTGTGTATATACGTGTAAGTAAAATCAAAATTAGTTTTAATATATATAATATATGTTAAGGAGTTTGGCATGCGCTTTGTTTTAGGCGTTTTCTTTTTGGTTAAAACAGAAACAATGTTTTTGCTATAAGAGTGTTTTGAAAAAAAATTAGAAATATGTTTGGAACGATGTTTTGTTATGGAAATGTTGGAAACAGAAATAAGAAAAATAACTTTTTAGTATTTTGGATTTAGACCACCGTTCACGAAGTGTTTTAACACTGTGTAAAATAAAACAAAACTGCACAAAATATATTTTTGTTGCTAAAATTGACAAGCAGCCCAAAAACAAAATAGCAGGAAAAATTCGCATGCCAAACGGGCTTTAATGGATTGCAGAAGAAGAAAAGCTTATTTTCTTGATTGCCTGGGTGGGTTGTTATTGGGATGGGTTTACTTGTTTTGCATCTGCAGATGTCACTATATTTATAAAATAAAAAATTTACCTTTCAAAACAGTAAATAAATAAAGCTTATTTTCTTGGTCATTTATTTGTAGTTTCATGGGCTAAAGGTTTAATCAATATGTATAACTAATTTGATTAAATTATTAATTTTTTGAAATAAAATGGCCCCATGCTGCCATGCATGTTGAAAATTAGTTTTTAATGCCATCACAAATAGTAAGTACCGCTGTCTCATTTGGTCATTTTGTATATTAATTGCAGTTTCTTAGTTATTATAAAAATTAGATAAATTGATGGATTAAAGTAATGATATGGGTAGTTAAATCCAAAAAAGGAGAAAAAATTAACTGAATTTTCTCCAGATTTCATAAAAATCATAAACAAAACTATCATAGTGATTAATGAACTCTATCCGTAAATAGTTTCAGACCGTCTAATAATTTCATATCTCAATTGTAAAAAGATAATACAACAAGATTTAGTGACAATTGCAACGATCTTGTTTGTATTTCAATTCTCTAGACTATTTAGATTCTAAGGTCACACATATGGGCATACCACATGTATGTCTGTATTCGATGAGTAACCATTGACGAAAAACATGTATAGGTGGTGCAATTTTTTTTTTTTTTTTTTTTTTTAACGTAATCAAATATTATAAATATTAGGATAAAAGATCCTTTTGAAATACATTCAACAGCCATGAAGGCCACATTTGCTACTGCAAATCACCTATCCTTTGACGAAGAGCCCATTTACCCATCTCATGTGCCGCTCTATTGCATAATCATGGACACCAAACCAACTTAAACCCCAAGTTTTGATGAAGTAAACACTGGACATCTTAAATAATGACTGAACATAAAAGGTCTTTAGGGGTAAGGTTAACCACTGATTGGCAATTACACTCAACATCCTCATTTAAATACCTCCACTGACCAAGAAGTTTCAGACCATCCCTTAGTACTGGAGCCTCTGCAACCTCTACACTGCTCACATCTTGATAAAACACTGTAGCCACCTTGACAGCTTCTCCACAATGATTACGGAGTGCCAAACCACCCTCATTATAACCAGTTAGCTTATGAAAGAAAGCATCTGCATTCAATTTATATCTACCAAGAGCAGGACTAATCTAACTATTAGTATGAGGACTACTACCACCAGTGGGTGGTGCAAAAATGATGTACAGGTTGTGAATGGCAATGCCACAATTTCTTAGTTGTAGATTTTGATGTTCTAGTACCGTTGCATGGTCATGTTCGTGTGACCAGAAAATAAAAGGAATAGGAAGTGTCACAAAGTAAAAAATGAGGAGGGGAAAAATAAATGGAAAATGGAAGAGAAAGTTATGATATTTTATTATCAAATTAATCACGGCATTGCCATGTAAAAAAGAAATTAAAAAAAAAAAATAATCAGACAAAATAATTATTACATGTAGTAGAAAGAAATTAAAGAGCTTGAAAGTATGTGTACTGAAAACTAAAAAGCATGTGTTATTTCTAAAAGCAGTCCACAGGGGCTGTGATAAGTGACTAATGGAAAAATATGAGATTGTTTTGGACCAAGACTGATATTTTGCACCATTTAATATATATATATATATGCTTCAGTACAAAAATGGGGTTCAGACAGTGAACAGAGAAGAAATATATAAATACATAGATTTGGAGCAAGCTCACAATGGAACTCTGTGTTTTATTTCTTCTTAAATTGTAAATAATTCGATCAAGAAAAACTCTCAGCATTTTGGGCCCATTTGGACTGCTTCTTTCTTCTTAAGTAGGCTGCATTTGGGACCCGCTCCGTTGCTATCCCTAATTTGGGTTCATTTATTCTGTTGGGCTGATTTTTTTATTTTTTATTTCTAGTAGCGTATGTTTGGCATGCTATTGTTATGGGACTAATGGCCTTAATAAAGTACTTGCCTATCTCAGGCCCACACTTGAAAATCATAATTATTCATGTAGACAATTGTGTCCTTACTGGAAGTACTTGTCTATCTCACGCTATAACAAGGGTCATTTGTCCCACATCGGATTCGGATGGAAAAATGAATGGGTATAAATGGGTGGGTATGTAGCACTACCCAATAGTTTGAGCTTTTGGGTAAATGGGTAAGCGCCTATCCGTTACAGTTGGTATCAGAGCCAAATCCAGTCCTTAATCCGGTGTCACGCCAAACGCCCTATCCGAAAGGTGTCCGAGTGAGCCAACCCTTGGTCCGAGTTGCAACGAGGGTGTTGCAAGTTTGGGTGGGGGAGAATGTAACAAGGGTCGTTTGTCCTACATTGAATTTGGATGGAAAAATGAATAGATATAAATGGGTAGGTATGCATCATTACCCAATAGTTTGAGTTTTTGAGTAAATGGGTAAGCGTCCATCCATTACATAATAATTATTCCCAGATCCAATTGCTTAGGCACGAGAGAGAGAGAGAGAGAGAGAGAGAGAGTATGTGTGTGTGTGAGTCCGTGTGTCTTTAAACTCTAAACATTTGAAAGAATACATTTTTTTTAATGGAAATATCACACTTTGAATAAATGTTCCTCTGAATATCAACCATGAAAAATGATGCAACATACTATTAGTGCACACAATCTTCAATAACTAAAACTCCCATTAATTCCACTAAGAGATATCTGACCCTCCTCACAAATAGTAACAAAGTGTCTCATTATTTTTTTCAAAGACGTATAAGTACCAACAATTGCTGTGAAGATACCCATTAACATGATAGCACCTATAATCCCCAATTCAATTAATCTATTATTGCTTGTAATCTTCAAGTAGTACAAGCATGGCAGTAAAATAGATGTTAGAAAACCTAGAAAAGCTCCCACAAGTGACATGAGGTGCTCAAAAAGGGGGACAGTCACAGCTGCAACAACGGTGCTTATCACTAAGCAGGTCTTGAACAATAGGCTAAAGAGTACTCTCTGATTGCAAGAATGGTAGAATCGGCTTTCAATAGTGTGCACAATTGGTGTTACTGTCAATGCATACTTTGAGACCGGATTGAGCAATGTAGCGTATATGGCCACTTTTGAGCTAAGTTTTTCGGTAGGAAGACTTAAGGTTATCTGTGACTCCACCTTTGAACCAAACATTAGATACCCAATAACCGCCATCAACACATTAGCTGTGGTACATAAAGTAAAGCACAACACCAAAACCTACAAAGACAAGGCACAAAGTGAGATCAAGACCACAAGTCACTTATGAAAAAAACAGGACCATGGCTATACCTTCGAAAACTGAGACTTGTTTTTCATAGAAGCGTAAAGGGTTGGAAAAACAGTATGTGCATAGTAAGAGAAAGCATATAAACTGATAGCAGTAGGAATCCCCTTCCAATGTAGAGTTGTCCCTTTCTCGTTAAACCCAATGCAACTAAATGCACAAGCCCACAAAGTTGAGCCATTGATTATAACAGATGTGAGAACTCCGGTGGCAGCGATATAAGAAAGAACGCTCAGGTTGTTGAACTAAACAGTGGGCATTATAGTGAGACCAACTATCATTACAAATGTTGGCGTTCCTCCAATATTAGGAAATAATTTTTGTAAATTATCACCTTCAAGAATCAGAAATCCCGTTGCAAATAAGTAGAGCTCTATGTTCATCAGAAATAATATAAGCCATCTACATTTCTTTCCAAATGCACACTCGCCAATGTCCGGATATGTTTTTAGGTTAGGATCCACATCCATACATCTTTTAATTAACAAACCTGTATAGAAGTTTGCAATGGCAATGACAAAAAGAAATGTCAAGCTCACCCAGCCTCCGGATGATAGTGCATATGGGATTGACACTAATGCACCTCCTGATAAACAAACATAAAAACCAAAACTTTAATTTCCGTCTAGCTCTACGGTTTAATGAACTAACAAAAATTGAAAAAAATTTCGTTTCCATCTACATTTCAAAATAATAGTTGTCTAAACAATGTTGGTAGCTCGAATTTGTTCTATGAAAATGTAAATGTACATAAAAATGATATTACAGTTTAGAATGAATAAAACTGCCATATTAAATGTTTGCAAGAAAAATGCAATTAACCGTTTTAGCAAGAATTAGACAAACTATATATATTTCCAAACAAACCTCATGGCTGGGTAGAAAAACATGTTATTTTTTCAATTAAAAGGAATAAATGTTGTTTATTTCAACATGTGTATTTATTTTATATTTCTTTAAAACAAAAAGAATCAAAGCTTCAGTATAATTCAAAAAAAAAAAAATAAAACATTTTTTTTTTCTCTAATTTGAAGGAAGAAATTTTTTTTTTCTTGCTCCAAGCCGAATTTTTTTTTTCTCTAATTTTGAAGGAAGAATTTTTTTTTTCTTGCTCCAAGCCGAATCTTAGATGTAATTCAGCCAGAAACTCGTATATAATATCGAATTAAAAGGGATCATAATATCTGTTCTTTAATCTAAATTCTAGTTTAATGAACATAATTTTAAGGAATGGTACATGTTGACAATCGGTTGGAATAATATATATATATATATATATATATATATATATATATGATTGTCAAAGCCAAGAGCAAGAGGATGGTACATATCTAAATATTATAGCTGTATGGGTAAAAGCAAGTGAAAGTAACAAGAAAAACACCTATAAATCTGGCTAACACCGTAATCAATGTTCCCTTTGATGCATATTATATTTTTACCTTTTCAACAGCGTAGTCACAAAAATAAATAAATAAATGCTGAGAAAAAATAAATAAATTAGAAACTGCAAGCCTTTTCAAACCAATACGTCTATATAATATATTACTTGATAGAGTGTTTTTTTTTTTTTTTTAATGGTTACCTGATAGAGTGTTGATTACGTTGAAGACAGTGGAGGCAGTACCTTCACAGCCTCTGGAGTAGAGGAATCCTAATGAGTAGGCTTCCACCATCTCCATGATTAAAAGTGTGAAGAATCGAAAGGATAGAATATTTAGTGTAGATCGAAAAATGGTGGTAGGATATTTGTACTATTCCAAACTATGATGAACTGTATTCTTATTCATTCTAAATCTGAATTATGTGTAGAGGTGGTAGTAGTACACTTGGTAGTGAGGCCCAAAAGGTAAAACTGACATCTCATGACTCATGAGCTATCTACTACATCTCATGACTCATGAGCTATCAATTTAATAATTTTCCGGAAAAAAACAAAGGATAACCTTAAATTCCTCCTTACCACCATCTAATGCTTCTCCCTGTATGGAAAATTCTACATTTTTCGTGATACTTACCCCCGAGATAAATGATCTAACAGTACCATTGAGATATTTTAGATTTTCCCATAATGTATATTTATTAAAATTGCATTAAAAAGTATATTGGTTATCCTTGTTCTCTTGTCTCCAAATTCTGTTCCTTTTTTCCTTTTCTAAACTTTAAATTTAATTTTGAAAGAAAATAAAATTAGAACTTGTAACAGTTTTGAGTTATACTTATTAAATTGATATATCAATTATTATTAATAAATAAAAAAATTTGATAATCACCCTCCAGAATAATTTGAATGAGTTACTTTTTTTTTTTTTTTTTTTTTTTTTTCCTCCTTTTCTAGAGCATGTGTATCGGCCCTATAACACACGCACCATTTAATTCGAAAACAAGACATCAAAGACTTACTTCTCGAATTCCTACCAACGTGGCTATGTCCTTGAAACATTTGAATGAGTTACTTACCAACTCTTTAAATAATTTGAATAATTGTCCTCTCTACATTTGGAGTATGAGATTAGCGTCTTCAAATTGGAAACCCTTAGTAAATTAGTAGAAAATTTAAACTAATTAATTTTACTAATTTAATTGATCCAAACTTTAGACTAATTTAATTTAATAGTATTGTAGATATCATTTCCATGATGCCAAACATAGAATAAGTGTATGAGTTATGTTTATAATTTCTCTACCCAATTATATGCACACAGTCATCTGTGAGTCTAGACATTAAAATGTGAGTCATGTTATGAGTGTTGCTATATTTGTCACTGTTAAAGGTGTGTGTGTTTTTTTTTTTTTTTTTTTTTTTTTTTTTTTTTTTTTTTTTTTTTTGTGTGTGTCCAGAAAGGTATATTTAGTTGAAAAAACTAAATTGCTGTGAAAATTCGATCTAATTTGACTCGATTAGACCTGACTATGATAGAGTTCAAGCTCCTCCTAACTCGGTGTCGACCCAAACTTGGGCAACATTACTCATGGTACGGTTGGGTTAGGGTTGACCTTTAACCCATCATATAACCCATAGTTTTGAGCTTTCAGTTTACACCACAATAAGTTTACAAAAAATTAATAGGAGTATTTGCGCCAGATGCTACATTCAGTTTTTTTTTTCCTCTCAATTTTTTGTTACCTAAATTATAAACCAGGCCCCAAAGCCTATCAAAAACCAAATTATAAACAGAGCAAAGCCAAATTAGGATTTAGTGAGAGGCAGCACTCTGTCGATTATTAAGAGGCCTAGGGTTCCATAGAATTGTGAATAAAACAGATTGGGGAATATCCCAATCCTTGACCAGCCGAGTCTTTCAAATTATAGCATTGATGGAGGAGTTTCTCTAAAGGCGCGTTTGTTGCGTTCGGCCCACATGTAGTAGCAAGAGCAAGTTTGCAAACCCAAACTAGGTAATTCTTTGAAGAAATATATGTGTGTGTGTGTGTGTGTGTGTGTGTGTATATATATATATATATATATATTTGGGCACATTCTTTGAAGATCATTTCCAACAAAACCTTGGTTAATTTTATTATTATTATTTGGGTAAATAAGTGTCATTTTTCTTGTTTGCATACTCTTCTTCTTGTTTAATTGGAATTTGCTTCAATATATTACACTTTTGTATACTAAAATTACAGCTTAGTATACAACTGAATGATGATCACCACTCAATTAAAATAACAACATCTATTTACAGATACCTATAAGAACACAGAATTTATGGCACATGCTATCCATCAACTCAAAGCATACCACTCTCCATGACCTTTTGAACAGTATAGGACCAAATACACCCCAAAAGCCCATAATAAAACCAAGTACCGTGCTCACATAAAACCAATCCACTTCAGGTCCATTGCCTCCTTTGCCTTCATTGCCTCCTCCATGTTTAGCAATAGGTGTTGCATCATTTACACTGCAATTGTGAACAAGTGGAGGCCCACAAAGATTATTGCCAACAAAACAAGATGCATTGAAACTTTGGAACTGAGTGCTTAGTGGTATTTCTCCGGTCAAATTGTTATTGGACAAGTTCAAGTGACTTAAGAATGTCAAACTTGCCATGCTTGAAGGGATTGCACCAGTAAGATGGTTTGCACAGAAATCAATAGACTCTAATAATCCCATAGAACCTATATTCTCTGGAATCCTTCCCGTCAACCTATTATGTGACAAATTTAACGATCGAAGCCCGAGAAGAAGTGTCAATTCCTTGGGAATCTCTCCAGATAAAATGTTGTCTGAAAGGTCCATACTCGTCACGAGTTGAAGGATGGTGCTATATCCAAGCACTTTTCCTTTCATCACCAATACCGCATTCTCCAAAATACCTTTAAAGAAGTAGGCAACGGTAGCATTAGAGCCATATAACATCTGGTCACTTGATTTCTGCTCTACGTACATGCCACTTAGATTCATGAAACATCTTGGTATGCTTCCCCATAAATTGTTATGTGCAAGGTCCAAGATTTGAAGTGAATTGAGTACACAAAGTTCTTCTGGAATGTTGTCGTGCAACTTATTTGACCGTAGGATAAGGATCTTGAGATTCACAAGTCTTTCTCCTATCCATGTTGGTATGCTTCCTGAAAATTCATTTTCACCCAAGTCCATAGCTGTTAACTCTGCACATTTTTGTAATGACAAAGGTAGTTCTCCAAAAAGGCTATTGTTACGCAAATGCAACGATTTGAGGTGACTTAGAGATCCCATGGAGTTTGGAATTTTGCCTGTTAGATTGTTGTTTCCTAAATTTAGGAATTCAAGCCAAAGTCAGCTCATCCAACAATCGGGAATTTCTCCTGATAAAAGATTTCCCTCGAGATTCAAAAGTTGCAAATCCTTTGGTTGATCAATCTTGTAGCACAGGAAGTGGGAAATAGAACCTGAAAATGAATTGCTAGAAAGATCCAGCGTAATTGCATTTGAGGATACATGGGGTAATCTACCTCTAAAGTGGTTAGAACTTAAATCAACTATTGTAGAAATAGAAAAAACTAAAGGCATATCGACAATTTCACCGTAGAAATGATTGCGAGAGAGATTTAAAAAATAAACCTTGGAAGATAAGTTCCAAAACCAATTTGGAATGACATCTGAAATCCCATTATTGGATATATCTAGAACTGCTAAATTCTTTTGTGAACGAAGCCATGGGGGAAATTTTGGACCCAATTGGCATGATCCTAATGCTAGCATATCAAGGTGAAATTGAGGAACCCAAGTTGGATCCGCTTGCAAGACCAAATGATTTTCGGCACAACCGAATTCTCTCAGTCTTGTGAGGTTGGCAAAGTGAACTTCAGATATAACACCTTGTAATGAATTTCCAGACATCCAAAATACTTCTAGCTTTGCAAGTTGTCCAAGACTTTCAGGAACAGGTCCGCTCAAGTTATTATCAGCAAAATCTAAATATTTCAAGGATGACAATTCTCCTAATGATGCTGGAATGTGACTAGAAAGAGAATTATTATTAATATCTAAATATTGCAAGGTCGATAATCCCCCCAAAGATACTGGAATGCGACCGAAAAGAAGACAACTAGAAAGCACGAGGGCTACCAGATTTTTAGATTGTGCGAGTTGCTGAGTAGCATCATGAAAATTGCCAGAAAGTCGAGTCCCTGATAAATCAAGAGTTTCCAGTCCACCTAAAATGCATTTGGAGAAAATATTAAAAACTTCTGATACACTGCCACCAATGCTAGTACCTGACAAAACGATTTCTTTCAAGTTGCAAAGATTTTCAAAAGATCTAGGTAATTTTCCCACAAGCTTGTTAAATGAGAAGTCAAGCATAGCTACAGAAGTCAGGTTTCCAATTGCACTAGTGATCACACCTTGCAAGTCACAGAATGACAGGTCAAGGTATTCAAGATGGCTAAAACTATACAGCCAGTTAGGTATGGTACTGAACGAATTATAGGACAGAAGTAGATTCCTAAGAACAGTCATGTTTCGAAGACCAATAGGAATTGGCCCATGAAAACCACAGAATTGAAGATTAAGAGTATCGAGGCCATTGAGACTGATAAACAACCAATCGGGGATTGAAGATTGAAAGGAATTGAAGGAAAGATCAAGGGTTGCAAGAGAAGTAAAATTAACGACAGGTAGAGCAGGAAAGTGAACAAGACCACAACCAGACAAGCGTAAAACTACCAAAGAAGGGAGCATATTTGTCACCTGAAGCCAGTCAGATGCTTTGGTAAGGTTGACATAACTCAAGTCAATATGCTTCAACAAGGAATGACCATTAAGCCATTGGAGATTCTCAGCAAAACCACCACGGAGTTTGAGATAACGCAAACTTGAAAGATTTCCCAGTTGATGAGGAACTAGTCCCTCGAAATCTCCAGCAAGATCAAGATATCGCAAGCTTGAGAGGTTCCCGAGTTGATGAGGGATTACTCCCCCAAACCCGGCATAGGAGAGGTTATGATATCTTAAGCTCCCAAAGGAACTAATGAAGCTTGGAATTGGAATTCCCCTGAAATCGTTGTTGCTCAGGTCAAAGTGACTCAGTTGCTTCAGTTTGAGTAAGGAAGGGTTTACCTTACCACCCAGCCTGGACCTCACATATGTGTCACAATCAGCATAATTGGTGCAATCCGCGAGTGGATTTTGAAGGTGGAGCTCCTTGACATTACTAGTTAAGTTGTCACAGACAACTCCAGCCCATTTGCAGTAGTCCCCTTCACCACCCCAAGAGGAGAGCAGGTTTGCTGGATCAATAAGATCCTGCTTGAACCTTAAAAGGGCTTGCTTCTCACTTTCAAAACAAGTTCCTTTTGAGTTTTCAATGCAGGAGATGATATCAATAGTTTCTGCTGTGAGAAACACGAGTAGTAGAAGAAGAATGTTAGCTTGTTTCATGGATCTATCCATGATCACAACTACAATAGGTTTATTATGTGAAAGGAAGGAAGATGTGATATTTATAGTGGCTTTCATTTGTCACTTTGCTACAAAATTTCAAATTTGCTACGTGGAATAGGGGTTAATTAGCGTGTAATCTACTTTGGTTCAGATAAGAGCTCATATTTTTATTGTAGCATCTCCATCAAAAGTCTTAGAAATGTTTGAGTGGATGCCTAGAGACTTGGTCTAAGATTAACACATGCACAGAAAATCTTTGCAACTAGTCTTGGATGTGGGATGACTAGAGATTTCCACTTTTATTTTTAGTGCCAAAAGCCCTAGTGTTAATCTTACGACTGACTAGAGACTTCTTCCACTTTTATTTTTAGTGGCAAAAGCTAGTGCTTTCCGTTGCAAGAAAGTCTAACTTCTAGTCTTCCAGTTTTATTTTTTTAGTGCCAAAAGCTTGAACTCTCCTTTTCAAGAAAGTCCTAGTCTTCCACTTTCATGTTTAGTGCCAAAAGTCATTGTGTGGAAATTTTCTGTTCCCATTTGTATTTTGTGTCAGTCCGGATTTCAATCATGAGAAATTTTTTGTCTAAAATAATTTTCAAACAAGAATCATGAAAGGCCCATCAGTATCTCTTTAAACGATTTGCATATACCGAAGGAGTATGTATATATATATTGCGTTGTTTCTTTTTTATTTTTTTATTTCATGGTTTTGGGGATGTCTATATATAAACAAAAATCATCTATTGTATTTGTCCCATTCAATCATGTTAATTTTTTTTAAAATTATTTTTTTTTATTTTTTATTTTTAGTTTTGATAGGTTTACTGTCAATTTCAGCTATGGATGAATAATTTAAATACCACTTATTTACTGAGAAGCATTACTTAGGACTTTTTACTGAAAATGAAATTTTAATAAATATTGAAATGGAGAGATCATAAGTTACAAACTTAAAGTAATCCTGAAATCAGCATAAGAGAGTAAGAGGGGTTTACTTACAAAAGTGCAATCTGGGTTCGTTATGTAACACATAATAAAGAACCGGTGAATCATGAACCCACTAAAATTTCCATAAGAATATAAGTAGAACCATCCTGGATGTGGATGGTTATTGAATTGGGTGCTCAAGTCTTTTTTATTTTTCTGTAGCCATCGGCAGTTTGCTCAACCATAAGATCGCGTTTGACACTAAAATTTCAAGTCTCAAATTTATGTAATATTGTGGAAGTAAATAAGTTTTTGCTTTCATTTACGGAAAAAGAAGACTAAAAGTTATTGGCTAAAGATCTTTTGTCATGTAGTGTGCATTTTGCCAATTCAAATATGATGCAGGAAACTTTGATATTATTAGCCACTAGGTTCCAGCTTAGGAAGAAAAATGAGCATTTAAAGTAATATTGATAAAATCATTCAATTGAACTTGTAAGTTTGTTATCTTTTTTAAACTTGATGTACTGAGGCATAATCATACTATGGTGGGACCATTCTCTTCTTCTGGTGATGAAGGGCAGGCAAGGAAGCAGAGTATCATGGTTAGGCCAATATGCCCAATTTGATCCTCATAGTTCTTCAACTTGTGCCTATAACTGTTCCACACCAAATATGAAGAAAAAAAAAAAAAGAAAAAAAAAATTGGTTTTCATGAGCCAATAGGTTTTTGTATTATTCATGAGAAAGAAAGGAAGATGTGATATTAATTTATAGTGCCTTTGATTTGGCATTTTGCTACAAAAATTCAAAAAAAAAAAAAAAAAATTATGACGTTTTAGATTCTGTTTTCAAAAAATTTTGAAAAACCAGTAAACTGCAAGAAATTTCAAACCATTTTATGCTTTGTATGAAAAATAAATCATTCTTACAATTCTGAACCAATCATAGTGTTTTAATATTCATCTTCATGGGGTTCAAATTCATTGATTTTGGCATGTTGTTTTTTTTAAGACCATTAAATGGAGGTATGCATTTTCAGCTCACTCACTGGCATTGTAAATATGTAGAAGAAGAGTTCAAGTAGCTGTTAAGTCAGAACCAGGGACTTCTAATCAATTTTAACACATGAAAAGCCCATCAATCTCTCTTTCAAACAAATTTGAACCTTAGGCACACCACATTTTTAGGCACTTCTATCCAACACAATTGTTAAGAATGTTATACATTTCACACTTACTAAAAATATTAGTCTAATCTCTCCCAAGGTTGAGGGTTGACAAAAGTCGTAAATTTCTACTAACCTTAAATATTTAGAGTGAAGTATCAATATTACCGTTGTGTGCAATTAGATTACAAAACTAACCTTGTAATTATTTGAGGTGAGATACTCCAAAATGATATGACGAAAATACCCTCAAGAAATAAACTTGCCCTAGATTTTTCTGTTTTTAAAGATTAAATTAAATAAAATTAGAAAAACCCAGCTAAGCTCTATTTTGTTACTATAGTTCACATACGGTTTTATGTAACACAATAGGCTTGTTAGTTTGTTAATTGTTAGGAACGTCATACATAATGCATTGCACTCTTAAGCTAACTAACACACATTCTATTTAACGCTCTAATACACTCTCAATTATTTTCCTCACCCTTTAATATCTTTCTCTCTGTCTCTTACCATATGTGAATTCCTGTTTTCTCTCTTTGGCATTTTTTACTTTTTGTGACTACTTCATTTTCATTTTTAATCTGCCATGAATATGACCCTGCAACAGTAGAAGAACAAATTGGTTCTGCAACCAAGAAATTGATGGCATGCCCAATCACAACCACTACATTAGTTTTACGCCACCGGCCTATATATGTACTTCATTTCTAGCCAACATGTCCGGTCTATGTTATTTCGCCTTTTTGATTTTTCCAACCCATTGATTACACCATAACCATCTTCATAATCTGCACCATTATTAATTGTAGCCCTCACAGTCCCATGTTTTTTTGTTTGAATATCTCATGTCACTTGTTGAAGCTCTTCTAAGTTTCACAACATCGATTTTACGTACAGTTAATATATATTAGTTGGTACCTACATGTCTTAACACTTGTAGGCGTAAAAAGTGGTCATATACACTGCACAGGTCAATCCTATAGCAAATACCACCAATGCATAGTATTGAAGGCAGTTTCCAACATTGTTGCAACAGGGGGCTATTTAACCTCTTGTTCAGGACCACCCAAGATTTGCAGTTGCTACAAATAACACCTCCACCGGGATTGGCGCCGGATGGAATAAGGCGTTTTGAACCATATACTAATGTTGCTGGAATGAATCGCAGCCTCGGAACAGAATTATGCTGCTTTCTGGGCCTTGATGGTGGAACGGGAGTTTTTGGAGCGAAGAATGCGGCAGAGTGAGCAGCATCGCTTTCCCTCTTGTACCTATGATTCCATTCAGAAACAATGAAGAAGAAGAAGAAAAAAAAAAAGCAGTGTAACGGAAGAGTAGTGGTTGAAGGACCGATTTCCGTAATTACCTAATTTAAATTTATGTAAAAGGGATGGTGACCCATTACATAATGTAATAATATCATATGGGTGAGATTAGTCACATAAATTGAATCCGATAACTAATGAATTGCATCCTTAAATTATTCTTTATAACAAATTCATCTCCTTTATACAAAATTGACCAATTAATTGTTTGTAAGGCGAAGAATATGGAGAAACTAAATTGTTTGTAAGCAAAGAATGTTTGAGACTTTTGTAATGAATCTTTTGCCTAAATAAGAAATAGTTTGTAAAATATTTAAATTTTTAGTTTTATTATGAATCTTTTGCCCAAACTTAGTAAATTTGATTTTAATAGGGTTTCCATTTACAAATCTTAACGGTACCTCTTTCCCAGTCAAACTGACAATATATATATATTTATTTGTGTTTTTTTTCCCGGAAATTGTATTAGAAAAAAAAAATAATAATAATGAACAGGTAGAAATGAAAAATGGACCGGACCACCAAACATTCTTGGAGAGGCTAGTCAAAAACCCAAACAAAAGGCAACAAAAGAGAAGCAGCCCAACCCATCTTCGTCCTATAAACTTCTCGGAGTCAACAACGGCTATATTTTCGGGTAACAGAGATTGCAACGGGGTTGCTTCGTTGTTTCTACGCAAGATTGATCAAGACGAATCAGGAAGATTACAGACATGGATAGCCCTAATTGCATCCTCTGATGAGATCGCAAATGCTCTGTAAAAAATTCTTTGATTGGGTGGATGACGAGCCTCTGAAAATTCGAGCATTGCGCTCTCTCCATAGGGCACATACAGTGGAAGATAGATCCAACTTGTTGATGGAGTTGTAACATCTTCCAATTCCATGATTCTTGCTGAGGTACGTTTATTTCTCGGAAATTACTTCCCCTAATTAGATGTGCTTTGCCCCCACTGTGCCCAAATACTATTATCGTTGTTTGACACAATATTCCACATATATGCGTTAGTTTAGATGACTTATTTCATCTGCTTATACTGTAATGGAGTAGATTACTTTTCATGTCATGAACAATGATCACTTTGGATCCCTAGAAATGGCACTGTCCTCACCTTTGGTTCACACCCTATTTATTATTATTATTATTATTATTATTTTATTTTTATTTTTTTTCTTCCCTGGTAATTGGTAAGTTGTATAAAACTATAAAAGAACAGAAAACTGTACAAACAAGCATCCCAACAGGGAGCTGAGCAACATAGAAATAATCCAAAGCTTAAAGCTTAACAGGAGAATGCAAAGTGCAAACAAATATATATAATTTAGATATCATCCATGTAATCAACTTTTGCATGATTAAATTACAACATACTCTATAATTGAATGATGATCACCACTCAATCAAAATGACTACATATAATGACACATACCTACAAAAACACAATTTATGTCACATGCTATCCATCACTCAAAGCATACAAATCTCCAACACCTTTTAAACAGTATAGGACCAAATACACCCCAAAAGCCAATAACAAAACCAAGTGCCATGCTCACATAATACAAACCTCACAGTGCTCAATTTATTGTATAAACTATAACAGCAAGAACGAAGTAGACACTTCAACTAAACAACCATTAAAGGAACTTTGAAGCCATTACCTCTAAAAACTTGATTGATGCCTGTCACTGGAGATCTCAACCGGATCTCTTAAACTTCTTGCAAAACCAGTTCACTTGTAGCTGTGTGGCCACATAGATCCTGTCTTTCATGTCATCAAGAAATTTAAAATAAGCATACCGCCAAGTCCTCTTAAAGAAAAGAACACCACAAACTCCCCAAAAGCCAGCAGCGAACCCAGGTCCCATCCCTATATAAAACCAAAACATTTCAGATTCTTCTTTATCTTGGCCCACAGGGATTTCACTATGATATTCCCTCTGTGTTGTACAATTCTTTAAGAGAGGAGCTCCACTAAGAGAGGAGCTCCACAAAGTTCAGCATTGCCGATGAAGCTAGCTTCATCAAAGCTCTGAAGCTGGTGCTTGAAGGGATTATTCCAGACAAGTTGTTGTAGGACAAATTCAAGTAATTAAGAAATGTCAAATTAGACATGCTCTGAGGAATTTCACCTGACAAATAATTTTTCGAAAGATCAAGGGATTCCAACATTGTCATGCCCCCGATTTTCTCTGGTATCTTACCTCTCAAGTGATTATGAGATAAGTTCAGAAAATGCAATGCATGAAGACCTAATAGCTGAGGAGGGATTGGCCCAGACAGTCTGTTACTTGAAAGGTCTATGCTCCTAACAAGTTTAAGAATGCCTCTGTACTCCGAGTTCCTCCCTTTTGTGACCAACCAGAGTGTCTCAATGTAGGAGCCATAGTCATTCCCATACTCTAAAGCTTCAAAATATTCAGAATCTAAAGTATCTATCTCAGCCATTGCGCTGATATTATTCAAACATTTTGGAATAGTTCCTGACAGACTATTGTTGGCAAGGTCCAGAACTATAATAGAAGAAAGCTGACATATTTGTGAAGGAATATTGCCAACAATTCTATTGGATTTCAAACGAAGGGCCATTAGAGTTGTTATTTCTCCCATCCAGCGTGGCATTACTCCTGTGAATTCATTTTCACCTAAATCAATGAGCCCCAATGACGTGCAGTTCTTCAACGATTCCGGTATCTCTCCTAAGAAGCTATTATCATGCAAGTGCAATGATTCAAGTTGAGATAAATAACTCATTGAGCTAGGAATTTTACCAGACAGGTTATTGCTCCCCAAATTTATATGGGTCAAAGATTGCCAATACATCCAACAATTAGAAAGTTCACCTTATAAAAGGTTATTTGACATGTCCAGAACTTCTAAATTATTGTCTCTATTCACCTTCTGGCACAGGAAAGAGGAAATGGATCCAGAAAATGTATTATTTGCCAAATTCAGGACTTTAACATTTGGTGATAGATGTGGCAGATGGCCTTTAAAGGAATTAGATCCCAATTCAATGACACTAGAATTTAGCAAGACGGTTGATATGTTACCGCTGATCTGGTTGTCAGAGAGATTGATCAACTCCATATGTGAAGCCAAATTCCAAAACCAGTCTGGAGCTGCATCAGAAATTCCCGACTGCGAAATGTCTAACTGCTTAAGAGATGTTTGTGTTCATAGCCATGCAGGAAACTTTGGACCCATCTTGCAGGAACCCATTGCAATGGACTCGAGTCGAAAGGGAGGAACCCAATCAGAATTCACCTTAAAGGAGAAAGAGTTTAAAGAAATTTCAAGGACCTTCAATTTTGAGAGTTTCGCGAAATTCACTTCAGAAACAATGCCTCCTAAGGAGTTATTTCCAATGTATAAGGTCTCTAGATTTGGAAGCCGCCCAATACTCTTTGGAAGAGTACCATTCAGTTGATTACTAGAAAGATACAACTCCCTTAAGGACAATAAGTTTCCGAGAGATGTAGGAATGGGACCGGACAATGAGTTCATATAAAGAAGAATATATTTGAGATGTTTCAGCTGGCCAATATTATTTGGAATTTTCCCAGAAAGATGGTTGTCCTGCAAATACAGACTTTTCAACATGTGAAGATTTAATATGCTACTTGGTATGTGACCATATAGATAATTGAAGCTCAGATCAATGGAAACAAGACTATTGCTGAGATTAAACAACCTATTAGGTATCTTGCAATTAAAACGGTTGGCAGAAAAATCAAGGACTTCAAGAGATGTAAAATTAACATAACTCTGAGGAGGAGTCATTTTGTCAAGTCGACAAAGGGACAAATGCAGTTCTGAAAGGGAAGGGAGCATGCTCAATGCTTGAAGCCAATCGGTTGCCTTGTGAAGATCAATGCTACTCATGTCAAGGTATTCCAAAGAATAAAGATGAGCAATCCAACTAAGGTTTTCCAAATAAAGTCCATTTCCACCTAAATTGAGATAGCGAAGGCTTGAGAGATTCCCAAGCTGATGAGGAACCGCCCCCCCAAATACTGCTGTTGAGAGGTCAAGATATCTTAAACATTTCATAGAACCTAAGAAACTTGGAATACTCGCACCTGCAAAATCATTCCAGCTCAAGTCCAAGTATCTTAGAAATTCTAATTCCAGCAACGCGGGAGTAATCTTACCACCCAACTTGTACATCTCGTAAGAGTCATAACTGACGATATCGTATGGATTGCGGAGGTGGAGCTCAATGACTCTGCCTGTTACATTGTCGCAGTGGACTCCTGTCCATTGACAACAGTTTTGATGACCAGACCATAATGATAGCCTGTTTGCAGGATCCGTGAGACCATGTTTGAAGCTTAGAAGGGCTCTTTTTTCCTTTTCACTGCAAAGAATACTAGTTCGTGGTTGTCCATCACTTGAGCTAAAGATGGAAGTGTCTGCCAATAGAAACCAAAACAAGAGAAGCACAGCAAATGTTGCAATGAAGTTATTCATGGTCATGTATGTGATGTGACCAAAAATGAAGAAAAGAACCGAACTAGTTCAGAAGGGAATTTAGGCTGGGGAAGAGGAACTGTGGTCTGGTAGTGGAGGAAGAGACTTTCATTCCAAGACTAAAAAATTCTCCTGGGCTGACTTGGACTCTCCTGCCTTGGGATTTAACTTGTAGTTTTAAAATCTTATCATGTGAATGGAATTTTCTCAATAAGTGACAGGTTTATAACCATCTCCAACCCTTAATGCACCCCACCAGAAAAACTTACCCTAATAAATATTAATCTAATCAATTTAACTTACATATCTATCTACCAAAGTCATTGTTTTTCAGAAGAAAAAAAAAGCGGTTTTCATGGGCCAACAGATACCCTTTGGGAGAGCATTGGTCATTTTCTCAATAAGTGACAGGTTTATAACCATCTCCAACCCTTAATGCACCCCACCAGAATAACTTACCCTGATATTAATCTAATCAATTTAACTTACATATCTATCTACCAGAGTTATTGTTTTTCAGAAGAAAAAAAAAAAAGTGGTTTTCATGGGCCAACAGATACCCTTTGGGAGAGCATTGGTCATTTTGTGACTGTAGCATTTCCATCAAAAGTCTTAGAACAGAGCACCAAGTTTGTGAGACAAAACCAACCATGGACGCGGATGACTAGAGACCTAGAATGCACGGACACTATACCTAGGGTTGTCTGAGGATACTCTAACATGTGTCAGACACGCGAATACGGTCTCGCACTAGAAGTGTCTTGGAATTTAAATATTTTATATATATTTTTTAAACACGCAACACAACAAAAACATGCTTGAGACACTTTTAGGACAGGGTAGGGGTAATGGAATTCCATGCAATTTAAAATTTATTAGAAGAATAATATGAAATTTAAGAAAACAAAATTAACCAACATTTAGTTCTAAACTTCAAATTAGTGATTTCATTCACAAGTGTATGGATAAAATGTGTAAAAATTATTACACTTTATATATAATAGTATATTATTATTATTTTTTGACATATCCATGCTCGATTATTCTAAAATTTGCCGTATCATCTTAGCTAGAGACATTAGCCAAAATTTGCCGTATCATCTTAGGTAGAGACTTTAGCCAATAATAAGATCAATGCAAGTGCTTGTATAACAAGTCTATGCGTCAAGTCTTTAACTTTCATTTTCAAGAAACTCTTTTCTTCTGGTCTTCCACTTTCATTTTTAGTGCCAAAAGTATTCCATCTCGTGGAAATTTTCTGCTCCAATTTGAATTTTGTGCCTTTACAATTATGTCATGATAAAATAGCTATTCCTGTAGTCTAAAATAATTTCAACAACCCCATGAATATAAAATACTGTAATTTTTAGTATTCTAAAAAAATTATGTAGTTTTAAATTCCGTTTTAAAAAAGAGTTCAAAAAGGCATCTATTGAAATTGTGAAAGAAATCAAACCATTTTCCTTTTTTCTGCTTTCTTTGAACAATAAATTATTCTTACAAGGATAGGAACCCCTGATCTCAGCAGATATATATACACATGTATACACAAACAAAAAAACTCAGCAGCTGAAATGACCTACTTTCATAACTGATACAACATGAAATGGAAGTCCATCATCCAAGAGTCAAGCTCAGACCAAACAGGAGACGTTTTCTCTACTGGTTTCAACTAATCAAAGGAAAGGGCTCTTTAACTTTCAGCATGTTCATCAATGACTGCAATAAGGGAAAAAGTAAACAGCAACCACCACCTACAAATAAGAATGGGATAGAGAGGGAAAAAAAGGCAAAAAAAAACAAAAACCCGAGAATAAAATGACAATGTAGCAGAGAGATTTGAATCCGTGATCTCAAGGTATGACTTTGCAAGCTACCAAACTACTCTACTCTGCACAACTGAGAACTAATAGACAAAAAAGAATATAATGTACCCCTCCACTATCCCAATCCAACAATAAGCAATGAGAAAAACTAATCCATGACCTTTAAAACTTTCAAAATCAATCATTTGAATCTAAAAACCCTAGTTTTCCCCAGAAAACCTAGTTGCCTTCAGATACAGTGACGATACACACAATTGCCAATAATGAATTCACAAATAGATATAGAACACACGGGATTCATAGTAGAAATATAAAGAATTAAAATTAATTACATAGTAGAAAATATGAAGAATTAAAATTAATTACATCTAGAAAATATAAAGAATCAAAATTAATTACATCTTTCAATGAGAGACCTTTTATCTCAAATCTTCTAATAGTATCACCAACCTAATATGGAAAAATCGAATATCAAATTCATCTTCATTTGAAAAAAAATTCGATTCGTATCAAAATCCGATTCATTGACATGTCTAGCTACAAGGCCCTTGGTTACTCTATATATTTTTATATATATATATATATATATAGTACAATAACTTCACTAGCATTTTATCACTTTAGGGTCGGTAATCCGTTTAACTCAGTGGGACGGGATGGAATACTTCTAAAAAACCCATACCGAATTAACCTTTCTCATCCCTAATCCCATCGGACTTACTCACATTCTCTCCTTGATCTAACAAATAGCGCAAATCATATCATTACCAACTTCGTCACTCTAATTTTTTTTATTTAATTTTTCAAAGCCATTTTTAAATTAATTTTATACCCATTACCTAAATTTCATCCTTTCATTATATTTAATTTTTAAAAACCATTTTAAAATCGCACTCAGGTTAAATAAAAAAGGGGGAAAAAAAAAATTTAATCTATACTATCTAGGAAATATGTACTACATCAATGCATTACAAAAACTACTACTCTTGCTCTTGTTTAATAAGAGTTTGCTTAACAGGAGGATGCAAGCAAATATCTATGATTTAGATATCATTCATATAATCAACTTTTGCAGAATAAAATTACAGCTTAGTCTACAGTTGAATGATAATCACCACTCAATTAAAATAACATCTATTTTCACATACCTATAAGAACACAGAATTTATGCCACATTCTATCCATCAACTCAAAGCATACCAATCTCCATGACCTTTTGAACAGTACAGGACCAAATACACCCCAAAAGCCTATAATAAAACCAAGTGCCATGCTCACATAAAACCAATCCACCTCAGGTCCCTTGCCTCCCTTGCCTTCATTGCCTCCTCCATTTCTAGAAGTAGGTGTTGCATCATTTACACTGCAATTGTGAACAAGTGGAGGCCCACAAAGATTGTTGCCAACAAAGCAAGATGCATTAAAACTTTGGAACTGAGTGCTTAGTGGTATTTCACCTGTCAAGTTGTTATTGGACAAGTTTAAGTGACTTAGGAATGTCAAACTTGCCATGCTTGGAGGGATTGCACCAATAAGATGGTTTGCAGAGAAATCAATGGACTCTAATAATTCCATAGAACCTATATTCTCAGGAATCCTTCCCGTTAAAATATTATGCGACAAATTTAACGATCGAAGCCCGAGAAGAAATGTCAATTCTTTGGGAATCTTTCCTGATAAATTGTTACCTGAAAGGTCCATGCTCGTTACCAGTTGAAGGATGGTGCTATATCCAAGCACTTTCCCTTTCATCACTAGTATCGCATTCTCCATAATACCATTAAAGAAGTATGCAATGGTAGCATTAGAGACATATAACATCTGCTCAGTTGAGTTTTGCTGTATGTTCATGGCACTTAGATTCCTGAAACATCTTGGTATGCTTCCCCATAAATTGTTATGTGCAAGGTCCAAGATTTGAAGTGAAACGAGTGCACAAAGTTCTTCTGGAATGCCGTTGTGCAACTTATTTGACCGTAGGATGAGGATCTTAAGATTAACAAGTCTCTCTCCAATCCATGTTGGTATGCTTCCTGAAAATTCATTTTCACCCAAGTCCATAGCCACTAACCCAGTACAGTTATGTAATGACATAGGTAGTTCTCCAAAAAGGCTATTGTTACGCAAATGCAACGATTTGAGGTGATTTAATGATCCCATGGAGCTTGGAATTTTTCCAGTCAGATTGTTGTTTCCTAAATTTAGGAATTCAAGCCCAACCCAGCTCATCCAACAATCGGGAATTTCTCCTGATAAAAGATTTCCCTCGAGATTAAGAAGTTGCAAGTTCTTTGGTTGATCCATCCTGTAACATAAGAAGTGGGAAATAGATCCTGAAAATGAATTGTTAGAGAGATCCAGTGTAATTGCACCTGAAGATATATGGGGTAACGTACCTCTGAAGTGATTAGAACTTAGATCAACTATTGTCGAAATAGAAAAAACTAAAGGCATATCAACAATCTCACCATGGAAATGATTGCGAGAGAGATTTAAAAAGTAAACCTTGGAAGATAAGTTCCAAAACCAATTGGGAATGACATCTGAAATCCCATTGTTGGATAGATCCAGAACCGCTAAATTCTTTTGTGACTGAAGCCATGGTGGAAATTGTGGCCCCAATTGGCATGAGCCTAGTGTTAGCATATCAAGTTGAAATTGAGGAACCCAAGTTGGACCCACTTGCAAGACCAAATGATTTGCAGCTCCACCGAATTGTCTTAATCTTGTGAGGTTGGCAAAGTGAACTTCAGATATAACACCTTGTAATGAATTTCCAGATATCCATACTACTTCCAGCTTTGCAAGTTGTCCAAGACTTTCCGGAACAGGTCCACTCAAGTTATTATTAGCAATATCTAAATATTTCAAAGATGACAATCCTCCTAAAGACACTGGAATGTGACCAGAAAGAGAATTATTATAAACTTCAAAATATTGCAAGGTCGATAGTCCCCCCAAAGATTCTGGAATGTGACCGAAAAGAAAACAACTTATAAGCACGAGGGCTACCAGATTTTTAGATTGTGCGATTTGATGAGCAGCATCAGGAAAATGGCCAGAAAGTTGAGTTCCTGATAAATCTAGAGTTTCCAATCCATCTAAAATGCATTTGGAGAATATATTGAAATATTCGGATATATTGCCACCAACGTTTGTACCTGACAAATTAATTTCTTTCAGGCTGCAAAGATTTTCAAAAGAAGTAGGCAATTTTCCTTCAAGCTTATTAAATGAGAAGTCGAGTGTAACGACAGAAGTCAGGCTTCCAATTGGACTAGAGATCACACCTTGCAACTCATTGAATGACAGGTCAAGGAATTCAAGATGGCTAAAACTATATAGCCAGTCAGGTATGGTAGAATTGAACAAATTGTAGGACAGAACAAGATTGCGAAGAGCAGTCATGTTTCGAAGACCACTAGGAATTGGCCCATGAAAACCACAGAATTGAAGATTAAGAGTATCAAGGCCTTTGAGACTAATAAACAACCAATCGGGGATTGAAAATTGAAAGTTGTTGAAGGAAAGATCAAGGGTTGCAAGAGAAGTAAAATTAACAACAGGTACGGCAGGAAGGTGATCAAGACCGCAACCAGACAAGCGTAACTCTACCAAAGAAGGGAGCATATTTGTTACCTGAAGCCAGTCAGATGCTCTGGTAAGGTTGACATAACTCAAATCAATGTGCTGCAGCAAGGAATGACCATAAAGCCATTGGAGATTCTCAACAAAACCACCACGAAGTTTGAGATAGCGCAAACTTGAAAGATTTCCCAGTTGATGAGGAATTAGTCCCTCGAAATCTCCAGTAAGATCAAGATATTGCAAACTCGAGAGGTTCCCGAGTTGATGAGGGATTACTCCCCCAAATCCTGCATAGGAGAGGCTAAGATATCTTAAGCTCCCAAAGGAACCAATGAAGGTTGGAATTGGAATTCCCCTGAAATCGTTGTTGCTTAGGTCTAAGTGACTCAGTTGCTTCAAATTGAGCAAGGAAGGGTTTACCTTACCACCCAGCCTGGACCTCACATATGATTCACAATCAGCATAATTTGTGCAATCTGCGAGTGGATTTCGGAGTTTGAGCTCCTTGACATTACCAGTTACATTGTTGCAGACAACTCCAGCCCATTTGCAGCAATCCCCTTCACCGCCCCCCCAAGAGGAGAGCAGGTTTGATGGATCAATAAGGTCCTGCTTGAACCTCAAAAGGGCTTGCCTCTCATTTTCAAAACAAGACCCATTTGAGTTTTCAATGCAGGAGGTGTACTCAATAGTTTCTGCAGTGAGAAACACAAGAAGAAGAAGAATGTTAACTTGTCTCATGGTTCAAAACAGGTTTGTGTTATATTCATGAGAAAGGAAGGAAGATGTGATCGATCTTTATAGTGGCTTTCATTTGTCACATTGCTACAAAATTTCAAAGTCGCTACACGGAATAGTGGTCCAGTGTGTAATATCAGATTAAGAGCCTTATCCCTTTGGGAGAGCATTGATCATTTTAACTGTAGCATCTACACCAAAAGTCCTAAAAAAACTTGAGTAGCTGGCCAAATTGAACAGAGCACCAAGTTAGTGGGAGAAAACCAACCATGGATGGAATATGCCTAGAGACTTTTGTCTAGCATTAGATCAACGCACGCGCTTGTACATAAAGTCTATGCATCTAGTCTTCCACTTCCATTTTCAACAAAGAAATTTCTTCGAGCCTTCCACTTTCATTTTTAATGCCAGAAGTGTTTGATATTGCAGCTAGTTTTGGTAGGTTTGCTGGATCAAAAGGGGCTTGCCTCTCGCTTTCAAAACAAGTTCCATTTGAGTTTTCAATGCAGGAGATGATATGGATCAATAGTTTCTGATGTGAGAAACACAAGTAGAAGAAGAAGAATGTTAGCTTGTGATCATGGATCTATCCATGATCACAACCACAACAGGTTCATTTTCAAGAAAGTCTAATCTTCTAGTCTTCCACTTTTATTTGTATTGCCAAAGGCTAGTACTTTCCTTTCCAAGAAAGTCTTAATCTTCTAGTCTTCCACTTTTATTTTTAGTGCGAAAGGCTAGTACTTTCCTTTTCAAGAAAGTCTAATCTTCTTGTCTTCCACCTTTATTTTTAGTGCCAAAAGTAGAAAATTTCTGCCTCCGCCACTCCAGATTTCAATCCATGTCTAAAGCCTTCGGCGACTTAGGTAAGGCCCAAGGCTCCCCAAAAAAATTATTTTCTTGTGTAGTTTTACTTCTTTAAAATTTTTATTTTTTTCTCAACCAATAGGGGGAGAGACCCCAAAATTTTATTTACTTTCTTATATTATTAACTTTCTAAAATTTTATTTTTCCTTAAATTATTTTACCCCCAAAATTTTATATTCTTACTTTTATTCCTTTATTAAACCTCAACCAATGGAAGAGGCTCCAAATATTTTATTTCTTTATTAAACCTAAACCAATAATTGAAGAGATTTAACAGTAGGCCCAAAGAATTAATTCCTAATTTCTATCCTTATTTATTTATTTTATTTTTCCTCCGCGCCTCCCCTCATTATAGTTTTTTTTTTTCCCTCTATTTTGAGGTTCTTTACACCTACTCTATTAATTATTGAGTATATATCTATTGGACTGATTATATATATATGGAGTATTAAAAAAAAAAAATACAAAACTTGCATACAATAATTACTATGTAAGAAAAAAAAAATCAAATACTGTACTAACTTTACATCTCAAAAAATAAGAAAAGTGATTTTTAAACAAACATAATTAATTATTATTTAAAATTAATATATTGAATATTAAAAGCCACTTTTATATTATTCGTCCAAGGCCTCAAACTATATTGAGTTGAGTCGTCCCTAACGTCATGAGAAAATCTTAGTCTAAAATAATTTTCAAACAAGAATCATGAAAAACCAAGAATCATGAAAAGCTAATATATTGAATATTAAAAGCCACTTTTATATTGTTCGCCTAAGGCTTCAAATTATATTGAGCCGCCGTGATGTCATGAGAAAATCTTAGTCTAAAATAATTTTCAAACAAGAATCATGAAAAGTTAATATAAGCTGGTTTTATATTGTTCGCCTAAGGCCTCAAATTATATTGAGCCGCCATGAGAAAATTTTAGCCTAAAATATCATGAAAAGCCAATTAGTATCTTTTTAAACTAATATATTGAATATTAAACTAATATATGTATATATTTGCGTTGTTTCTTTTTTATTTTTTTATTTCACGGTGTTGGGGTGTTTATATATAATAAAAATCATCTATTGTATTTTTACCATTCTATCATGTTAATTATTTAATTATTTTTTATTTTTAGTTTTGATAGGTTTTACCAACCTATGTCTGTTTCACAACTTTCAGCAATGGATGAATATTTTAAATACCACTTATTTAGTGAGAAGCATACTTATGTAATGAAATTTTAATAAATATTGAAATAAGTTACAAATTTAAAATAATCCTAAAATCAGCATAAGAGAGTGGGGTTTTCACTTTAACTTGGGTTCGTTATGTAACGGATAATAAAGAACCGGTGAATGAAAGAATTACCGATAACCAAACTCAACAGTAAACCACTATAATTTCCATAAGAATGTAAGAAGAACAATCTGGATGTGGATGGTTATTGAATTGGGTGCTCAAGTCTTTTTTTTTTATTTTTCTGTAGCCATAGGCTTTGCTCAACCATAAGATCTTGTTTCACACTAATATTTCTAAGTCTCAAAATTATGTAATATTGTGGAAGTTAAGTTTTTGCATTCATTTACGGAGAAGAAGACTAAAAGTTACTGGTTAATGATCTATTGTCATATAGAGTGCATTTTGCCATTTCAAATATGATGCAGGAAACTTTGATATTACTAGCCACTAGGTTTCAGCTTAGGAAGAAAAATGAGCATTTAAAGGACCAGAATGAAGTAATATTGATAAAAATCATCCAATTGAACTTGTGTTATCTTTTTAAACTTGATGTACAAGCATAATCATACTATGGTGGGACCATTCTCTTCTTCTGGTTATGAAGGGCAGGCAAGGAAACAGAGTATGATGGCTAGTGTGGCGACCTTGTGGGCGAGTGTGTGAGAGAGTGTACAGGTGGCACGAGTCCACATCGTCTAGGTGTGGAAAAGTAAGTGCTATATGTAAATTCAACACCCTTCTATAACATAACATGTTTTAAAGTAATGAAAACCGTGAACTCACCAAAACTTTAGAGTAAAGCATGTTTAACTTAGAGAAGTACCAGGATGGTTGACCCTTGGAAAGTGTCTCGTCCGGGAGAGTCAAAAGTGAACAATATTGTGTCTGGCTAGGGTGAGGGTTGTTACAAATAGTATCAAAGCCTAACTCAATCGGAAGTGTGGATAACAAGAACGTTGGGCCCTAAAGGGGGTGATTATGGTGACTTTGTGGGCGGATGTGTGTAAGCGGTGGCACCAATAGGCTACCACACTAGGCGAGTTACATGTGCACAATCCTACATTGCCCGGGTGACGTTGGACCCCAAAGGGAGTGATTGTGGCGACCTTGTGGACGATTGTGCGTGAGCGTGTGCAGGTGGCATCAGTAGACTACTACACTGGGCGAGCTACAGGTGCACAATCCCACATCGCCTAGGTGTGGAAAGGACAAGTGTTATATGTAAATTCAACACCCTTCTATTATACAAGCGTTTTAAAGCCGTGAATCCACCAGAACTCCAGAGTTAAGCCTGCTTAACCTGGAGTAGTATCAGGATGAGTGATCCCTCAGAAGTATCTGGTCTGGAAGAGTCAAAATCAAACAATATTGTGTTTGGTTAGGGTAAGGGTCGTTACAATTAGGCCAATCTCGTAGTTCTTTTATTTGTGCTTATAACTGTTCCACACCAAATATGGGGGAAAAAATAATAATAAAAAAATAAAAATATGTGGTTTTCATGGGCCAATGGGTTTTTGTGTTATTCATGGGAAAGAAAGGGAGATGTGATACTAATTTACATAGGCTTTGATTTGTCACTTTGCTACAAAAATTCAAATTTGCTACATTAAAAAAGTGTGGTCCACTGTGTATTCTGCATTGGTTCAGATAAGAGGCTTTATCTCTTTGGTAGAGCATTTGATCATTTTGTGACTGTATTAGCATCCCCATCAAAATTCTCGCAAATGTCTGAACAGAGCACCAAGTAAAATGGCTATTCGTGTGGCCTAAAATAATTTTCAGTTCTGTTTTTCAAAATTATTTAGTAAACTTAAAAAGACATTATAAAATTATGTCGTTTTAGATTCTGTTTTCAAAAAAAGTTAAAAGAACAGTAAACTGTGAAAGAAATTTCAAACCATTTTATGCTTTGTATGAACAATAAGTTATTCTTACAATTCTGAACCAATCATAGAGTTTTAATATTCATCTTCATGGGGTTCAAATTCTTTGATTTTGGCGTGCAGTTTTGTTTAATACTTTTAATTGGAGGTATGCATTTTTAGCGCACTCACTGGCATTGCAAATTCGTAGAAGAAGAGCTCAACTAGCTGTTAAGTCATAACCAGGGACTTCTAATCAAATTTTAACACATGAAAAGCCCATCAATCTCTCTTTCAAACAAATTTGAACCTTAGGCACACCACACTTTTAGGCACTTCTATCTAACACAATTGTTAGGAATGTCATACATTGCACACTTGCTAAAAAAAAATACTCTGACCTCCCGAGGGTTGAGGGTTGACAAAAGTCGTAAATTTCTACCGACCTATCAATATTTTCGTTACGTGCAATTAGATTACAAAATTAACCTTGTAATTATTTGAAGCGTTTGATATACTTCATAATGATACGAAGAAAATACCCTCAAGATATAAACTTGTTACATAGGAGGCATGCCATTGGCATCTTATTTATAACCATCAAGCCATCGTCATAATAAAGTGCACCTGACTGCAATCATGTATGAAAAACACACGTTGTTAGGAACGTCATGCAAACCACATGCACTTTTATCCAACACAATAGGCTTTTTACTTTGTTAGGAGCGTCATACATAATGCATTGCACACTTAAGCTAACACACGCATTATATTTAACTCTCTAACTTACTCCAATTATTTTCCTCACCCTCTCTTACCATTTGTGAATTCCTGTTCTCTCTCTCTCTCTCTCTCATTTTTTTTACTTTTTGTGACTTCATGTTCCTTTTTAATCTGACATGAACATGACCCTGCAACAGCAGAAGACCAAATTCGATCTCTGCAACCAAGAAATTGATGGCATGCCCAATCACAACCAGTACATTATTTTTACGCCACCGGCCCATATATGTACTTCATTTCTAGCCAACATGCTCGATCTCACGTTATTTTACCTTTTAAAATTTTCCAACCCATCGATTACACCACAACCACCTTCATAATCAGCACCATTATTAATTGTAGCTCTCACTGTC